TACAAAGGAACAGCAAAGACAACGCCAAAGTAGCATAGCCCCAGAGACCAGACTACAAGCTTCCACGTGCTGAGAATAATCGGGCCTTGTTCTTCATGTGCCAAAAGATAGTTCAGTGCCGGTATCTGCCTAAGTAGTTAGAATCTGCCTCTTGACAAGCTGAGCCTTTGTGACCTACAACGCCAACGAATCCACACCCAAGCGGCATAATGGCCATGCCACAAGCTACGCTCTGGAGCAAAACATTCTCAACTGGAGAAAAGGGGAATCTCAGGTGCGGAGCAAGAAGCTTGAAAATGCCAAAGCCCATTAGACTTGCAGGCATTGACATGATGGACACCCATCCCGTCTGTAAGCCAAAATACATGTTGGAGAAGCATATGACAGTTCCAACGGCCAGACCAGCCAACACACTTCGCAGCGTGAAGCTGCGGCCGGGAACTACGCGGGTCGCCATTGTTACTAACGATAATGGCGATGTGTAGATACGCGTTGATCGATCGTCGTGAAGTTAAGTGACTTAAGTAGGTAAGGTACTGTACTTCAGTACGTACCTGCCATCGATTACCAAGCGTGCTAGACCATTTAGGTTAGTAGGTAGATAGGCAGCCCCACATTCTGACAGCTAGGTAGTACTCGCCCTACCGTCATGACTAAGGGCCCCTGATACTTGTAAACAGCCCGTATCGAGTAAGAAATAATTAGTTAAGGCTAACAACACATTTGTATCTGTGGATCAATGGGCAAAACGATTTGCTTCCTGATAGGTGCATGCTCTTATAACTATGGAATGCTAGGTAGATATGCTTGCTGTAGTATTCACAGTGACTTCTGCCCAATATAACTGTTTCTCCGGCCTCAACTCCATTATCCGAACCCAGGTTTACCCAGGCTATATGACCTTTCGCATCATGAGCAGCCCACCGCGGTATGGCTCTATTATGGCGCTGCCTTGACACCCTTGCATAAATAATCGTATTAGAACCCGAAACTGTCCAACAGAGAGCCTGCATCAGGCTCCTCAAACGTTGTGGGAGGTGGTTTGACCGTCTTCTTGTTTTCTCGATGTGAATCGAAGCGGAGAGATGGAGAGGGTAGGTCTGCAACAACCAGCGAGCTCCTCCGGCGAAGCAGTTTGAGAGGATTAACCTCTCCACCAAGACCGGTTGCTCCCGGTGACTGCTGGAACTCCCAGTTACGTACTGTCTTGTGGTCAGCGGACATGTACCCGGCAGTCTTATGGTCTTGCGCTTACCTATGTCCAGTCCCAGAAGATCGCACCCCATCCGATCATACAACTTGGCGCTATGCAGCACAAACTCCCATTCGACTTTCGGCGTAATCTTGGACGCTCCCCTCAAAGTCTGCAGTGTTTGATGACGTAGATGTGAGTAAAGTACGACCAAGGCAGGGTCGTCCGTTAAAAACAGTCGAGACTTGATGTCAGGCGAACAAGGCGTTTCTAAAAGTGTGTAGACAGGTGTCTGCCAAAAAGGTCAGTGGACGAATGCTTACATGGTAGGTTCTAGGTTAAGGACGTACTATAAGGGCCCGTACGGCCATGTCCTTGCGGCCAAGCATCCAGAATGCCCATGCAGCCAGCCAACGGTTACCTTCCTGGGCTGCGAGTGGGAGTACGGTGTCCTGAAGAAGTCGACGCAGAACCAGCCCGTCGTCACCTTCGTAAACACGCGCTATCGTGATGGCTAATTGCATGTCTTTCAGCTGATTCAGGCAAACCTGAACGGCATCGTGGAGATGGTCAGCGAGAAGGAAGAACGCAGCAGCATACTCTGTACGCAGCCGAATTAGTCTCTGTACCTGCTAGTACCAACAAACAGCTTACCAAAACGTCGCCTGCTAAGCAAAGCATAGGCGTTCTTGAGCGCCGCCGATCTCCATTTAGGGTCTTCAAAATTGTTGGCCAGCAAACGTTGAGTTGCTACCTGCTCCCTGTTCCAGTTTGCCATTCTCCACAGACCTTGAAGCACGGTTTTTTTACGAAGAGCCAGGTAGTATAGACTACAGTCGACGGGGTTTTTTACTTCACTCTTGGTATACTCGTTTCGAGCTATCAGTTCGAACTGTGTTCTCTGCAGGGGTTGTCAGCTACCGTAACAAATTCATCCGGAATTTAGGTTGCTTTACCAATGCGGCTGGATCAGTGAGCCACATGAACAGGCCGCTCTCACGAGCATGCTCCCAAAGCATACTGCCATGGTTCTGCCGTGATACGAAATCAACTAGGATATCCTGGCTATTGGAATGAAAGGCCCAATTGATTTCACGCCAGGAGAGGTGCATCTCGTTAGTACGTCCTTTTCGAAGGGCATGTTGACGGAACAGCAGCATAAACCGAGCGCCGTTCTCATCCATTGACCGACGGTGCCGCTCGACGAGAGCAACACATTCAATGATGTCGGCCAATTGAATCTGTTCATGGCCAGAAAGTTGCGTAACATTAACCTTCACCAACTTTTCATTGATCAACACCGCAGTCTGCTCGGTGAAAACATCTTCGTCATCGATATCGTCATGATGGTTTCCGTCCAAATAGGTGCCAGGAGATGATTTGTCAACTGCGAAGGTGTGGCCTTGCTAAGCAGACATATCAGCACGTTGCTCGTTGTTCTCGTATAGGATCAGTCACTCACCTCGGGCACATAGAACTCGCTTAATTCCATTCCTAGATAATCGTCCAGAGGCTCACCGTCAATGTAGTATTTCAATGTCTTGTGCAAGGAAACCAGAATGCGTCGAACAAGGGTGGCTTTGCCTGAAAGAATACATTGAATGAGAAACTGAGGGTGAAAGACCGGCAGTGGACCATTGAATCTCTGAACAACCTGGAACAAATCCAGATTGCCATCCTTGCGTAACGGAAGGCGCAGGTCCGTCTTCATTGACTCGGACACCCCAACATGTCTGTCCTGTACAAACATCTGGTTGCCGGCGCCAATTACCAGGTGACCGTCGCCTAGCCATGTTGAATCGCCAATTGGGTGTGGTGTGAGTTCCCGAATGCTGATCTCACGTATTTGTGCCCAGGCTGGACCTTTGTTGAGATAGTCGAATCGCATCTGGGAAAGCAGGATGACTCGGTAAGGGAAACCAACTGCGAGTATGGACTGACCATCAGGTGTTGATGTCCAATCCAGATCTTGTATCACCTGGTGCTCTTGGAAGTTGTTTTCATATTCGAGGCGAGCACCGCCAATATCCCAGATCGTGAGCTGCGAACGTGAAGAGTTCACCAGAGCAGCCTTCTTGAGCGTACTTCCGCTTACCAATGCTGGCTCGGAAACTCCTGTTTCAGTCGTACATGTAGATAGCCATCCGACACTTCGTTGTGCAGGATCAACCCGTGCAGTCCAGAAGTCCACTCGGCCGGTATGTGTGTAAGAAATAGCAACATCGCGAGCGAAAACATCGAGAAACCCTGAGACAATAGGCTGCGAACCTGCAGGATCGACTGGCAGCAAGTAGGCCAGATTATCTATGTCATTCAACTCAAATTGGCATAGCTCCTCGACATTGGCTCCAGCTGTTGTCTTTGGATCATCAAAGTATCGTGGTAACTTCACCTCCCACACAATACCTTGTCCTTCCGACGTTATTGTTGCGATATGAGCAACGGTGTAGTTCTTGACGTCTGATCGCGGTAGAATGATCAGGCAGAGTGGTTTCCCCAAAACCCTATAGCTACATTCGGCGAGAGCAATAGCTCGAGATTTTCTGCAGTCCCAAAGTGAGATGGTCTCATGGCGGAGAAACACCACAAAACGGCCCTTCCTCAACACACACATACGATGGATATAACCCTTCTCCGGAATAACACTCGCTCGAGTTAAGGCCAAACCCGAGTTGTCTCGTGGGCTCAGAAGATGCTTCCAGACAACGCTCTCACCATCGCGGGTCCGAGAGACTACCGCTCGTCCGCTAAAGTTTCTAACGATCTTCGTGATAGAAGTTGAGTGCCCAGACCAGATCGTTTGTAGTGAGAGGCGCCGATCATTCGTCATGGGATCAAACAAGTCGGCGACGCTGCCTGTGAACACACCTATCCTTCCATCAAAAGCATGCAGCATAAAGTGAACCTTACCACTCTTCTTGTCGCAATACGTCTGTATATCGGTATGGGGTGTGTCTTGGGTCGGTAGGAAGCTACCGAGCAGTTCGAAATGCGTATCCTTGACCTGCGCCACTTTGAAAAGAGTTGGTGAACTTGCCGTACTACTGCCGACATTCTCAAGCGCCCATGCTGACATGATCCCTTTTCCATCGAAGGCTATGCAGATCTCGGGATTCTTCGTTGCAATCGCAACTAAATGCTCAAGAGCGACGGGGTCATCAGCAGTCGAATCATCAGACATCCGCGCCTGCACGGCTTGTTCAACAGAGGCCGTGAAATCCCGTCCGTCGAGAACAAGGGCGAATCGCATATCCAAGCCATCCGGATTCTCTTGTGATGGCGCACAAACATCGACTTGGCCCCATAACTGCCAATGCTTCCCATCAGATGTATCGGTCGGTGTCCATACTCGAATGCATTTGTCTAGGCATGTGGTGTATAGAACATTGTCGGACATCTGTTCGACATGAAACGGTCTGCGCCATCTGACAGAGGTTATGATATTCGGGTGTCGAAGGTATGTAAGATCGAAGCGAACTTCGTCTGCGCCAAAGTTGAGTCTGCGCCAGACCTTGATCAAGTGGTCGTAATGGCCAGCCGATGCGATATATCTCGAGTCGTATGACAGTATCGCATATTTTACAGTACTCGGAAGCTTTTTCTGCCAAAGGCACCTCGGTTCGGTTTTGGTATCGAAAAGGGAGAGGTAACGCGTAGCTACAAGAAGCTCCTCAGAACTACCCCAGGATAATGTACACGGCGTGTCGTCGGGATTCGGATTGGGAATGTCAAAGGTCGATTCGAGAGCCCACTGAGAGATATTTGAGCACATGTTTCATATTGTAGATCCTCCAGTTGGGGGTTAAACCTTTAAGGCGTCTTCGCGCGACCCGAATGGCCTGTATACACGAACTTGAGCCAATGTGCACGTAGCAATCTTGCCTGTTGCTTCGTCAAATGCGATGGCTTCTAGGGGTTGTTCGCCTTCATCGTAGACTGTCTGTAAGATTGTATGGGAGCCTTCTAGGATTGCAAAGGCGCCGCCCGTGATGTATACCTATGTGACATCTTCGCATCAGCTAAGTTCAGAACTTAGGAGTGAAGGCAGTAGCACTTACATTCAGGTGTCGGGAGTCCCAGTAACCCGAGGCTAGCCCTTGGAGCCTCGAGCGTGGCTTCCCCGGCAATACGGCCTTCATGCTATTAAGGAGTAAGATTTGCGCGCATCTCTAGCGAAATATAAAGGCGCGATGCTTGAGCGCAAAAGAAATATGTTGAAGTCTTGACAGCTTTTGGTGCAGTTAGGGATTACCAGTCAATGCAATAAACGGGAGCCTCAGTGGGTTAGTAGAGGTGACGTGACCCCCGGAACACAAACCCCACCCCCAGCTCATGCACAGGAAATGACGATAAATGCCACCCTAGAGGTTCGTTCAAGAGCTTGATGAACGCGGCATTCATATCGAGGTTTTAATTAATTATAAGAACAATTTCAATTTGCCCAGTAGACTCGCTAGTGTTTCCGAAGAAGAAAAAACCCTCAGGGGAAAAAAGTAGAAGACCAAAAAAGGGTACTTGGTCATATATTAATGGTCAAACAACTAGTACTTTACTTTTACTTCAGGACTTTAATCATAAGATGCCAGTTTCATCACAAACAACTAGTTTCACTCTACTGTTGAGCTCTTCCAGTCAGAACGTCACTTCATCTCACTTAACATTTGCTATAAAATTCAAAGATCTCAAGGTACATACAACCAACATGTGATAGATAATTGCTTTTCCAACGCCATTGACGCAGTGTGTCGCTATGCATTCATTTATAATACTAACAGAAAGGGGTATCCTTTTTTTGCTTCAAACAAGTCATCTAACGTCAGAGAAACACATTCAGATCGTCCATAACCAATCCAACTCTTGCCAACCCATCAGAGGTCATTTCATACACGCCTATGTCCCATATATACTTGAAAACCACCCATGTAGACAAAACTATCGACTTGTGCTTGTACGACCGCGCAGTTGGTGGCCTCTTGATGCTCCCCCTGGCTGAGTTTGTGGCGTAGAAGAGATCTGGCTCGGTGATTGAATACGCACAGATCTTGTTGCTGGTGTGAACTTAGTAGTAGGTCGTGAAAGTCCAAATCGTGTACCAGATGATCGAGCACCAACGGATTTACTGCCCACCGCTGGGGAGTTCGGCTCCGGCGAAGAAGGTTGAGGCCTCGCCGTGCGTCCATTAGGAGGCCCGAACCCAAAAGATCTTGTTGAAGCAGGGGGCTGCTGCAAGGGTTCCGATCCGTTCAGGTCAGAGAATTGGGGCATTCCAACCGGCCTTGGTGTACCCGGCGCCATTTGTGATGATGCTAATTTCGAGATCCGCGAGTGGTGCTGCGTGGTTGCGCCTATAGAGGTTCCGTCTCGTTGGCCATTTCGCTCAAGGTGTGATGGTACTGGCGCCATCGGCGTGGTTGATGGTAGAGTAGAAAACTTTCCAGGCCCTCGTGAAGCAGGTCTTATGGAAGGCGAAGCTGGTAAGTCTCCATCATCTTCGTCACCAGCAAGCGAAAATGCTCCATCACCTTCATCAGCCTCTCTAAGCGGCGCCATTGATCCTGGCGGCAACATCGTCGACATGGAGAACGGTTGTCCGGTCCATCGGGTAGGTGTCTCGAGTGGTGTACCAGAATAGTCATAGACTCGGTCATTGCGATTGGCCATCGATCGTCTGCCAGCTACTGTTCTCCAGCTTCCCCGTGGCCATGCAGAGGGCGCAGAGCTTGATTGCACACGAGATCCAGGCGCCATGGTTCGAATTCTATCGTCACGTTGTCGCCATTGTTGCAAGACGCGGTTGCGTTTCTCCCGCTCGTGCTTCTTTTGGACCTCCAATGCTGTATGACCCTGGCCACTTTGCTGCAGCGACGCAATTGACCAAGATTTTAGAGACTGGCGCTGCTTGTCAGCTGCCCAAAGCTGCCAAGCCTCCGCGTCCCGCTGTTCAAGATCACTGGTATAAACTTTCCAGGCTTCCAGCCATTCCTGTGCATGTTGCAGTTTTGCTTCCTCTATGCGTCTTTGATCCAACTGCGTTTGACTCATCCACATGTCAGTAACTGTGATAAGATGGTGGGAGTCTTTCTGCGCTCGCAGTTCTTGAACCAAATCACTTTGGATACGGTCCTCCTCAGCCATCGCTCTCCATTGGTCAATGGCGGCAAAGAAGTTGCGCTTCTTCCGGGCTGAGGAAACTTGAGTATACCTGGCCATGAGATATTTCTTCACGTGCCTTTTGTCTTGGTCCTTGCGGTTCTTAATCGCACGGTCAAAGACTCGCAATACCGAGGTGGCTCCTAGATAAAGACGAACCCGGTCCTCCATGAGTGCCATGTGAGACGACTCCCGTTGGAGTCGTCGAAATCCTCCGAGGACCTTGGCCTTGGCCTGCTCCTCGTAGTATCCCTCTGCCCTTCGGCTCATATCTCCATCCTGTTCTGCGCACTGGAACCACCGGTCAAATGCTCGTTCTACTTGAAGATACTCGCGTCTCCATTGGAAAGCCTGCGCTCTTGCTCTCAAGTTCCATTGATCGAAAGCAAAATTTGCCTTCTGCATCATGACTTGTTTACGATACTCAGTCGCCCTTCGGCTGATCTCAGCCTGATCCCACCATTCACGTAGATGTGTGAAAGAGTGCTGTATGTCTCCAATTCGTTTGGCAGTATCGCATAACATAGTCTCCTTACCGGCATGGTCTTGCCACCGGTGAATAGTATCTACTTGAAGTCGTAGACACGCTTGTGTTCGTATGGCATGCTCCAAAGCTTCGCCATGACTAGCCTGGGATAGCCACTTCAAAATCGCCCCTGTCCTGTTACGTAAGGCTGTTTTTTGGCGTCCGACGTGTTCGAGTCGATGGCATGACCAGTGATCGAGAACTCTTCCAACCTTTTTGAGTTCATAAGCCTGGGCCGCTGCTCTGGCAGTCGTTTGGAGGCTTTTTTCCATGGCGACAATACGTTGCCATTTTTTGACAACGACAGCTGCTCTCATATAATCTGTGCCAGGCTCACGAAGTGCAGGAGCCTGACTCCAGGATCGAAAATAGCGGAACCGAATCATGTGTCTTCTTGCAACGGCGTCTCTTTCAAGTCGGCGTGCAGTACGATCAGCCCAATGGTTAAAGACTTTGCTTGCAAGGTAGATTTCGCGAGCCCTGGTCGCTCGCCTAAGAAGCCGACTGTGCTCTCGTTCCGTGTCAGGCTGCTCGTCGGGTGTTGAGGGGCTTTCTTCAACCATTTGCTGTTGAGATGCTACATCATTTGTGCGCTCTTGCGGTGCAGCATGGTGGACAATCGTGCCCCCATTGTTGCTCACAGTATTGGTTCGAGCTGCTGTAGTTGGAGAATGAACTTCAGGTACTGTTTGGATAGGAGAATGATGGGATGGTGCCACCTCTAATTCCTTGAGTTGATGAGGAGAGTCCCCATCCGGACTTCGAGGCATTTCGTTCTCGTGATGTGAATGCTCATCAATATGCCCACTTTGTGGCATATGTCCTTGCAATAGAGAAGTCGTTGATCGGATGGCATTGTTGAGGACTGAAAGAGGTCGGTGCATGAATGATTGTGCGGACATTGGCCTCGGTAACAGGTCCGTGGACTCTTTCGCCGAGACTTGATCGTGAGACTCGATACCATTGACTTGTGGGCTTGCGATGGTTTGTTGGGTAGGCGCTGCTGGTTTTTGCTCAAATGGATGATCTTCGAAATTCCTAACATCGGCAGAAGCTTCCTCTGGAATACTTGGAAAGGAAGGTATTCGCTGTGCGGGTTGTGCTCTACGGTTCGCAACTAAGGAGCGCCAGCGGTTCATAGCTGAAGAAACAACCGCCTTTCGCATCTCCTCATACGCGCCATCTTCCTCGTCGGTCTCAGAAAACTCCATCTCGTCTTGCCGAGGTTGTGCTTCCGAATGGGATGGTGATTGTGGTGGCGAAGGCGAAGGTGAATGGGTAGGTGATTGCAAAGGTGAAGACGGAGGTGAAGCCGAGGGCGAAAATGGCGATTGGGGGGCTTCGACTTCAGATGTAAGATGGCCGTTTTGTTGGTCATTCTCCTGACTGTTCTCGTGTTGCAAGTCTGCATGACTTTGGCGACTTAAGGATGATTCTGCGGGAGATGTGGAAGCTGAAGTTCGGAGTGACACTGTAGTATTATCACCGAACTCCAAAACAATCCCCATTCGATGAAGAATAGTTTGAAACTTATCAAGCAAGCTGCCTTCGCCTCGCTCACCACCCACACGAAAAACAAAGGTCGACAGATGATGGTCTGAATCGGGGTCGATTCCATAGGTAGGGAGTACGGCATCGTATGCCTTGAACAGCGCAGCGGCGGGAAGTGGTTTTGGTTCAGGCGCAGAGTCGAGTAGCTCCTGGGCAGCGACAACTACCGCGTGCAATGCGGCGATGTCTAGTTCGGTCAATACTGTGTCGGATCTGCGTCGCAAATACTATACGGACCTTCGTTGGAATAGTACGGGTCCTGACTTGAGGGTGCCCGACTGGCATTACTGGAGCGGCCATCGTCTGAAGGTGAGCTCGCTCTCTGCGCAGCCGGCGACATCGATGCTGCTGGTGAAGTCGCATTTGAGCCCTGGCGTAAATGGTCGGAGGACATGAGCAGAGTATTATTGGCGGGCTGCCCACATCCGTCATTGACCCATAGTCAGGAAGTCGGTGTGCAGTGAAGCGCGCGCAGTTTTACTATACGCCTTGGTCGCGAAAGGTTACCGCGAGTATGTGAAAGCGAACTCAAGTTTATCGGTATCTAGCGCGTCAAAGACAGAAATGCTGAGGAGAATAGTCGAGAAAATGAGCAAGGGCGGTGGTAGCGACGATATCCAAATGGCTGCAGAATTGTATTCAAAGATGGGGTGGTATCCAAACAAAGCGCATAGAGTCCCGACAGTAAACACACGCGAATTTGCGCGGTCGCGATACCAATGATGGAGCTTAGACGTGTAAAGTGGGTGGCAGGTGCACACAAGCCACAAGCCACATAAAGGCGGTGCTCTCTATGTACTGTGCTATTCGGTCCTCGAATGGCACTGTATGAGCAAGACCATTTTCACCAAGGACTGTAATCCAGGCCAGCTACCAAAATTGCTTTCATACATCTCAATGCTTCAACAAGTTGCCATGAATTCACAAAGAACTCGTCCGATCCAAAAGTTCGCAAAAGCAGCCTCTCAATGCTCTGTGGAGGTTTGTCATTCCATTCCTTTTCGTTGATCTCTTCAATTGACTGATCCGCCACCAGGCTACGGCTTATGGCAAGTGTATTGTCGCTGACTATAATGCTGTACACAAGGATAAGTGTGCTAAAGAGTTTATGAAACTCAAAGATTGCTATCTGGTACGATGAATTGTTCTTTTTACAGCGCATCTTCTGAAACATCTCTAATTTCTTCTTCACAGGCAGCATCGAAAAAGCCATAACGTACCCTCATAGCTGGCATAGTTAAACAATATCAAAATTTATTTTTCTTCTTTACTGGACTCTCTGTACAGTTTTTAGACCTCAAACATCTACAGCTTCAGTAATCTCAACAGGAATGTTGCCTGTTGGACTTCTTGTTCCTCCTCAGCAATGAGACCATCAGTCTGAGGCTCAGCTCCAGCCTCTTCCAAGGGTCGACGTAAGGCCTTCTCAAATGCAGGGGCCTGTGATTTGAAGGCACCTGACAGGCCTACATCTTCAGGATCAGCGATGACTCTGTACTCCATCTTGATGTCGTCTGTTGGCATGAGTCCTGCCTTCTTTCGAAGTCGCTGCACACGATTGACAATCTCACGACCCAAGCCCTCGGCTACCAATTCAGGGTGGATCTCCGTGTCCAGGATGGTGAGTACCTCACTATCAGTGTTAGTCTCGAAGTTCTTTGACGATTCGTCCTCCTTGACGCCACGGCGCACAACGAGATCGCCCTCCTCCAGACGAATACCATCAACATCGATATGCTTGTCTCGGAGGTAACCCTGCACCTGCTCGCTGGTAAGAAGGGGCAACCCCTTTTTGACGCGGGCCATATCCTTCTTGAGCTTCTTTCCGAGAACAGGCCAGTCAGCAGTGACACTGTACTGAACATTGTATTTGGCTTCATCTCCAGAGAGCACAAGGTCTTGTACGTTCAGCTCCTCGCTGATATACTTTTGCAACGACTTGACATCTTCAAGATACTGGGGATCCGAGTGGAGAACCACGAGTGTCTTGAGAGGTTGCTTGAGACCAATCGTACGACGCTCGCGCGACACACGAGCCAGCTCAATGACGCGCTGCATGCGACCAACACGTCGCTCTACTTCCTCATCAAACAACTCCTGGCGGACGTCGGGGAATGGCAGAAAGTGCACACTTCGGGGGTCCTCACCTTGAAGCTCTTTGGGGATATATGGCAGTAGCTTCAGGTAGATGTTGTCGGTGAGGAAAGGCGTGAAAGGCGCTAATCCACGGCACAAGGTGAACAACACCTCGAAAAGAGCATTCAGGGCGTGCAAAGTATCATCAAGACCATTCTCTCCCTTGAGTCGCTTTCGGTTGAATCGAATGTACCAGTTTGTTGTGTTATCAATAAGACCTAGAAGTCTAGGAACGACCGTATACAAACGGTATCTGTTTCAAGTCAGTATAGTGTTACTATCAGTAACTACGACATCGAAGGTCTTCACTTGGCTAAGAGTCCAAAATGATCTTGTCAGACAAACCAATGGTTATGCCAGAAGCCCCAACATAATTGGTGAGGCTGCTTACATACATACTGGTTACTGCTCAAGATTATTTGTCCACTTACTCCTTGTTGAAGCATCGGAATAGGAAAATACGAGTGACTTACCCTTCCATTTCCTGGTTGACGAATGCCAACAAACTCTGAGTCGAAGCAAGGATCCAACGGTCCATGACGTTGGAGTTGCTGGCCTCAAGCTTGGGGTCCCATGTGAAGTCCACGTTCTCAACTTTCTTCAAAAGAGCAATTTGACCCTCGAAAAACTTGTAGCTGTTCCACAGCGGCAAAAGGACCTTCTGAACAACCTCCTTGACGCCCGATTCCTTGAATCTCAGTGGCTCAGCTCGCACAACAGGCGAGTTAATGAGGTAAAGTCGGAGAGCATCAGATCCGTACTTTGTCATGATGATGGAAGGATCGGGGTAGTTCTTGAGCCGCTTGGACATCTTTTTGCCATCCTCTGCAAGTACTATACCGTTGACCACACAATTCTGGAATGGAGACTTGCCAAAAAGATGAGTGCCCAGCACTGTCAGAGTGTAGAACCATCCGCGAGTTTGATCCAATCCTTCGGCAATGAAATTTCCAGGGAAGGACTGGTTGAACTTTTCGACGTTCTCAAAGGGGTAGTGTTGGCTAGCATAGGGCATGCTTCCAGACTCAAACCAGCAGTCGAATACCTCCTCAATACGTTTCAATTGACCCTTGCCCTTTTTGCTGGGAATAGTAATGTGATCAACCTTGTCACGGTGAAGATCAGAAAGATCGCCCTCGTAACCACTCAAGTCACGGAGCTCTTGAACACTTCCTACGCAAACTCTCTCCTCCAAATCTTCACTGACCCACAGAGGGATAGGCGTACCCCAGTAACGGTTTCGGCTGACGTTCCAGTCGCGAGCGTTGGCGATCCAGCTGCCAAAGCGCTTCTCCTTGACAAATGATGGAACCCAACGGGTCTCCTCAATGTTCTTGAGCATATCGGGAACAATGTTAGGAATGCGGATGAACCAAGAGGGAACAGCCCTGTAGATGAGGGGCGTATCCGAGCGAGGACACATAGGGTACGAATGCTTGAGTTGGGATTCATTGGCGATGCGGCCGGTATTCTTGAGGTACTTTATGATGTGCTTGTCGGCTTCCTTGACGTGCATGCCCTTAAAATCGGAAACTCGGTCGGTGAAGTGACCGGTATCGTTGACAGGATCAGGAGGAGGTCGGTTCTCGGTAATGATGCCTGCGGCGACGGCAACGTTGTAATCATCCTCACCAAAAGCTGGTGCTTGGTGCACAATGCCCACACCACTGTCATCGGTAACGTAGGTGGCATTTAGGACCTTGAAAGCGACATCCTTAAACTCTTCGTAAAAATAATTGAAGGGAGGCGTGTACTTCCATCCCAACATGTCCTTACCAAGAACCTTCCCTACAATCTTGAATTTGGCCTTCTTGGGATCCTTGTACAAGGTTCCAAGGAGCTTTTCGAGCAGCACATAGGTTTTCCCTGTCTTCTCGTCTAAGATCTTGACATACTCGAAGTCGGGATGAGCGGCGAGGCCAAGATGCGATGGCAATGTCCAGGGGGTGGTTGTCCAGGCAAGCAGATTGACTTCGGGATCATCGACAAGAGGGAATGTGACGACAACCGCGGGGTCAGTGACATCCTGGTAGTTTTGGTTGGCCTCGAAGTTGCTAAGGGCAGTAGTGAGGACAGTTGAGTAGGGCATAACTCGGTGGCCTTGGTAGACTTGGTCCTTATCGAATAATTGCTTGAAAACCCACCACTCGGATTCCATGAAATTCGGGTCCATAGTCTGTACGGCAAAGAATCAGCATGCTAACAAGGTAGGCCTAGTTCTTAGCTTTTTTACCTTGTAGTCGTTGTCAAAGTCGATCCAACGTCCCAATCGCTCGATTGTATGTCGCCATTCCGTAGCGTAGCGCATGACAATAGATCTACACTCTTCGTTGTACTTGGCAATACCCAACTCCATCACAGCAGCCTTTCCAGAGATTCCCAACTTCTTGTCAATCTCGTGCTCAATAGGAAGACCGTGAGTATCCCAGCCGAAGCGACGCTCGACATGAAAGCCCTTCATGGACCAGTATCGGGGGATAACATCCTTGATGGTGGAGGCAAGAAGATGTCCGTAGTGAGGCAGGCCGGTCGCGAAAGGAGGACCATCGTAGAAATTGTATCGAGGGCGGCCTTCAGACAGTTCTACCTATGATGGCGATCCGGGTTAGAAGAATATTCCAACCAGACTAATGCAAATTGACATCGTGAAGACAGTGGCATGGAGACAAACCTGTCGAAGGAAGGCGTCGATATCGCGCCATCTTTGGAGGACGACTTCCTCTTCCTTGGGGAAGTCGATAGACATGATGACTGACGGTTTGCCTGCAAGGGAGGGGTTAGTTAGTCAAGAGTTTTGAACAGGCTGACAGAGCAAGATTGGGAGGTGTAAGAAGAGATGGAGCCGATAGATGATATAGGAAAGTTTGTATGTGACTCACCGTATGGTACGTCTCGCCTTGCAGTCGTGCCAATACAAAGAAGACGTCGAGGGCGAATTCCACCAGCGACAAGCCGTTAGTTTATGGAGGGGCAGGTTTGAGAAAAAGGCAGATGGTGAGTGAGTCAAGAGGACGGGACCGGAGGTGGGGTGAAATGGGTGCCCCACGTAAGTTTCATGGAGGGGTCGTCCGACTCCCTGCACTAAATACGGTTGATAGGTAAGTACTTAAGTAAGGTAAGTAGTAGGTAGTACACAATCGATCACGTTGGTACCTATTTCGTACATGCATAGGTAGGTAGGTTATTTGATTAGGCGACGGAGAATAGAGTACACCAAATGTCTCGGGGGTATTATTGCCTCCGAAATGCGCAGATAGTATCAGGTGTAATAGGTGCCATCTAACAATGTTCTGCTATCATACTCACATACTGCACAATTATACCGTTGAGGCGTAAGCAAATAAAAAGAAACTCTGCACCAAATGTACATTCAGGTTAGAAAAGATGGTTTCCTAATAATAGAACCTGAACGGATTTCAGACCCGACCTTGAGAACAATGAACGCCAGACCTCTGTTCTATGCCGAATTTGGCTCTGATACCACCATTGAACATCAATTGCATACGTAGGTCGATTCCACTGCAATTAACAAACAGTCATTTAAGAAGGTGTATTACTAAATAGGTTCTAAGTAACGATGGAGGACTTACAAATAAAATACTGGAAGATATTATGTCACTTAAAACTGACCTGCGAACTACCCAAGTAGCCAAGGTACTAATTGAGGTGTCAGTATCCCTACCTAATGGAATTGGGGCTAAAGCTGGTGCGTGCGTGGTTGCTACCCGCCAGCAAGGCAAATAGGATCGACTCGATGATTGTTTGTTTATTGTTATTACTGCCACAGTCAATATCGAATCGCATTGAGCATCATTCTGTCCAGGGCTCATCAATAACTACTCTCTATTGTCCTGTTTCAGCTTTCTTCCTTTTGGAAGCCAGTCCCCTCCCCTTTTTAACAGGGAACTCTAGCGCCGCTGTCACGTCCGCTCTCTAAAAAGCTACCTAGTCTACTATCGATAACAAGCCCGCCTGACGTCGGGATACCATCAGTTGCATACCAGTGAACCTCACACACATAAACAACTACCTTCTTTGTCGACAAGTTCTCGGTCCACCGCCGGACATTCTTTGTGTTTCCACTGCATAACCTTGAGCCATGTCGTTCTTGTTTGGCAGAGCCCGGACACGCACAGTTGCCGATCTCCCAAAGCAAGCCCGTGAGCATGTGCTGAAGCTTGAGGGGCCGCAAGGTCCAGCCAAGGTAACAACCGCATCGCGTTGATTCAAGCCCAAACACTGATTCTGGAAGGCCGAGGAGCTTGCGCGCGTTTTGAATCAGATGAAGACTATCCTGCAGGGAACCCCAGGTATGCTTCCTCACCTTACGAGAACTCTGACCGAATGGCTAAGACATATTCAAGAAGCCGACACCTCTCCAGAACAGATCTTACAGCTCGTGACCGGCCTCATCGATGAAGACCTCCTTCACCTTCTCGCCGTCAACCTTTTCCGCCTTCCTTTCGAATCCCGCAAAGACACACAAGTGATATTCTCCTACGTCTTCCGCTTCCGCCCTGCCACCGCCGCCCCCAAGAGCGACCCCCTTGCTCTGTCATACGTCGTGTGCAATCGACCTCAGGTCCTGGTAGAACTGTGTCGTGGTTATGATCACAAAGAGAGCGCTACTCCTGCAGGTTCCGTCCTGCGAGAGTTGCTGAAGAACGAGGCTGCGGCCGCCATTATTCTATACGACGACGGGGACGAGCCAGGTTCTAGTTCGAAAGGGCTCAACGCCATCGATCGCGACCGGCCTCAAAGTGGAAGAGGCGTATTTTGGAGATTTTTTGATTGGGTTGATAAGAGCTCCTTTGAGGTGGCAGCGGATGCTTTCACAACCTTCCGAGTAAGCTTGAGTTACTGCACAGTAACTGCTAGCACATACTGATTTTCTTACAGGAGCTCCTGACACGACACAAAGACCTCGTACCAAGATACTTGTCTGCCAACTTCGAGCTCTTCTTCACCAAGTACAACAACATTCTGGTCCAATCTACCAGCTATGTGACTAAACGCCAATCGATAAAGCTCTTGGGTGAGATCTTGCTTGATCGCTCTAACTACAGCGTTATGACTGCCTATGTTGACCGTGGCGAGCACCTCAAGATATGCATGAACCTCCTACGTGATGATAGGAAAATGGTTCAGTACGAAGGGTTTCATGTGTTCAAGGTTTTTGTTGCCAATCCGCACAAATCAATTGCCGTGCAAAAGATTCTTCTCATGAACCGAGATAAGCTTCTTACTTTCCTCTCACATTTCCTTGAGGATAGGACAGACGATGAACAGTTCATTGACGAGAGAGAATTCTTGATTAAGCAGATCCGAAATATGCCGTCTGTTCCAGTCGCTCCTCAACGGTAAATTTCTGGACGTTGCCGTACTTATTCACTCCGGCCGACTACCTATCTATCTACCCAATGTGCCTACCTGCACTCACCCGACGTTTCGACTGCTTTTCTCATAGGCGACTGCAATACTTGAGGCCAATGAGCGCGGTTCTCTATTTAATGACGATGACACTACATGCTCTGCCCTGTTATCTTGTTTCTGGTCCCTGCAGTATCTTAAACGTTCCTGGCCGTGGCATTGAGCGCGCCAGGACACGCATGTCGTTCCGCCGATCTTGGTTCATGATATTATTATACAAAAAGACGCCCCCAACGCCCCTTCATTCCCTGTGCGTAGTCAACCAAATATGACACAACCTCTTTAACTCCGAATATTCTGTCGATAACCGATATCCCAGCATATCATCGATATTCAGTCATATTATTTTAACGTTGCTTTGAAAGCAGGACGTTGACGCTTTCGCGAGCGTTCTGGGTAGCCCAAACACTGTCTTTTCCGCCACGGCGCCACTCATCGCCTGATGCGTGCTCTCCACCTCCCCTTGGCGCCTCTCCCATGATCACCTCGAGGTCTCGCTTTTGCGAACTCAGCCAATTTTTGATAAAGTTGGCTGGATCCTTGCTTAGAGACTGGAAGAAAGAATGCTTAGCTTTGGAAACGGCGATAGCCTGTACAACCCGAGCGAGTTGATCGTCGAGCCCTGTTACTTCCTTGAGCATCGCGATGTATTGCGGGTTGTTAAGCAGAGGCAAAAGTGAATCACGAAGAGGATCATCCACTGGGACTTGGATGTCGTAGATGGTGGGCTGAGGGTCCTTGTGGAATTCCTGATCGACTCGGATGGTGTACGACAAGCGAATGGGCTCGAGCGGCCGAAGGTGCTGTTGAACATAGTCGTTGAGCAGAGGGATATGCCCGATGTCACCCTGTCGTATAACCTGAATTCGAATGTTAAACATGAAAAGATTGTGTGTAAGGAGCGTGACAAACCTTTTTAAGAGGCTCATTGCATCGAAAGTTTCGCTTCTCTTCGTCTTCCTGAAGTCCAAGTAGTTTGATATACTCCCAGAGCCCCATGACGGCCTCCTGATGGGTTGCGTCCTTCATATCCACCACATCAGCAAGCTCAGGGCTCAGCTGATATCTCTCGGGGGACTCCTGACGGAACAAGTTGATGGTGATGTTCTGGTTTTCATCTCCACTTCTCTTAAAGGTGAGCTCGTCGAAATCAGCGGCTGCAGGGAGGTTGGTGGCAGGCTGGCTTCGGGCCGGCGCATCAGGTTTCTTCCATTCCACTGTTTGTTCGCTGCCAGTTCGATATCGAGACCGGTCGAAGTCAACGGTCAAAGACTTCAAGAAGTGTGAGAACCGGGGCTTCTCTGGTGACTTGGACTTTTGAGCTGACTCTTCGGATTCATTCGCTTCTTCTGTGACTGCCTCCTGAGTCTTAGTCTCGTCTGTCTCCTCGTTGTCGTCGTCGAGTAGACGGCCTTCGATCTTGACTCTGTAGGACGCCTCCATGTTGGGAGTGAAGTCGAACGAGTCAGAGTTCAGACCGTTGCTCTGCCAGATCTGATCCTCGACCGTGTTGCTGACCCAAACTCGTAGTGTTTTGTATCTCTAGAATATTGTTTAGCCACTGAATGACTTGATAGATGGACGAGGTATCAGGCAAACCTTGGATCCACGGCTAGTGTAATCAACAATATCCAGTCGCTTTCGCGTGATAGTTGCATCGAGCCGGCGCTCAACATCTCGGAGATCCTTATACCGTTGAACGCCATCAGCGTCAACAATGCTGTCCTCGACTCCTTCAGGGATGTTTTTATCGGTGGGTTTGCGACTGCGCCTCTTGGCGAGCTCACTGGCATGAGCCTGAGCTTGTTGTTGTTGTGCAATCTGTGCCTGGGTAAGAGGGACAGACGGGTGAGGTCCTGAGGACATCATGGGCCCTAGAGGAGTGAACATGTTAGCGGATAGATGAATAGGATGAGTAGCGCAAGCCTTGGCTGGAGCGTACCAATTCCACCACGTCGCTGGTTCGTCGCGTGAGGCGACCTTTGCGGGACCTGTTGCGCATAAGCGCGATATTGAGGCTGCATTTTGCCGAAAGCTTGAGGTTTTACGTTGGGGTTCGGTAGGCGTCGGCTGGTGGAATTTCAGGTTGATCGTGTCGCGTCGCATCGCATAGCGTCGCGAGAAAACGATACGCCCGCTCAACTCACGTGATGTAGCAAACAGCCGATCATTACAAGCCCTGTTGAGAGGAAGATGTTACAGAGCAGTATTTCTTGTTCCTATAATTGCATATGCTAAGGTACTCATTCAATGCAAGCTTTATATACGCACATCTCGCGGTTTTAAAATTGATATTAGAAAGATTCGTTCATGGGGTATTGGTCTTGGTTATTGTCACCGCATTCCCATTCTCGCTGTGGGCCCTGGAGATGTCGTCTTATAGCTGCAGGCAAACCTTAGTATTTTACAAGCAGAACTCATGCTTAAAGACATCATCCCAAGTTAGATTCAGAACTCTCGTGTTACTGTTCAAGCACTACTTCTCTCTTTCTCCTTGCTTCTAAAGAAAAAGGCAGACATCCCCTTGTCACATCAATGGTCTTTCATAAATTAAATTACTAGTCAAGACTTCGAGCAGGTAATCAACTCCGGGAACTTGAACTATAGTCCCACGTCTATCATCATTCCATCGGTTACTACTGACCTTGCCTTACAACGGAACTCGTTCCCAAGGGTGGGACTATAAGCTATGACTATACTTAATTCAGTATCTCAATGGTGAACCCACCCCGTTCACCAAGCTCACAGCCACTTCATGTGCTAGGATAAACAGCATACTTCAAGATGCCGCATCTGGCAAATTCTCCTTCTCGATCGTCACTTTTGCAACTGGGCTCGCATTACACTCGGTCCTCGCCCTCAACACAGAAGCATGCAAGGCACTCGTAAGCCAGTTCTCTGATACTCGCATGTACCTGTCTGGTGAAACCCACTCAGCTTCTTCAAATCCTGAAGCTTCACGTTTTGATGGCTCATCAAATAGCAATTATCTGGCAGCTGTGCCCATCCCTCCATCAACGCTGAAAACAAAATGCACCCCGTAACAATGCATTGACCATTCCGCTCAGATGAATAAAACTCCGTAGTTAAGACGCCACGCTCTCAATGCCATGAACGTACTGAATGTCATCTCCAAGGAGATGAACTACAGCAATCCACACCTTACGAACACCCCACGTTTGTCCCCTCTGGTGTTCTCAGCTCAGAAGCCTTCAGAATGCAGAGCCTAGGCCGTTCCTTGATTGTCTCTTACTGAAACGATTACGTTTCGGGGCAGGATCTTCAGAGTTCCCCTGGTTCTTACTCAGGTGGTTCCGTCCTTGTCGGTCACTTATGCCGAAACCCTCCGAGTAGTTGCCTGGGCCGCCTATCGCGCTTCCTGGGCTTGAAACTTGAGAGGACAAATCGGCAAATCCACCATCGCCATCGTAAGTGGTCATGCTTTGAGAGAGAGCAATGTCTCTGGCTCGCTCCAAACATTCGATCCAGTCAGCGGCAGCAGAACCACCTTCCGGAGGAATGGAAGACGACTTGGCCTCTTCAAACGTATAGTGGTGACCGCCCTGGCAGTAGCATTTAGTACAGTGATCAGAAAGGAAGGGCAGAGAACAAAATGGATATTGCTTACCGTATTAACACACCATACTGTTTGGCCCTTAGCATCCACTTGGGTTTTCCACGAGCAATCTGAACCGAGCAAAGACAGCTCTTGCTTTGCTCGCTTCTCCTCCCCACCAGCCGGTGCAAGCACAATTCGCCCACTTGATGTGATCATGACCAGCCGTTGACGCTTCTTTGTTGTGCTCCCGATAAAGAAACGAGACAACTTCTTATGTCCTTCTCCGGGTTCTTTTCCATGTGGGCTCGAAGGCAAGGGCGTTGAGACAACCATTAGGTCGCCCAGCTTGAGAATTCGCTCGTTATTCTTAGTCAGAACGGGGGACCATTCGATATCAAGCTGTGTAGGTGGAGGCAGTTCTGTTATCAGCCTAGAAGGCCGATTGCTCCCATTGGAAGTGTTCGCTTGAGGGGGAGGTGGTGGTCTCGTGTGACCAATCGCATTGGAAGCGTTGGAAAAGCCATTTAGTTGTATGACCTGGGGTTCTTGAGAGGGGGCTATGTATGGGCGTAAACGAGGTGCCTTGGTCCTCCAGAGTCCTTTTCCGAATGGATGTCCATCGAAAAACTCGTGGTTCTTGATGTGCTCAATAGTGAGTCGTCTGGCTGGGTCGAGGACCAAGCAGCGCTCTACAAGATCCCGGGCTGCTGCAGGGAACCCATGAGGAAATTCGTATTCGAGATTGACAATCTTTTGAAACGTGAGATACTCACTACCTCCCTTGAAAGGAGGTCGACCAGCCAGGAGTTGGTATACAATACAGCCAAATGCCCATAAGTCGCTAGCCTTACAGGCGTTCTTATGTGTCAAAAGCTCCGGGCTCACGTATTCAGCAGTGCCGACAAACGATGCTGCACGGCCATCTTCAGGTTGTCCTGGGTCTGGTGCGCCACTGGCTGGTGCGGCCGATGGATCTTCGCGAGGGTCTTTGAGTAGCTTAGCGGTTCCAAAATCGGTGATCTTGACATGCATTTGTTCGTCTAGTAAGACGTTCTCGGGTTTTAGATCTCGGTGGATGACACCTCGTGAGTGCATATAGTCAATGGCGTCAAGGATTTGTGCTCCATAGAATCTGGTGCACTCTATGTCGAAAGTGCCCGTTTTCTTGAGGACACCCAGAAGCTCTCCACCATTGCATAGATCGAGAACGTAATAGAGTGACGTCTCATCTTGAAACGTATAGTACAATCGGACGATGCCAGGGTGCTCGGTTAGTCGGTTCAGTGTGTTCTTCTCGATGTTGACATATTTAATCTTCTTCTCCTTGATGATATGTCTCTTTTCAAGGACCTTTACGGCATACTCTTTGAGGGTCTGGCGATCGGTCGCCATGTAGACTGTACTGTACGAGCCCTCCCCAAGAACACGTCCAAATGAGAAGTCGCGGACGCCCTTCTTGACCTGACGGACGATAGTGCGTCCATTCGCATCGACCTCGCGACGAACACCCACGGCAGCTCCACGTTCTTGCCATTCTTCTCTACTGGTTGGAGCTGGCGCGTCACCAGCATGTGACTGATTCGGTTGTTGTCCTCCAGGACCAGGAGTATAGCCGACCCCCATCCCTCTCGAGCTCCTTCGGGGTGGTAAAGGACTACCGCCGCCTGGATTCAGTCCTGATACCGGTCGACTCGAGTTGTTAAATCGTTGGGGGTCTCGTCGGCTGGACTCTCTCACGGGGTAAGAAGTGGTAGAGCCCGATTCGGGCACGTTGGACATGCCGTAAACGGAGGACCTCGACACCTCAGCTTGAGGGAATGAGTTCGGAGGTCCTGCAGAGGGACTTGGTTCTGGTGTAAGGTCGGAAGACTGAGCGGATGGAGTAAGTCGAGGGTCGGTAAGTAAAGTTTCGACACCAGCGTCTATAGGATCGAGGCGAATAGCATCGTAGGGCGAAGGTGTGGTGGTTGAGGTTGTCGGTTGGGGCGTGGATGGGAGGATGGATGTGGATGTGGAAGCGGAGACGGGCGTGTTGTGAGCAGTAGAATCGAGCCCAGAAGGAGACGTTGAAGAAGTATGAACAGCCTCGGCGGCGTCATCAGGGTTGGCGATGCGCAATCCGCCCAGGGCCTGAGAAAGGCTCAGGTCCCCGTTCATGGTGGGCGATGGAGAAGCCTAGGGGGAAGTGGGCAGGCTCACACTCGACTCGCACGGGGAGAAGAAACACGAGTCGTGAGCAAGGAAGGTCGGCCACTGGCGGCGGCGTGGACCTTGGAGCATCACCGGTGTTGAGCTGTCTAGAGGCGAAGGCAAGTTGATGTCGGATTAGGTGGGTAGCGATAAATTAAAGGCCGGATCGTTACGTTGTTGGTGGTATTGCTGTAAACGAAACTGAAATAGAGTACGCCCAGCAACTACCTACTTGGCCGCTCCGCTCAGCGAGGTACGAGGCCCCAGCCCACCTCAGATTACGAGAATGCAGGCAAGCGAAAGACGCCTTAGGCCGCCGCCAACCTCGTCCTGAGCCTAGGGGCTGTGGTTGCTGGGATTATTCAAAGGAGAGTCCCCAGCGTTTTGCAAGGTACTGCATTATCATGCCTGATAGGTAAGTATTTGGGTGAGAGAAGCGACAGCCGCCTTAGTAGGAGGTAGGTAGGTCATATTTACCTGGAGTAGGTACCTAGGTAGTAGGTACCTGCCTATTGAGAGTACCGCATGCACCTGCTAAGTTTGGTACTGGAAGCCAGCCTCAGTGTTGTGCAGATCTGCTGTCCACTGCCGCGAGCACTGTTGGCAGGCTGGGGCAGACGGGTGTCGAAAATAGAAGATACACACTTGGTTCGATCAGTGCTCCAAGTGGTTTGTTTTATTCTGTCAACGCAAACCATTCATGAGATGGATGGCCGTGATACCCTTTTTTTACAATACCATGATTACATACTTAATTATTGATGCTACTAACTAATGAATACTTTGGTCGAAACCGCAATGCAGTTACAACCAACTTCTTATACAACATCGATTGTGGGGAGCTTTGTCTCATTTTTGTACTTTATCTGGAAGAAGGGGTTCATTGCACTTCCTTAGAGCTTAGTCAGTATTTTGCTGATAATTAGTGTATGAGTCCTTCTCGTGGCGTGTTCATATCTGCGTCATCATTTAGAAGCTCCAGCAGAATGCAGTGCCTCGTGTAAGATGTGTAATACATAGAACTGAATACATCAATAGAGCAAGTCCATGAAATTGATATCATCCCATGGCATCCTGTAAGCACATATCTAATTATCAGTAGACAGATAATTTCATAACTACCTACTATTTATTACCTACTGCCTACTGGATATTTCATGGTGCAATGCGTGGTTAACCACCTGCTATACCTGGAGTAACAACAATGGAGGCAGTTACACCTTTCTCTTCACCTAAAGTCAAGAAACTGCATGTAAGGAAGGTTCGATATAAACACATGCCTCCCTTACCTACCTACTAAGGTAGGCACCTAACTACTATAACCTAACAGGTACTCAAGTAGCTGCATATACAATTTTGGTCAAGCGTGTTAGCATGTATTTGCGTGACACTTCATCACATACCTAATCAACGAAGTGGTTGTGGTTCTGTCGAGATGTTTCGACTGCAGACAACCACGATTGGCATCACCTCTCGTGATCTCAACGATGCCGAACGCCGCAGCCGGTACAGAAAACATCTCCTGAACCGCCGGCGAACTAACAGAAGGCGGGATCATCATACCCTCTCTGAGCAAGAAGCAACTACATTTGAAGACGCTCTCAACAGACGGGTAGCAACTCCAATGCTGGAACCGATTGCTGAACCAGGTACACGTGCCTCACCAAGTCGATATGCGACAGAAGGCGAGGAAGACACAGATTTACCACCACTGTTGCTTGAAGACGAGACCGATTATTCTTACGACCCCACATTGGATCTGGATGCTGATCATCGCTCCAACCCCTCGGCCATAGAGCCAGAGCAGCATAGAACGAGTCTCCGTTCACGATCGGGCAGCAGTCAGTCAATTGGTTTATCTGAATGGCCTACTTAAGTAAAAAAAGCGTCACTAACAAGTTTGTAGTTGCCAACAGAGGTATCGCAATTGGTCCTTTGCCTATCCGCACACGGTTCGACAACACCGATAACCGAGAAACTGAACAACACGAGGCTGAATACCAACTCGCATCTTATGATTCTGAAGATGAGTCCACCGACAACCATTCCCAACACTCTACAGAACTTGCAGACTTCTTTAGAGATCCCGAGACGACGAACTCTGCAATTGCCGAAGAGCTGGATGATACGTCTTCTTTGAGGCATTTGCCAGTATATAGTGATCGCTTACCCAGCCAAGAACAGCCGCAGACACCAAGACAACTACCGGAAGCTCGTCACCAAAGCCGATTTGATGGAGCCTACACGGCTCCAAGTCGAGGAAGACGACGGCTGAGAGAAGACTTAGACGACGCACCAGTCACAGTAAGAAGAACGCGCGGTGGGTATAGCACGAGCCCAGTAGGGTTGAGAACTCCAGGATTTCAGGGTTTGTATGGGGGCAGTGAGAATGCCGACGATGCTTGATTTGCCGAGCTGCATTGTGATGTCAGGTGGCCAACAGCATCGATAGAGGCAAGGTGAAAGAGGATCAGTCAATCCTGTGGATTCAAAGAATAGAGCATGTTACCTACGACAGAGAATTGCATGGATTGCTTGCGTTGTTTTGTGGGCTAGAAATGGGAAATGGTTTGCAGTTCAGTCAGTGTTACTCTGGTCACGACAACGTAACTAATTGAAGCACATTCCTTCAATCAACTCTCAATTGCGGGTTTCTAGGTAACTAATTGCACCCAGTGTTAGTTAGATTCGATCATCATTGCAAACGATGCTTGTGCTCGAGTTTTCTGTTAGTCCAGCTCCAGACCATCCAGTCAGCCAGCCTCCCGCGGCAACGAGAATTCCAGTCTAAAGCAAAGTTTTTGCTGGATGTGCCTAGCTACCTAGGTACCTCAGGCACAACTCGTTCCAATTAATTCTGGGGGCACACAGTACGTACTCCTCATACGCAACCGGACCCGGAACTACAAACTTCCAATACATCAGGTCAACCCAACTGCAAGCTGACTCGAGGTGTGTGGAAGTTGAGTGGGCCTCTGGTGGAACAAACGGATTAGCCAATGTTTAGCAACAGGTGAAAAAAACTTGGCCTGAGCAGGGCTCGGCTCGGAGTGGCACGGGGTAATTGAGATCAAGCCAGGTTCAAGTTGAAAACGTTGGCTACCCAACCAGAAGGTCGTTCACGACTTGCTCGAGACCCGCCGAGACACCCGGAGACACTAAGCCCCTTACGGCTACGAGACCCCTAACAGTTACGCAGTTCAGAAGGGGTCAAGCGCGAATTGGAGCTGACCATTCGCCAGTACGTACCTGACGCTGCGAGCTGCCTTAGCGTCAAGCTAGGCGAAACTAGGACATATCTAGGGCCGGGAGGTTTGCGATAAGCTGATGGCGTGCGTACTGTGTGCACACTGTTTGGCACGGACCTAGCTGCAGCTTGCCGACTCCGTTACAAGACGCTGATAGTTTTGCTTATGTCTTGTGGTGGTGTGGGTATCTGCTCAGGGTAACGCTACGCGGACATCCCCGTTCGCGAGACCGGTACAGTGCCAACTCTCGTAGCTTTGGAGATCGGAGTGAGGCTGCATGGGTGGTTAAAGAGCACCTCAAAGGCTCAACCTGGGGTAAAGAGCCACTCACACACTTCACGCCCCTTCCTCGTCTGCTTGTCTCTTCCTCTTACAGGTTCTTTTACCAGTCCTTCCCTCGCATCCTTTTACAGCTTTTAATCCTCCTTCTTCCCATTTATCACTTCCCTCGTCTTCTCTCTCTTCTTCATAACACACCACAAAACATCCATCACCTGCTCCTTGATCAAACTTCTTAACTACCTTACTTTACCTCCTTCTACCCATCCTCACCCTCACCTGTCGCGTATTCTTCACACTTGCGCCTACTTCTGAATAAGCCTACCGCGTCTTACTTCTACCTCTCTTTTAACTATATCATCGCCCCTGATTAGGCTGCATCGCATCTCGCCTACGATCTTACTTAAACTTCGTCTAAGCGTCCTAGTCTCATGTCCACGGAACTCATCACCACGGTTCTAAAGACGCTATAGATGGTTTGTGACATCGCTGACTACTAACCTTCCAACAACTTCCAGTCTTACCACAGAAGAACACTTTTCGCAATGTCGTACTTCAGCTCTCAATTCTCTTCCTCTCCTGTCCTTACCATGTCTCCCCAACACGCCCACCAGTCCATGGGCATGGCAAGCTTCGGACACCATACACCATCTCGATTTGCACCTATGCCAAGCCAGTTTGCTGCTGCTCAGCCTGTACGACCTGCTGCAGCTGGCAGAAAGCGTTCCCGGGAAGAGGCTTCCGACAATCTTGAGCCTGATTTGAAGAACCTGCCCGTCGAAGAACCTGAAGAAGAATGGATCTATGGCCCTGGCATGACCTTGGTCAAAAAGAGCAGCGGCTATATCACTGACGCGAGCAGCCAGTCTGGCACTTGGGTCGAGGAGAAGAAGGCTGCTGAGGCTGCCGCCATCAAAGAGGCGCGCTCCTTGATCAGGAACCCAAAACTGCAGCGCGTTTCTCCCACACTATCGAGCGCACATGCAGCTGGCATATCTACCCTCAAGTCAGAAACCAAGCCGGCTGTTGAGGGACCCATTGTTGATACTTTCACCCTGCACCTCGGCATTGGCTGGCGAAAAATCAGCCAAGAAGACCACATACAGGCAGCTGCTCGTGGCTGGGCTCGATATATCGAAAACCACTATCCTGTTTCCAATGCTCGAATTCTATTAGAGAGCAATGGCCTCCAGTCATATCTTGTTGAAGCCACGGAAGGTTTCTTCCTCTTTGCCGAGAATCTCCGCCAAGGTCAGCTTGTTAGCCAAACTGCTGAGGGCGCACTTCAAAATCTTCAATGCTCTCCTCCCATCTTCGACGGGATGGAGGTTCTTTCAGCAGCCGAATCTCCTCGTCCAACCAACGCTGTCCCTGACATGGACATGCGAATGGAATGAGAGCCTCGTCCGGGAACTTTCTTTCATTTTATTCAACTGCATATTGTCATTTGCTATTTATTCGGAGTTACGTGTTCGTCATGCTTATGGACTGGACTGGAACTGGGAAAGGATCCGTGGGAAGGCCGGGATAGGCCACCAAGAGCGAACGCCATTAGACTCGGATAGTCATGGCCGGATATCATTTAACGCAATTTATATCATTCAACAATGAACTCCATTTCGATCATGCCTTTCTTTTCACTGTGAATGTCCATGCTGGTACCTGACAAATTCTTGTTGTTGAAATTGTGCAAATTTGTGCAGTGAAGATCTTATGGTATGTGACGGAGAAAACCTCCCGCAGCTGATGGATACGCGATAAGGCTTGGCGTCGATTTCGCGAGCGGCCTGACGCGGCGCTCCTTGCCCATGCCTTGATACTAGCATCATCAGAGTTGGAATAGGGGAGGCCTGGGCGGAGTTCGTTGACGCGATGGATTGCGGATACTCTGAGCTCTTGTCCATGTCGTGAATCCATTGCATGAGATATGGGTAGAATCACTGGACTGTATTCTCTGATGCAGGTCATATTGTGAACTCGACTATAAGATGCAGAACATAAAGCAACACAGTGCTTGGAGTGGTTCGTCTTGTTATGCCTGCTCCATGTCTCACAGCCAATCTGGTAGCAGTGGATGCACCTTCTGCAACTCTGTCTAATTCGTCGACTAACTTAGAAGAACAATGAAATGCACTGCAATAGGAGGAGTGAGTGCTTGGATGCCCAAGTAAACTTACTACGTATATCGCGCGCGGGTGAGTACGATTATCTTGAACGTTTCGGAGCGGTCAATCAAGCAAGGCACACTGTCTTTTACCCTTCTGTGTTATTTTTTCTAAGTGTACTCACCTCAGTTGGTAATTACACAATGAGCATCAGATATTTCTGCGAATCCGGACGGGGAATATTTCCGGTCTGCTGTTGCAGTTGGTTACACTCTGTACCTCGTAAATGGCAGCCTACTGGGAAGGGGTTTTGCCTGGCTCAGGGGAACCGTGTTCCCCAATTTCCTTCAATTGAACTCGACTGAGGTACTATGTATCTCTGTCCAAAAAATAGATAGGTTGAAGCTCGCGCGATACCTTGCCAGAGCAGGGGCTTCCAGCATTGTTTCAGGTACCTCGCCTGAGCCGACTATCGCCCAGTTAACACGAGTAACTTGCATGACGCCGTAAAAATATCAGGTTGCACTGACTGAACGAACATCCGTCATCTACCTACTAACCTTAGTACCTACTAGGTATCCGTGGACTGTAGAGGTAGATACATAGGTCGTTACGTAGTCTACCTAGGTATTGGAGGAAGGAGGGTTCAAGATAAGGTAACTTCCATATTGCAACATCATCATCTCGTCGTAAATATTCCACTAAACATTCATTTTCATTCGCTCTCGCCACTATTGGATTCGCATAGAGACTGCCTGGATTGTCGCATCGGTTTTAGCACCTACCTCCGCCTGTAGCTTGGGGAACCTGGTCAGAGAAAAGCCTCCCGCGGCTGATTGAGCAATCCATTACATCGCATCACAGTGCATCACAATCACAACCGTCAACCATGTCGAGCGCAAGCCAACTTTTTCTCCTCGCAGACCACATCAAGCTCTCGCTGCTAGAGCGCCAGAGAGCAAAAAACCTCAATCTAGAAGGGGACTCACAAGATGGCCACTTGTCACGATCATTTGACCAGTTCCGCGAAGGCCTGGCCAGTCTTCGCGAAGAGGAGCAGCGACTAACCTTCGCTGGCGAGACGGCGTATGTTTTGGTCCAGCCCATCCATTGCTATTCTCATGACTAACTTTGCCTCAAAGAGCTGCTTCAGATCTCATAGAATCCATCACATCGCTCCAGAAGCAACTCGACGACCTCACAACCCAATATCAAGGCCATACCTCCTCCTCAACAGCCGAAACCCTCAACCACCCCAATTCGGAAGCGCTCGCCGATGACTTTGAGCATGCAACCTCCACATCTCCAACCTCACGCAAGCCAAAGACTGTTCGCTTCAGCGACACGCCTTCGTCCCCATCCGCGGAGCTCTTTGGCCCTTACAGAGATGACCCTTCTAACAGCGCTGGTTACCAGGATGAGGCTCAGGGCATGAACAATCAGCAGGTACATCAGTACCACGCTCAGATTCTAGAGCAACAAGATGAGCAGCTTGATCGTTTGGGTGAGTCTATTGGACGCCAGCGTGAGCTAAGCATGCAGATTGGCGACGAGCTCGACAGCCACGTTGCTATGCTCGACGAGGTTGAAGCTGTTACCGATCGCCACCAGAGCCGATTGGATCGTGCAAGCAGAATGCTTGGCAAGGTTGCTCGCGGGGCGGGTGAGAACAAGCAAATGACTACCATTGTGGTTCTCATCATTATTCTTGTGCTCCTTATCGCCATCCTGAAATGATATATATGCTTGCCATCCGTCTCAAAACAAACAGCGGGCTTAGCGCATCGGTTGGAGTTCTCGGAGTAGTTGATTTAGGTGCAGTTCAAGGTACCTATCTACTTCACATGTTGATAGTCTTTTCATTCTCGTAGCTCAACTCAAGAGTAAAACATATGGCTTCGTTGATATGCCTTTCCTGCACATACGCACACAGCAGTCCTATGCAAATCTTAACAGAAACAAAGACCGGGTTAGGGGTTTCGTCATATCATATTGTTATTAATTCGGCTCAAAGCTTTCCCTCGATATGCAATCTAGTCGTTTCTTCTCTGGCGCAGATCAACCTTGAACAACGCCTGGATCAGTTTATCGAATGACGTCCCCTTCCTTGTCAATGCCTTCAAGCCCTTCAAGAATATCGCTCCCAGCCAGAATACCACTGGCGCCCACGGTTACGCCTCTCTCCCGCGACCATACTTCATGAAATTTAATGGTCTTGTCGCTCGATGCAACAATAATGCACCCCTCCTGGCCCCCTCCAGATACCCTTCGACCATTGACAGTTGGTCCTCGAGGAAAAGGAATGGCATACAAGGCTCGTAAATCGTCTTCCTATGGAATTGCTGCGACCTGTTTGCATTCCGGCCAACTGAAAACACTGACACGATAAGGATGTTCTGGTGAAGCGTAACCAAAGGTTGCTGCAATCTCTCTGCGAGTCGTATTCCAGATTAGTGAAGTGACTTGAGCTGATACCGATATTGTTGCCAGTGCTGCTCCTGATGGTGTATGAAAGAAGTGGATGCACTTGTCGTTAGAGCCACCTCCTGTTGCAACCAACTCGCGTCTCCAGGGGCAAAAAGCAATCGCTTTCACTGCAGCACCGTGGTTCCAACGATGCCTTTCAATGCCGGGGCCAAGGTACCGAACTGTGTCAGTTGCAGTTGGAAGCGGCCGTAGCTGCGCAGTAAAGGACCTCACTGGCCCATCGTCGCTCGCAGCTAGGGAGAGTAGCTTTGTGACACTTATCTCGATGCCACCATATGCGCTACCTGCTTCAATGCGCGCTATGTACCCGTTCCCCGTCCGAGGCAAATCATGTCGTCGCCCGACTACTTGATCAGCATCGAAGAGACAGCAGAGATTGTCGTTGCCCCCAGAGGCGAACATACGGCCGTCGTTGGACCACGCGAGACCGCATACTTGCTGACAGTGGATATTGCCGATCTTGGCTATCAAGGATATTGCACCAGGCCATGTATCCCGGGTAACTTCCCAGCCGAAAGGCCATTCCACAACATAGTAGTAAATATTACCCATCTCATCCCCAACCACCAAGTCTTCGGTTTGAACCTCAACTCCTGGATTGAGGGGGTCTTTGGAAGGTCGAAGGGTACAAATCGGGCGCCAACTCACACAGGAAACGGGAAACGTTTGACGAACCTCAAACCGAGGCAGTGTATCGAATAGAGACTGGAACAGCACAATTCCGTCTGAATGTCCGATTCCAAGCACAGCTTTACCCCCTTGTGTTGATGAGAAGGCAACCGACGTCAACTAAGTGTCGGAACGACTACCATGAATCAGCTGTACGCCTCGAAACTCAGACCAGGTATAAAGGAGATTGCCAAGGCAGACAACGAGCGCATGTGCCGTATAAGAGTAAGCTAATGGCGAGCAGTAGAAATCATCTTTGAGGTTCGGCGCATCAAGCACTCTAAATAGTATCAGCTCACTGTCAACCGGATGCTTTAGTCTACCGACCTGAAAGGGGCAGCTGGGAGAAGGCGTCTTTTTGCTGGTCTTAGAGGAACTGCGGTAGGTAAGCCACGATCTGAAACGAGATGTATAACCAACATACTTGACCACTCCTCTTTGTTGACCCATTGGTATCCATTCCAGCTTGTCTGGCTGTAGTTTGTATGAAGAGTGTGCTGTCTTTGACTTTGTGGGATTCGTTGACCCTGCACGAAATCGAGAACTCTTCGGATCTGGTCTATCTCGAGAGCCGATGCGATGCGACCTTCATGCTTCTCCTTTTCTACCGATGTGCTGATAAGACTCTCCTGAAAAGGTGTGGGAAACACACGAGCATTGGTTCCACGTCGGACGAGATGTCCCTGTCCATCATCCACGGCGATTGTACTAGGCGCAACGCCACCAACTGACCACATGGCACCTAGGCTGACCTGACGATCTCCTCCTCTATTCTGCGGCAGTTGTCCAAGAGCCATACCTACCGATGACAAACATGTTAGTGTGGGAAACAAAGTGCTGCGGCTGTCAAACCTCTCTCCAAGTTACTATCGTCAACTCGAAACGGAAAACGTGGGTCGGGGTCTAAGACACGGCGTTTGAGGACAAAAGGATCCGCCGAGGCACTCTTGTCGCGCTTCAAACGCTCGTCCCTTGATAAGTCTTGGCTTTGCTTCGTTGTTCGATACCTTTCGGATGACGGAGATATATGGTCACGTTTTGGAACGTATCTGTCCAACTTTCGTCTATTGGCGTCGACTCGTTTATCTTTGAGTGGCAAGCGCCCGGAATTTCTGGAGTATATGAAAGGAGAAACTACTTCGGCCCTCTCCCTGGGACGGCGAGTTTCGGGGGTCTTGAGAAGCTCAAGAGAGTCTTCTTCCCGCTTGACAATGGACGTTGATATCTGCAGCTCGTTCTCGAGAAACTTGCTGGTTGGGAATTCATCGATACTGGAACCGTCAAAAGAAGGGAAACATCGTTTCCGATGATTCTGTGGGCATTCACAGGTATCATCTGTTGAGAAGTAGCCTGAATCCAACGGGCTCGGCGTTCGCAAATCCACGCTGTACTTTCGTCGAGATGACTGGGGACGGCGAGGTGGTCGCTGCAACATACTTGTCGATATTGATATGGCGAGGGATTTTCGATTGCCCTTCTGTAAGCATGTGAAAACGAATGAAACTGTTATACTATAACCTGGAAACCACTGCCACAATAGACAGTCCTTTTCCTAGAAGTAAGATTATCTGTCTTATCTGATGATGGAGTAGTATTGATGCTTGGCGAAGAGTTTCGTAGGGGAGAGACGTTAGGGTGAAGTGGTGAAAAGGAGTATTCACAGAGGGGAAGGAGTCATGCCAAGTATAGACTCGCACGAAATGGGTCAAGGACAGCTCCTACTTGACTAAACTCCAGCCAGGCCTTATCCACAGCGCAAGGCAAGCACAGTGTGATAAATGCTTAGTTGCCTATCCTCGGAGTTGGAGTTCCTAGAACTGCTACACCTGTTCGATAAGGGGGGGGGGGGCAGGTCATAGTATTAGCTCACATATGACAGCTAGTAATAACAAATCTCTACTTCAAACAACAGCAGAGAGTATCAAGGGCCAACGGAATTTGAATACTAGTTTCCAGTTCCCTACAAACTGTAGTGCTGCCATGTGGCATTGTCGGCTTAACCCCCTTCAAATGGAACCGCGAAGGAATAATCGAAACGAATTAAACCTGCACCTCATAGTCTTCCACCATTCCTGAAGCGACATTTATATACCGAGATTTCGGGAAATCAAGCCAGTTCTCGGTCAAATCCAGATTCCCCAGGGATTTACGGCTTATTCTAATAAGAGAATCGTTGCCCTCTTTGTCAGCAGAAGCCTCCCAGAACATACTCCCACCAAGACCGCGGTCCAAGATATAATCGACCTTCTTTCGGACCACATCTGGAGTGTCATACGAGATCAACTCATGTGTGCTATAGTCATAGCTATAGTAAGCTTGGGCGTCTTTGTCAAATAGTATGTGTGCTCCGGGCTTGGGTAGTGCTTTGTAGTCCCAGACACCTCTCTCCCAAGAGCCTTGACCGACATCACTATAGGACTCGCCGAGGCCCGAGTTACCTTCAAACGAGCGTCCATAGATGGGCATGCCGAGAACAACCTTTTCTGCGGGGACGTCAGCGTTAAGGTAGGCATTTATAGCTTCGTCGGTATTAAAGTCGTTGGCACTGCGCTTGTAAGGAAACAGATTGGCGCTATGGCCGCTGATTCTGTCCCAGCTACCAGAGTAATCGTATGCCATAAGATTCACTTGATCTACAATTACGCCGATATTTGTAAGGTGTAACTTTTCGTACTTATCGCGGCCGGCGGGGGCAGCGATCGAGAGCAGAAAATGGTGACCGCGTGCATGTTGGTTGGCATACACATCTAGCTCATCTCGAACCGCTAGAAGAAGGAGATCAAAATTATTTGCCTCGGTGTCGTCTTCGGGGTACTCCCAATCGACATCAATTCCGTCGAAACCCCAATCTTTCATCAAGGTGACAGACGACTTGGCAAATCTGGCGCGGTTCTCAGGGGTGCTGGCGGCTGATGGGAAGTTGGTAGACCAGGTCCATCCACCGATGGATAGCAAGACCTTGAGATGACGGTGGGATTTCTTTAGCAGAAATAACTGTTTGACGCATCCATATGCGTTACTTCCCTCTTCATCCCACCCTTTTTCTTTGTCAGTAAAGAAGCGCAGATGGGGAGGGCCAACTCACTATCTCCTTCATAGTGCTTTTCAAGGTCTGCATAGCTGTCTCCAGTGTACCTTCGATCTCTGTTAGAATTAGTTGATGATGGGTGGTTTTGTTGCAACATACACTGTGCCGTCAGACTTTACGTTTAAAAAGGCATAGAGTACGTGGGAAATTTGGGTCGCATCAAGATCTTGAGGCTGGAAGTTCCTTCCATATATCCCCCTATATCACTTTAGAACCATGGCTCTTCCACAAGGTGGCTAACTCACCAATTGACAAAGTAAACGGTATTGGTATGGTTCGGCTTTTGCTGTGCGATCTTTGTCTGCTGAACGAAGTGTTCGGGTGGCATTGCATGACATGAAGCGGCGCGAAGGAAGGCAAATATTGCCAGCGATCGGACGAGGAATATGAGCATCCTGGGTTTCATTCGAAATGAAGCAGTCGGGTTTGGAAAGGATTAGAGAATTGAGAAGTAAAATTCTTGTAATGAGAAGTACGATGCAGTAAATAGAAGAAAGCAAGTTGGTAAACGAAGTAAGAGGAAAGAACCATAGAAGGAAGGAGCCAAAGAGATATTTATAGTGAGGAGTTACCAGCAATGCTTGTGCATACCTAGGTTTAAAGCTACAAATATGCCTCTTAGCACGAATCTTCTTCTATTTACTATGAGTGTCGCACTTGATGTATCGTATGTGGGTTTATCACCCCAGAACGTTGATGCTTGTGTAAGGAGTAATTCATTCTGGATCACGCATACTTTCTGGGTCACGAGGGTCAATTATAGAACCCCAGTTACCATCATCTAAATGGACGTTACAGAGGAGAGCATTCGTTCGTGACGTGGTGTTGGTCGTGAAGTCTAGATGTGGCCGGCTCTGTATACCTTACCTAGGAGGTACCTACTATGCTATGGGTAGACACTCCCTTCTTATGTACATCACTGATCATTCGGACCTGGATCTCTCATACTCTTATCAAAATCATCTGTGATTGATCTATTGTACAGAAGGCCATCTAAGACGACCAAATCACCGAGAGATCAGGACCTTGTATACGACGACGAGCTTGTGCAAGGAAACCCCTTCAAAGTGTACTGAAACCTGTTATGGCAACCTTGAACCATGAATACACCCAGTTTATACATGGGAAAGGTCTTGTATGGTACTAATATAGGGAAGCACCGATAATCCGTAGATAAAGATGATCGTTAAGACGTATGCATGCTTCTTCCTACAGCACCCCGAACCAAAATACGTTCCAACAGGCAACCATATCGATCCATGTATACGTGTAAGAGTCATTCTACAAGTTTTCCTACACATGCCAATCTTTTGCACTGCTAAAGGTACTCTATGATCACGGGGGCTTTCGTTTCAGTAAGACTGAAAGAACAAGAGTTGAGAAGTACTACTCGAAATTCCTTGAACCAAGATGTAACATAACAATGCCCTGAGAACCTGGGTCGTGTAGCTCTACTTGTTCATTGTAGTCAGGCCCAGGCCAATAAGGTTCGATCTTGGTAGACATATGCTACTTGATGTGTTAAAACATCTCTTCTGTGTGATATACCTAGATCATAAGAAGTCTTACTCAGATCATAGTAGGCATCTTGAATCACCCTCCTCTCCCTTGGTACCTGGTACTTCTTACTTACCTATCTTATTCTAGGAGTTCTTTGAGTCGTTACCACTGTATGCAAACTCATATTAGGTTATTCTCATGTCTTGCCAAGATAGATGTTCGCTGTCGCTGCTCTTTTCCAAGAAGTTGCACCATCTCTGAAGTAACTACCTACCTAGGTACCTACCTGTTCCTAGAATTGTGTTATTCGTCGTATCCTACGTTGCTATTGCCTTCTGTGGACTACTCATGCGCTTAGTAAGAAAAAAAGGCAGGAACGTGAAAGCAATCTAACAGGTTTTTCATTTACCATGAGCAACAGCAGGTTCACGATAGATCATATATTTATCAAAACCAACTGGAAGTACTCTCGCTGGACTATTCACGTGTGTGTCTTGTAAGATATTAGCCAGGAGGTGAGGTTGTCGCAACACAGAGATAGTAAACATCATTCCGAGCCACGCTACCCTATACACACGCGGGGTCATAATCCGTCTTCCAGCACTCAAGTTCACAAGCTCAAACAATCAAACCGCCAGTCGCAAGCAACGCTCAAGGTCAAGGTTGCAAGCCGAGGCACCTCATAATGGCTAGTGTTAGTCACCGAATCCCAAGTCCAACTCAGTCGCCGTAACTGATGCTAATCCCAAGGCTTCCAGCACGGCATAGCCCGCACTGCGCGGTCCCGAACAGAAGAGCAGCGCCAGCAGGATTCGGTGAAGATCCAGAAGTACCGTGACCTTGAGGACGATATACGCAAGAAGGTCAGCACCCCCGCTGCGATATACGGTATATTCCTCACACGCGCAAGCAGATCTCGGACAATAACTACGGCCCCGAGACGTTCCAGCTTACCTCGAAGCTCCTGCGCCTTAATCCCGAGTACTATACGATATGGAACGCCCGCAGGCGCTGTCTAATATATGGCTTATTATCCAAACCATCGGCTGGATCGCCGCCCTCGAAGGTGTCGCAGAGTTCCTCAGCGACCGACACTCACACAGCCTCTTCCGCCGCTTCATTGCCCTCATCCTCGACCGAGACCCCGCCACCCCCCAACCCCCCGACAGCTGGGAAGACTGGTACAACGACTGATGGCGACGCTGACGCCGAAGTGATACGCGCCGAGCTGGGATTTACCGTGCCTTTGTTGCTGGAGTTTCCAAAGTGTTACTGGATATGGAATTATCGACTATGGACCCTTGATCGCGCGATCGAAAGACTACATATATCTCTAGCTTATCGTATTTGGCAGGAGGAGCTAGGCCTCGTCAGTAAAATGCTAGTCAAGGATCGGCGCAACTTTCACGCCTGGGGTTACCGTCGACACGTTGTGGCACAACTTGAGAGCCCTGTATTAAACGGCCAAAGCTTGGTCGAGCCTGAGTTTGAATATACGACAACGAAGATCCGGGACGATCTCTCCAACTTCTCGGCGTGGCATAACCGCAGCCAGCTCATACCGAGACTTCTCAATGAGCGCGAGGCAGATGACGAAAACCGAAAAGCTTTCCTGGACAACGGTTTGTCACGACACTATATACAATCCCAACACCGCTAACCTGGGCACAGAACTCGAGCTTATTCGCGGTGGGCTGAATGTTGGACCCGAAGATCAATCTTTGTGGTATTATCATCAGTTCCTGGTGCTGAATCTGGCTGATCCTACTTCGAGTCGCCAAATAGCTCCGAACCTGACAGCGGAAGAGCGCAAAGCATACATTGATCGTGAAGTAATTGACATCAAAGACTTACTTGAAGATTATCGTGATATCAAGTGGATCTACGAGGCTCTTGTTGAGTATGTAATTGCACTGAGCCAACTTATTGGGCAGCCCTTCGAGCCAGAGACTCAAACCGATGTAGCATCTTGGCTGGAGAACCTTAGAAAGTTGGATCCCAAGCGGAATGGACGATGGGGTGATTTGGAGAAGGAGTTGAGCTCACTGCGGTCATAATACTAGACCATGTTTGGCTGCAATTGTCACTTACACCGCGATATGAGCGTTAGACTACTATTATAGCAATATCTCTGTTAAACACGCCCTATGACCATTGCTACCTCGTGAATTAAAATTTGAACGAGTACGTGCTATAAAGACTTCCTATGAATGGTTCAAGTGGGTATCAAAGTGCTCGTTAAATGCTGCGCAAGCTTCGCAATCTCTTAATGCCCACGACCACGACCACGACCCCCTCTGCCTCTTCCCCGGCCTCTGCCACGGCCACGTCCACCCCCTCGGCTGGGGCCATGCCTTGCAGGAATATCACCATCGCTGTCAGAGTCCGAACCTGAGCCTGAGCCTGGGCCTGAGCCTGACGAAGGATCGCTGTGTTCTGCTTCGGAATCTGTATCACCAATTCTGACAATTGTCGGATGGGCAGGCCGTCGAGTCGGAGGTGGTGGCGAAGGACTGCGTGAACTTTCGTGATGCACCGAGGATACCGCAGGTGACTGTCTACTGACCTGGTACTCACTGCCGGGGCTTGGGCTGCGGGTAGCCTCTTTCTCGAGGTCAGCCGTTGGCTTACCAGCTAGAGGTAGTTTAGGAGAAGCCATTGTGTTTGGTGCAGGTGACTGAGTCGCTGTTGCATTGCCAGAAGCAGTTGTGGACTTGCGTTTCCCAATCTTGAATTTTTTCCCCTTAAGCGCCATACGCTCAGCCATAGACATAAGCTGCGTTCCTGCACCACCGGCAGGTGGAGGTGAAGGAGAGACGGAAGCTTGTGATGGCTCGTTGTCGGCAGCTTCTGATCGTCGAGTGCGACGAGCAGTCCTAGAGGTGGGTTCCTCGACATCTCCGTCGAGAACATTGGCAGTGGTGGATGTGGTCGCAATGGTAGTCACGCCAGACTTTCTAGGCCTTCCTCGACGTCGTGGTTGACTGTTTGCAACAACCTCTGGTGCACCAATTGCAAGTTCAGCAGCGAGCTCAGCTTCCAACTCGCCAACTATCTTTTCGTGCTCGAAGTCACTGTCGTCGTCTTGATCTTGAACAGACGTACCAGCGGCTTCATCTGAATTATCTGCTGCCACAACCTGAGACAGATGTGACTTCCTAGGCCGGCCCTTGGGCCAACCCCTCTGACCGCCCTTGGACTTCTTAGATGAACCAGCCGGCGAAGCCTGCGAAGGAGAAGACGTATTCTTAGGTGGGCGACCACGTCGCTTGGGAGTCTTAGTCTCGGGCTCAGGTTCTGCCTCGATAGAAGCTTGTGGGCTGGATGATGAAGGTGTTCCAAAGAGAGCGCGAACTGCATCAGCGGCCATGTCAACAGTAGTCTTCTTGTTCCCTTTTTCGACACCGCCGGGCGATCGAGTTTTTGTTTGGTGCGTGCGCTCCTCCTCGAACTCATCAGAGTCGACATCTGGTTCGACATAGGATGCTATTGGCTTAGCGTGCCTAAGTTCAGGCTCATTTGCATCGAACAATAGCTGACCCCGTTTCTTAGGTGGAGCTGAGGCCGGAGTTCCCTCTGGTGTATTCTGGGTACCACCTGTCTCGACGCCTTGTGCCAAATCTTGGCCTCCATCGTGCTGCACAGGTTGATCCATGACAGCTTCAGGAGCTGCGGGGGGTGGCCCGCTGAACAACGCAGGGTCCATACTATCCAGGAAGTCTGCTTCTGCTTCTGCCTCGGTCTCGAGACGAGGCTTCTTGTGATGAGACTTGCCAACGACGAAGTCCGGATCCTCGTTCTCTCGCCTGACCTTTCGTTTAGCCGCACGAATAGATTTCTTGACAAACTCAGGGACATCTGGTTCAAATGGTCGCATGGCCTCCGCAGATGGGGCCTGGAAAGGGTCGAACAGAATCTTGTCTGGTGTATCATCCGGTTCGTAGTATCCCATGCCAATACGCTGTCGAGCCACCAACGAAGGATCGGGATATAGAGAAGTGTCGACATCCTCCGCCTGTGACATGTCCATGGTCATAGACTGGTCAGCTGGCCCGCCGTTCTCGCCAGGATAATGCGGGAACGGTCCTTCAACAGTGTCATCGGCCATGGACTGGTCGCCTTGACCAAGTACATGGCTTTGATCTCCATAGCCATTCATACCGGGCCTATGCATGCCGTTCGCAGCATCTTGATTGTCTGAGTCGTCTGGAATGGCCTGTTCCGCTTCTTCCTGATCTGTAATATCTTGTGCCTTGGCGTTGTCGGCTTGTTCTCTTAGTCTCTTCATGCGTTTACTATCCTTGCTTCGACTTTCCTCTCCCGCGGCCTTGAGCCATGAGAGGTTGTGGACTCGAAAGTCTACGAGTGCCTCTACACTCCGATCATCAGCAATGGGGCGGGTATCATGTCCTAGTAAAGTGTTCTTCGGTGTGTATGGATCCGTATTACCCACGCGGCGACAATAACCACAATTACAAATGCCCAAGCACTTGGGACACTGCCATTGCTCATCCTCAAGAACCTTCTGCGGTAACATGTCAAATGCTCTGTAGAGAACGCCATAGCAATAGGATTCGGTACATCCCGGATTCGTGCACTGGTGCACTCGGTAGGCATAGTCCTTGTGACAGCAAACGTGGCATCGCCTGAGCTCTCCTCGCTTTTTCTTTCGCTTGTATTTCTTCTTGGGTTTCCCCTCACCATCGACCTCGGGTTCCGACTCGCTTGGTGTTATTTCGCGTTCTGGTTGGGTGATGTCTTTCCAAGGTCGTCTTCTCAAGGCCTCCTGGCAAATCTGTGCCAGGGACTTTTTCCCAGAACGCTGCCGCGCTATCTCTAGAGGCTGGGGTGAAGCCTCAAAATCTACAAATCCGTCGTTCTTAATTATCATTGAGCGCCAATCTTCGTAGTTACTGACCAGGTCGGCCCACGACCATTGTTCACACCATTGCAGACCTGAAAGACATGCGCAAGATCGTCCCATGGCGTAGCATTCCATGCAAACGTCATATGTATCTTCATCGCCGTTCACCAGCATGCGAGTGCAGTGCTTACAAGTCAAGAACCTGTTGAATATGTTTGATCGGCAATATGAGCAGGTGATGCATGAGTCAAACTCAATGAACTCGACCTCCTTTTCCTTGAATGAAAACATCTCATCAAGATGAATCTCAGTAAACAGGCTGAAGAGTTTCTTGAAGTCCCCCGCGAGCTGTTTAGCACGAGGCGAGCTCCTAAGAATATCCTGGCCAATTCCCAGAAAGCTCATCGAGGTCATTTCTGCGTTTTCCTCCAGATTCTGGAGCTGACGATAGTACTTTTGCAGAGTGAAGAAGATAATGGCTTTGTTCTTGTACTGCTCATCGCGACATACAAGACGAGCCTTGGGCAGGGCCTCGTGCAATGCCATTTCGAGGGTCTCAGCAGTTGTGCGATTCCACGCCACCTTTATTGTTCGGGTACCCCGGTTCCATACTTGATGAGCGGCCAGGGGCGGAATAAGGATGAAGTCACCGACTCGCTGCTCCACAACGTAGACGTCGAACGGCGCCTTCTTCCACGCGTTGATTTGAGCGAAGTGTTTCTCGATCTCGATGTCGTGCCCCAGCATGGAGAGGAAGTATTCTCGTACGACCTCTCGGTCCTTGCTTTCCGTCATAAACCAGATGGAACTTCCAGGCTTCTCGCCCTTCTCGTCACTCGATGCTTCAACCATGATATTTTGGCCCAGTGAGGCACACATTTCGCGATGTGCTGGAGTGAATGTGCCTTCATGACCAATATAGCACATAAGATTCTGAGCGCGCATCTCTTCTGGCAAACTCGACATCAGGTCACCCGCTGGGGCCGCTGCGGCTTCATCGCGGAAGGCATCTTCGTCCTGTCGCGAACCTCCAGCCTCGCTGGCGTTCTCGTTTAGGTAGAATAGGTTTGGGTGTATGACTTTCTGTAGTGCATCGTGCCACTCCGGAGGGCAGTCGATGTCTTTGAGGTAAAGGCGCTGACGGCGCTCATCGCGGTAATTGGTAGGTGTCCACTGGTTCGCAAGTTGTTTCATCGATCGCAGGTAGTGTCCCGTTGTCATGGGAATGTCCGCACCGGCGGTGATATCTCTCACATTCTCCTCTATAGAGGAAAAGGGTCAGCATATTCGTGATTGTATGGTAGGAAGAGTCGACCTACGTGTTTTATCGTAAGTCTTCTCTAACCACGCAGCGTCGAAAAGCCATTTTGGTAGAAGTCCATCCCATCCGTCAATAACGAGAGGCTTGCCGCCCGCGGTAACGTGAATCAGTACGAGCTTCTCGAACTCCTGTTGACCCAGGCTGCGTATTTGGTTTCTCGAGACGCGCTGGACCCATTTGAAATTAGGTGTTCTGTCCACTAATCCATACAAGTCCAGATCAGGCGGGATAGGGTCGAATTTAGCTTGCGGATGGAGTGAGGTCGGCATGTTGTCTGGTCTCCGACTGATGGTATCAGGTATGCGCAAGACAGCTGCTGTAGAGGTTCGCTCGGGAAGGGAAATGTTTACAATTATTAATGAAGAAGCTGAATTGTCTTTGCTAATTGTTGATGCGCTAGCGATCAGACTGAAAAGCCTCTACGTTCGCAAGCTACATCCATTCAAAGAGTGAATGTGGTGGTGATATCACCCGAGCGATAGTGTTGGAGAGTTTACAATGGTTGGGGACTGTAGCATTCGCGACAGGAGCTTGAGCGCTGCATCGAAATGCGCGGCCAATCAGAAGCGGAGTAAAATAGCGGGAGTTGCGCACGTGACAGAACTTCCGGTCTTGCGCTAAGTGAGTGGTGGAGCTAAGCTTGATGCAAGGATTCCAAAGTTCATAATTCGGATTTTTGTATTTCGAGTTTGTCAAGATAGAGCTTCGATGGGCTGGCATTAAAGTCTTGCGTGACAGATTCCACTTGACGAGCTTCGTGGTAAGTAGGATATGGGTTTATACATCGATTGTTGGTCTTGTTTCTTATTATCCCTGTAGGCTGTAGGCGGCGATCCATGAGATTAAATACACTCCCCCGGGCTTCGGCCTGGACTCAATGTCGAGGCATCTCAGGTCAAGCTCTGAGGGTTTCAAGGCAGCTACAAACACGGTCTGCTCTCGGCGGTGCTTTTAGATATGCAGGGAAGTCATGGCATAATACTAAACGAGCTGTTGGGTTCCATGAAGCTAAGCCTCGATCTTCACCCTTGGCCGCTCAGGATTTGGACTCGCCATCAGCTCCGACCATACCAGCACCATACAAAGCGCCCGAAACTGGACTCCTCTCCAAGCTTCCGGCATCATGGATTCCTTATGCTGAGCTCGTCAGACTCGATAAGCCAGCCGGAACATATTACCTGTTCTTCCCATGCCTCTTTTCTACTCTTATGGCAGCTCCTATGGCTATGCCCATGGCAAGTCCAGGTTCAGTCATTGGAACTTCACTTCTCTTCTTCTCGGGAGCTCTGATCATGCGGGGAGCTGGATGCACGATCAATGATCTATGGGATCGTAACCTTGATCCCCACGTGTCACGAACTCGACTCCGACCTATTGCCCGTGGTGCGATCACCCCGTTCAAAGGACTTGTTTTTACCGGGTTTCAACTGTTCGCTGGGCTGGGTATATTGCTGCAGTTTCCTCTGCCTTGTCTGTTCTACGGTGTTCCTAGTTTGATACTGGTGGCCAGTTATCCTCTAGCTAAGAGGGTCACATACTACCCTCAGGCAGTCCTTGGTCTGACTTTCTCATGGGGCGCTATCATGGGCTTTCCGGCCCTTGGAATTGACTTGCTATCACACACTCCAGCTCTAACCGCCGCAGCCTGCCTCTATGCTTCGAACATTGCATGGACGGTATTGTACGACATGATTTACGCTCATATGGACATCAAGGATGATGTCAAGGCAGGAATCAAGAGCATTGCGCTGAAGCATGATGCTGAAACTAAGCAAGTGCTTACAGGATTGGCGGCCGCGCAGATCTCTCTCCTCGCCGCGGCCGGGTTTGCAGCCGGTGCTGGACCGGCGTTCTTTGTTGGAAGCTGTGGAGGAGCTATGGTCACCCTCGGCCTCATGATCAAGCGAGTCAATCTGAAGGATGTCAAGGACTGTTGGTGGTGGTTCATTAACGGTTGTTGGATTACCGGCGGAGTGGTCAGCTTGGGCTTGGCTACAGACTACACTATTAGATATATCAACGGGCCTGAGGACAAGGCCATGTCGGATCACTGAGAGCCAGAGAGGAACTGAGGCTTTGTATAACAATTGTACCATAACGTCATCATACATGGAGATACGGGATATATCACCAAGGTTTTATCTCACGCGGCGTGCACATCGTAGTTGGTTCGTCGAAGACTTTGTGATCTATTTTCCCTTTTCAGACCTCGTCTCCCATGATCAGATCCCTAACCAGTAATGCCGATGCAAGCAATCCGAATAGACTCCACGTGTCGAAATATGACTTTGATTCCATCCACGAGCCCTTCGCTTAAGAACGGGGCTTCTCCTTCTTCTCCTTCCACAGAGCGAGCAGGCCGACACCAGAGACCTTGACGACCTTGAATCGCACACCGGGAATATCACCCTTGGCCTTGCCCTTGCGACCGAAACCAGCCAGGAGGACCTCGTCGTTCTCGTCCACGAAGTTCAAGCAACCGTCATTGGGGACTATAAGAGCTGTCAGTTAAACCCATCCTTTATATCTCGTAGCATCTGGGGTTCGTCGTACCGAAGGCAGTGACCTTCTTTCCGTTCTTGATGAGCTGAACACGGACACACTTTCGGATAGCGGAGTTAGGCTGCTTGGCCTCAACACCGACCTTCTCAAGGACGATGCCCTTGGCGTGGGAAGAACCACCGAAGGGAGAGGACTTATAGGCGGTACCAAGGGCACGCTTCTTGTAGGCAAGGTCGGCCCATTTCTGGTCCTTTCGGTTTGTTCGCAGCTTGCGAGCGGCGTTAAGACCACGGGGTTTGCCTCCAGCCATTTTTGCTTCAAATCGTTAGTCGAACGTCGATGCGGAAAATTCGGTCGCGGGCGAGGGCCTGTTGAAGGGGATTGTGCTGGGCTGCTGGAGTACCTACCGGATCTGTCTGTGTATCGACGACGGGTTGGTGATGGGAATTTGCGGAGGCTGCAAAAAGTTGTAACAATTGACCAGCCAAAATTGCAGGTAGGGTTTTGTGGCCCTAGGAAAGGAAAGTGCTACTGATCTGTGGCGGGAAGGAAGGTCACGTGGAGATATGGCTCGAAGCGCCCCACCTGCAAGGTCTTGGCGATGGGCTGACTATCCGTACTACGGATTAACCTAGATTGGCTGATGATGCTAAAAGCGAGCTGACAGAGTCGCACAGTGAAAGAACAGGATGTGTCTCACTATCAGCACTGTCCCCGCTAGCATCCAATTCAAAGTCAAAACGGGGTACCGAGTATTATATCAGCCAACATTTGGACCAGGCAGGAATGAAGCAAAGGCTATTATTATTTTCGGCGTTCTATCATTGACCAGTCAAGAAGCCTTTAAAGTCATAATGTCTCATCTAACGCGACCATTGAGCCGACAACGGGATCCGCCTCCTTCTTTATTCCTCCATCCATCTCCTTCAGCCTCAAATGCCTCCTTACCGACTGCTCCTCCACCAACTGTTCCTTTCATAGGCCAGTCCAACTTGAGACCAAACGTTGAGCCTGCACCTTCTGTTCGTTCTGGGCGTTCCGGAGCTGTTCCCCAGCGGATTGGGTTATTCCCAGCAGAGAGTACTCGCGCGACCGGAGACCGTACTGATCTCTTGTGGTCTGAGATGCAGGCAACTCTGGAAGAAGTCGAACTCTCGGCCACTGGGGGAACTCGTGTATTTGGCCCAGACCATGACCGCAAGCTAGCTGATCTAAGAGCTGCCCAAATTGCTCTAGCTCAGGCCTGGGCACGAAGTGAGGCAGACGATGTTATAGACACAGCGCAACTCGAAAACGTAGGATCTGTGACTGGATCTGAAGTTCGAAACATGAAGGGTGCACTAGGAGATACCTCAAAGTCTGGCCTTGAGGGAACCGAAAAAAGTGCAGTCGGTACTAGCAGTATTTCACGTCCCAACAGCAGTGGCACAGGAGTCGAGAGACTGGGTCACAAGTTGGAAGAGGAGACAGAAGTGGACATTCTACTTGCAAGAAAACGGCGAGAGGCCAATGACCGGTACTTCCAACGAGTTAACCAGGGAGTCATCGACGTTGTAACCCGGCTTGAAGATGTTGCAGTTGCTATGAGAGCTGTTGAACAGGAAAGCAAGGAAGTTTGGAGCGAGAATGACAGTGTCCCTGGGTTGTGAAATCATAATTGTATTACTTGTAGACTGGTGGTTTTCTTCGGCATTTTGAGCTCGGCGTTGTCAGGAGTCAAGTTGCATTTAATTAGCATTGACGGCGTTCCATAGTATGAGACACCCCCTGGTATTGGTCCATATGCTCAGGTTATTAAACGTCCCTTACACCCACAATATCTTGTCAGTCCTGTTCACGCTTGATTGTATGTGCTGGCCTATCCTAAAGTCCAAGCGAAGGTAACGGATGAGATCTACAGATTGTGTACGTATCTTTTGACTTACACCAAAGATGGGAGGTGGAGAAGGGAACACTAAGAAGGTACAACCCAGCAATTATCTCAATGACGCAAACGTAGCCGTCTACCTTTGAGTTTCGCCATTTTGCAGCGCTATCGAGTGACTAATTGATCTACCCAATGACTAGGTATGTTACCAAGATATAATATAGTGGTTGCTACCGCTGTACTAGACTACCTAACTTAGTAACATGCTTGGAATATCATGTCCTACGCCTAGGTAGTGAGTGTGAGTTTAAATAGGGCCGACCGAACGTCATTGTTCGCCTGTCTCCCGACACAAACGGGACGAGAAGAGTCAAGATCTCGAGATATTAAACAAAAGATCCCTCTTCCCCAAACCCATGATGACTTGTTGTCTTTCCATTTACGTAGTTGGCCGTTTCCATTGTCCTACAAATGGAATGCCTAGTTCAGGTACCCTCATTCTCAGCAACATGATTGGCAGAATGATCGACCTACCCGATTTGGCCACTGGTCAGTCCGCCATGTGGCACACTGCTTTAAACTCGCTTCAGTGGGGTGACCCTGGGGAGATAATGCGGCACCCCGTGGTCTGCGTCTGGTATGCAGGCAGGGACAATGCGTCGCTTCTGCCGCCCCCCCCCCGAGACTAGGCCTAGGCCTCTCTGTGTTCGCCATCGCCCGCTGTCTCACCCAAGTCATATAAAGTCTCAGACATCCCATCATCTGCTGCATCGACGCTACCAGCATTTAACCATCATTCTGCGCATTTGACGTCGTCCGAACATTTATCGCAACAACTAACAAATTCATCACGCACAATCTTCGATAACACTATCGCCGATACCGCTTTCAGCATGAGACTTCTTCCTTTCGTCGCTGCCGCGCTCGCGGTTGTTCCAGGTGCCTTCGCCGTTGAACAAAAGAAGTCGGCCATCGTCTGGTTCGAGGACGAGTCCACCCCTGATCGCATCGTCGACGAGTGCAAGGAAGCTCTTATCAAGGCCGGCGGCAAGATTACTCACGTTTACTCAATCATCAAGTGCGCATTCTCACCGACCCCCGCCCTTTCGCATTTCGCACTATGACGATCTAATGCTAACGTTAATCGATGTGCTAGGGGCTTCTCCGTCATCGCACCCGAAAAGGCACTCGAGCTGGTCCAGGTCAACCACGAGGAACACCAGATTCGGGTCGAGAAGGATGAGGTTGTGACAACGGATTAGATGGAGCCCGGCGCTCCAGGTGACACGCACATGATGATTTAAGGACGAGACAACAGCATGCCTTTGAAATGAACTGGCTGTTCTCCAAGGCAACAGTTAGCATTCAGGATATTGATATCCTTGTTTTAGGCGTTATAGGATAGGAGCGTCGGTATTGTCTGGAAGATAACATTCGCTATGAACCCAATGTACTCATTGTTGTTGCAAAAGCCTCCGTAGGTGAAATGCATTTTTATTTAGAATCATGTTTGCAGTTGCTTGTGACGATGACTACGGCAACGCTCAATGACCATGTCCCAGATCCTGAGTGACACGCATCAATCGCAGGCACGTACGTTAGGGGGGGCATCTTTACAAATGTTTGGGACGGCAGTGACAGAATCAACATGCTCTGGCTGGAGCTCCATGCACATCGATTGTCTGGAACTAGGCCTCCAAACCGGGTTTGCTGACAGCAACTAAGGTACTGACGTGTTCACTACCTATCGACCACCAGGTCAAAGGTCGGTTAATCAGACTGAATAATGCATCCTGTACCCTGAGCAGCCCAACCCTCACTTACACGTATTCATACAAGAGAAATTCGGAGAGCATATCACTGAGGTATCCTGTACAGGCCATCGGGGGATGCCAAAAGCATGAATGTATTGCAAATCTAGTTATTCCTGTATTGTATCACATTTATGTAACAATAAATGTTCCAGAGGCGCTCTTAACTTCTGAGATTATCAACAAAACCACCACAGCCAGAGAGGTATTGAGACCGGGGATATACTACGTCTAGGCGAATATAATGCACATCTGTTGACAGTTATAAGCACATGCAGCTTTTACATAATAATTAAAAACCGTGTGATCTGTAGTTATATTAAATCCTGGCTTTCGACTGTGTAAATCCTGGCTGCAACTTGGTTCTCTGTCCGTCTGCAAACTGATAATCGGGCCAGGTACGGTGGTTGATTAGACGCTAATAATGTCCGAGCCCGCTATTCAACTTCAATGGGCCCCTACTCTTACTGTAATACCCCTGCCAAATCGATAAGCCGATAGTTAGTAGCTTAAGCCTGCACCAACAAGGGCCCAACGTCCGCCGAATGTTGAAGAACAATGCGTCTGTCCCTACATCCTTAAGATCGCTTCGCACCGAACAACCACGCGACAATCGTTGAACAATGGAATATCAGCTCTTGATGTTCTCATAGCAACCCCTATAAACCCCCCGAGCGGTCCTCTCCTCCTCGATATGCCGTCAAATGCTTCCAATAGTATTACCCCTGCATCCAGACACGCGACGCAACTCCCTACAGTCCCACCATTGCTATCACTTCCAACAGCGACAACTTGATCGACCGCTTTAACTTTACTTCCCACGATTTGGCACTGGCCGCACCGTCTTAAAATGCGAAGTTATAGCCAAAACGCGCAGTCTGCGCTTCTAAAAGCTGTACGTGTTTACGGTCCTCGTTTACCCTACGAGCACCCGTTCTTTGAAAAGGACCTCCCACTCACCGATAATGCCCCTCAGGTCAAGCGAGTATTCGAACCGAAACGCATGATTGAGTCTTTTGAGGATCTCAATGATGGCGTTACACTTGGTTTAATCTTACACCAACTGGACGAAACCTTTGATCCGTCCTCCCTCGAGACAAATTCCAACAACTACCTTGTTACCAAGCGCAACTTCCAGCACATCTACAAGAGCCTCTTCCGGTATATTCGACGCGATGTTCAAATTCTTAACTGCCAGGCCAAGAAGTTCAACTATCATGAAATCGCCAAGCATCCCGATCCTCAAGACATCTGTCAGGTATTCCCCCCACGCTTTGCATCCAATTCGCAATTCCTTTTGAAGCTAACTGTGCAGCTCCTGGCTGTTATGCTCGGGGTGGCCTTCCTGGGACCCAATAGAAACAACTACGTCCCTCGTATAACAATGCTCGACAAGCCCGCCCAATTAGAGATCATGCAAATCATCCAGAACATGCAGCAAGATAGCAAGGACTCGCCAGGCGACGACTATTCGGATGAGGCGATCGATACAGTTATGGAGGAACGAGATATCGATCTACTCTTTGAAGAGCAGAACGCAGCCTTGCGCTCAGAGCTTGATTTGACCAAAAGCCGACTCTCAGACTACATAGTCAGGCTTGACCATCTCCAAATAAGCCACGAAGAGCTCCGGTATGATAAGGAGAAGAATGACCGTGAGCTTGAGGTCTTGCGGAAAGCCACTATAGATGGTGCTAACAATGCCGAAATAATCAAGAACCTGGAAATTCAGGTGCATGACCAGATGGAACTCATCGCCAGGCAGGAGGAAACGATGCGCAGGGATGAGCGAATCAAGTCACAGCTAGAAGCGGAGGTTCAGAAGTTGACACTGAAGTGCCAAGAGACCGAAGAGCTTCGCGATCAAGCAACTGAGTGGAAGCACAAGGCCGAAGACTTTGAGAAGAGAGCCAATACTGCGGATCGGTACAAGCAGAAGCTCGAGTCGCAGCAGTATCTTGTTAAAGAGGTGCAAAACCTCCAATATGAAAAGACTGAGCTACAAGATCAGATCAAAATCCTGCTGGATGACCAAGACAGGGGAGCTCGCACCAAAAAGGCCGAAGATGAGTTGACCAAGATGATTACTCAGTCAGAGCAGCACCTTTGGGATGAACGTAGCCAGAAAAATCAGTTGATAAAGGACATCACGGCTCTAGAAGACGAAGTTATTCGTTTGAGGGCTCGGCAAAGCCATGACGAGAACTTCATCAAGGACCTTCAGGAGCAGCTGGAAACTGGCGCAGGTTCTCAAAGCGCTGCGCCTGGCGAAAGTCTTGGACTAAGTCTTGAGGATGAACTTAATGATGCAGTTACTGAGGACGCCCCGCCTGGCCAAGTTAACCTTCCCCTAGAATTGTCTCGCCTAAAGGCTGAGAACGACTTGCTGCGCAGTACAATCGGCTCTGGAGATACTGCGCCGCTGCGCCGAGAGTTGGATGAAGAGAAACGACAACGTGCTCACTTACAGAAGAACTATAACGACATATTCGAAAAGCATGCTGTACTACAAGATCAAATGGAGGCTTTGATCAACAACATGACCGGTGAAGGGTTAGTCAAAGCAATCGATGAGGCTTGTCGCTCTAATGGAACACACATACTTACATCGGACTACTACAGAACCAAAGCATTCCTTAACATCAAACAGTCACATCTGCAGCTCGAGTTTGAGCTTGAGCAATCCAAGAAACGAGAGAAGGATCTTTCTGCTCAGGTGTCAGACCAAGGCCGTGATCTTCTTGCTGCTAGGGCCCAACTCTCGGCTCTCGACAAGGAAGGTGCCGATGCCCTCAAGGAGCTCAAGAGTGCTGATGTTGTCATCGTCTCGTCTCTTAAGTCTGAGCTCGATCATGCACGAGAACAGCTCAGTTACAGCACTGCAGAAAAAGAGGCGCAGCAGACCCAACTTGTTGAAGCTCTTCTTGCCAAGGATAAGTTACGCAAAGAGGTCGAGGAGGGCAGGGAACTGCAAGACATCACTGGCAATGGCGAAGGTGACGCCCTTGATGGCAGCAAGAAGGGCGAGTTGATTGAGAAGCTACGCAATCGACTTAGAGAAATTCGCGAGGTGAGTCCCTTTCTAAATGCAATCATGTATGGCGATGAAGAGGACCAAGTGACCTCGGAAGACAAGCTATGGGGCGAAGCCGATGAAGCTTGGCCGGCGTGTTCAAGACCAGCAGGTTCTGAGACGAGTGTGCCGCCGAGTCCAGCTTCCACGGAGGGTGGATTCCCAGCCCCGTTGCCTGCGGACCTGTCCCAAACTTCTCTCAAGCGAACAGAAGAAACGGATTCGTTCGAGGCCCAGATCTTTGATGGGTCATTGTTTGCTAACAGGTATTCCTAGCAATTGGAGCGGGCCGAGACGGACAGGATTGACCTGCAACGTAAACTCAAAGCTGCGAACGATGGAGAGGCGGTGGCTGCGCAAAAGGTACGTTTAATCCCTTACATAGGGATCAACAACACTCGTTTCAACCATGCTATGCTTTTAATTGTGACTGAAATCTGTACTGACCATCTGTGACAAAAGGCCGCAAGTGATCAAATAATCCGAAACCTCGAACGAGAGAACTCTCTTATTGCAACAGCATGGTATGATCTCACGAGCCGGCTTCAGAGTAACCATGTCGTTTTGCAAAGGCGGCACGAAGCTCCGCGGAGCTGGCTTAACAAGCAGAGGCAGATGGTCAATGGTCAGTTGCGCTTCCGCGACTCGCTCTACCTCTACTGACCTTCCCCTGTCAGCAACCCCAAAGCGATAGGTACTCGCGGGGTGAGAAAACCCCTATTATTTATGATAAACTCAATGAGTTACGCTCTTCAGTCGTGTGACAAGTCCCATGAAACGCCAGTCCCCGTCAACATATTCGCTCCCACACTGGCTTGCCTTATTCGGCGCTTAAGATCGCCTTCTTATTCTTTCTTGACCCGATATCCTTATAACTGCCGAAGGTCCTTTTGGATACCCAAGGCATCGCATTTTCCTCTTTTCTTGATTAGTGTCCTTGAAGCATTGCGAGGGAGCTTGGGGAATTCCTTAGACGGGCGTCATTGCTTGGTAGACGGGCTGCTGGGAGGAAGATTGCAGCATCCAGAGAGGGTATAAATTGCAATATCCGTGGTATAGATGTTACGTACCTGTGAATCCTACGTAGGGCTACATATACGTACGTGTCAATAGAAGAAAGACTGAAGCTAGAAATGGCGTAGCTGCAGTTTTGGTCGGCATGAGCCACCTCAGACGACCATGGTTTTTGAATGCAAGTTGTGGTAGTGACATATGAACCTCGCTACCTTGTTGCACGTAAACGCTAAAGTGATTGAGATATAAGGTAGTATGATATAGAGGCTTGATGTTCAAATTCGATAAAAATTCACGTTCATGGGTTTCGAGACAAATAGTCAACACTTGAAAATGCCAACTTTCTGTTGGTTTGGAAACTATTGTAAAAGACATTTTGATACATGGCTAATCGTCGTCCAAAGTAGGTAGCTTTTTCCACACATGGCCCAAAAGACCGCAGACAAACCCTCTACCCTTTTAACGCCTCTTTGGCCTGGAAGATTGGACTCCCTTTCTCCCTTTCGCTCCCCAGTTTACAGTTCATTCCGTTCATATATCCAGGACGAGCTGGCTTTTATTTTCACACAGCAGTCGTCTTGTTTCCGGTCTCAAAAGGAAGGTCGGCGTCAGTTTACCCGCTGAATAAATCTCTAGTTCTGACCTCGCTTCTCGTTAAGGACCTTGAGCATGTTCTTCCAGACTTGTCCAGGTTCTTGGCTGGCGTCGAGGCCGCTCCAGATACCGGTCTTCTGGTAGTATCCTACAACAGGCTTGGTCTGCTTGTGGTAGGTAACGAGACGCTTCTTGAGGGCATCGGCGTTGTCGTCACTTCGCTGGATAAGAGGCTCGCCGGTAATGTCATCCTTCATGTAATCCTTGGGGGGGTTGAAGGTGGTGTGGTATGAGCGACCGGAAGCGGGGTGGACCAATCGGCCAGTGATACGGGCGACGAGCAAAGAGTCGTCGATCTGGAGCTCCACAGCGTGCTGGAGCTTCTGGTTGCGCTCAGCAAGCATGGCGTCGAGACCCTCAGCTTGAGGAACAGTTCGGGGGAAACCATCGAGGATGAAACTACAGCGGGAATTATTAGCATGTGCTTCTTACAGCTCACCGACGCCGAATCGAGGTTTCAAGCACGAAGCATGAGAGAATGATCCAGGAGTCCTAAGGAGATTCAACTTACCCGCCCTGGCACTCCTTGTTGTTGTTAAGCTCCTCCTTAATCATACCGATCATGATCTCGTCGCTGACCAGACCGCCCGCATCCATGATCTTCTTAGCCTCAACACCAAGAGGGGTCTTCTTGGTGACCTGAGATCGCAGCATGTCACCAGTAGCCTGCGCAGTAAGAAAAGCCGAGTTAGATGGCCGTCATATTGGTTAAAAATACCCCGCGACACGAATTGACATACCAGGTGGCAGCAGGAGAAGCGCTCCTTGATCTTGGGGGCTTGAGTACCCTTGCCTGTGAAGCAAAGTTAGCGAGGCGCCGGATTCAGCGGTTGCGGCGCAGAAAACACTCACCAGCACCAGGAGGGCCGATGAGAATCATTCGGATGTCCTCGGTAGAGACAGGACCACCGGTCGCTCGCGACTCGAGCTTCTTGATGCGTGTATCGATGGTGCTGATGACATCCTTAAGCTGCTTGAGCTCGTCCTCAATGAAACCCATCTTTGCGGTTGCGAAAGGTGAATTGGACTTGTTCTGGTGGGCAATTGACGGAGATCTTTGGAGATCCGGAAAAGCAAAGGCAGAATCGACTGAGGGCTTTGGTCTTTGGTGCGAGGCTGAGGTTGAGAGTGAAGGAAGAGAGAGAAAAAGGCAAGGAACAAATTCAAGACTGGGAAATCTTGAGTGCGTAGCCGGAGGATGGGAGGTTTGGGGAGGAGCTTTAGCGTGCTGTGATTGGCTGAATGCGGGCTGTCGGTGCTAGAGCGATGATGATGGGATGCACCCCTGTTCGGCTTGTTAAACTTGCTGGGGGGATAGGCCTTGGCCTTGTCCTTGTTTCCTTGTGGTTGAGGGCCATCGTGGCTCTTACTTGTCAAGCGAGTCGGAAAATAATCCGCACACCAAAGCAATGGAAGTGATAGGAACATGCGAGGAATGAATGGTAGAGTATTTTCTATTGAAAGGTGATAAGTATCTCCGTTAATAATAAGCTCTTTAATAACATGAAGTGTTATTATTCCCACCCAGCTAACCATCGAGAGCATTCATATCCGGACGTATATGTATATCCCTTATAGTCGGTACAGTTCATTCTTCTGGAAGCTTGCAAGGAGAGGTAATATTACTTGAGGTTCAACTGCTCTTGAAAAAGATATCCAAGCATAATGGTCGTGGTGCCCTTAACAGATAGGTACCTAGGTAGGTACGTAAGGTATCGAAAGGAAGCTCTCAACCACCTACAGGTAGTAAGGTCCTCGGTATAGCCGCGGCGTTTCAGACACCACCGGCGCTTTATAATACGGCCTAGCTCGGACCATGATTGACTTATAAACACAACGTTGTGAGGTAGTTATTATTGACTAAACTTTTTATCTGTTGTTTTAGTCCAAAGCCGTTGCCTTGCCATCATCGTTGTCCGAACTTTTCATCCAACTCAATCAATCGATGTAGGGTAATTCGAACACCACTTCTGCCAGTGACCACCGTAGCCGGAACATGCCCGTTATTGTCTCCCACCATGTTTGAAGACGTCACAACCGTGGTAGACCGAAAAGCAGCTTTGTGACGGAAGTTATTCGGTCACCAGGGCCGAGGTTCGGAGACGTGGTATGCCATGGTCCCTTGATCCGATCCGAAATGCCACCGCCAACTCAAGTTTCATACAAAACATTTACCAACACTAACACCTCACTTCCCACATCGGACGGTCATACCTCGGCCTACTCATATAACGATTATGCTCTCGATGCCATCCACCCCCATACGACAAGAAATGTTATTGCATGAGTCGACCTCCGGCACTCGAATATCACGGGTGCCGTCATCACACAGTGAGGACTACCTATACTACTTCTGTAGCATGACATAGCATCCTCACATTTCTACGCTTGCGCCGATTTGTCGCAGACCTAGTAATAGCCGGCATCAACTGTGTACCTTGCATTGGAGGATGTGAACCTCCATTTTCCCGCTCCCCTGAAACATAGTACTAGGTAGCCAAGGTAGTAGTTTATCTCGACGGCTTATGTATTCTGTCTCTGGACAATGCATATATGACCTTGCTTCTCTGCCGGTTCGCGCCGAGGTCCAAGTGGACGCTAATCTGATCACAACCGCTTCACTTGCCCAAAGTGGAATGTTCAGTTACGCTACATCGAATCGAGGGAAAAAACCTCAACCTAGGTATAGGACATAGGTGATAGTTCATCACAGATCTGTTAGACAAGGCTACCTACTACGTATCTTTGAGACTTTTCATTAATCTGATACAAACTGAGCCGTCATGAAGCATGTGAGGGAGCGTTCAATTGCAATGCATGCAGCGTCTCAGTTTTACATGTGAATGATGTTAGGTAGGCTAAGAGTCCAGCAAGCACGGTGCTACACTGCGTCATCCTGATATCGATTTCACAGTTATTGTTAAATACCACGGGATGAGAAGCCAGGAGTTATTGTATATAGCGTATTTGAAACAAGTATTATCCTGAAAACGATTCTGAGAGAACTGGACCCTGGACAGGTATATTTCGAGCTTCCTGCAGTAACGAATTTGTTTCGCCATTCCACCTTGTTATTAAAACATCAAAGATACAATACTCTCTACTCCGTAGGTAGCAAGGCATGGGCGGATAGTGATGCCATTTCGAATTGTAGATGTGGCACAGTCCAGACCGTGGCGCATCACACGTGATGTGGCACCGCAAGGCTCGAGCTTGGAGTCTCTCAGGTGCCTGGCCCAATCGGGAGCTAAGCTTCCCTCCAAGAAGGCAGCCTCAAGACTACGTACGTGCGAGCCACAATAATCACTGCATCAACATCACGACTCTGACTTCAATTTCGCCGCGCCCACACGACTAGGATCGTGTATTGATTTTTTCTTTCTTTTCTTACAGATAAACATTCGTCGTAATACATACCCATCGACGAGCAACGATGCCTACCACGACAGCAGAAACCCTCTCCCTCGTTACTCGAAACGTCACCGTTGCGCCCCTCGTCCTCCTCTCAGCTGTCGACCACTACAACCGAACCGTTTCCACCAAGACAAAGCGACGAGTAGTGGGTGTTCTTTTGGGACAGAATGAAGGAAACGACGTGAGAGTGTCAAACAGTTTTGCTGGTGTGTTATCCTGGTGTCATGGAATCGCAAGTTGGGCGGCGCTTACAATGGTCAACTACAGTTCCTTTCGAGGAGGATGAAAAGGACCCTTCAGTGTGGTTTCTTGACCACAACTACGTCGAGTCTATGAACGATATGTTCAAGAAGGTTAACGCTAGGGAGAAGCTCATAGGATGGTACCACACTGGTCCTAAGCTACGCGCATCCGATTTGGAGATCAACGAACTCTTCAAGCGCTATACACCTAACCCCCTCCTTGTCATTGTTGATGTTCAACCCAAGGAGTCGGGTGTTCCTACAGACGCCTACTTTGCTGTTGACGAGATCAAGGACGTATGTTGATAAATCATACTAATAGTGACTATGGAGCATAACGCTAACATTTCTCAGGACGGTACAACTACTGCCCGAACGTTCGTTCATACCCCTTCCGTCATTGAGGCTGAGGAAGCCGAGGAGATTGGTGTTGAGCACCTGTTAAGAGATATTCGCGACGTGGCTGCTGGCACGCTGTCCACACGAGTCACAAACCAGCTGCAGTCACTCCAGGGCCTGCACCTGCGCCTACGAGACATCGGCACATACCTCCAGAAGGTCCTAGATAAGCAGCTACCTGTCAACCATGCGATTCTTGGAAATCTACAGGACGTCTTCAACCTCCTGCCCAACCTCGCGACACCCGAAGGAGACGGCAAGTCTGGCGGTGGCGAGCTGGCATATGCGATGAGCGTTAAGACCAACGACCAGCTTATGGCTATTTACCTGAGCAGTCTGATCCGCGCCATTACAGCGTTCCATGATCTCATTGAGAACAAGATTCAGAACAGACAACAGCAGGAGGACAAGGAGGCGAAGAAGGATGAGGTCAATGGCAAGGACGAGAAGAAGGACAGCACCAACGGAGCAACTGGTGATTCAAAGGAAAGCGGCGAGAAGGACAAGGAGAACAAGGAGACGAAGAAATAAGGGAAGATAAAAGACCTGGCAGATGAACTAGACTTGGACTGAGGCTCTTTGGCGTCTGGCAGAGGGGAACCACGGCGATATTCTGGCCAAAGGTTCAGGCAAAAGCGCCTGTGTACATTGATCTTATCAAACTGGATTATTAGAGGACGGAGCGATGATAATACATACCAGACACCGCCTTGACAAACCAGTCTTTTGATAATGGAAAGACCACCCACTTCACAAGTCCGCAACAATACCAGCCATATCGTCTCTTGAAACAGCCCGATCTTCAACATGCATGCCCAGCATCGTTGGCCACTTGTCCGCAAGTAAGCATGCGAGCAAATGCTTGCAGCATGGCGGCGTATCTCCTTGTAAATCTAAACCAAACCCTCCAAAAGTCCACTCTTCCTCCTGAGTTGGCAGTTGTCGTACCTGATCAGCTGTATTTACGTGGTGACCAGGAAAAGCATCAACTGTGAAGCTCCCGCATGAACAGTTCCATGCACCAAGATGCACGACGTAGCGTTTCGATGACGATAGACCGAAGTCGCGAGCACGACGTGAAAGAGTTGTAGCAAGAGAGCGAACGAGAAATACGTCGTTCTTTATCTTATCAGAAGGACTCCCATCTTGGAGCTCCTGGTTACGAACTAGTCTCGTGACGAGTCCCCGGTCAAGAAGATCCAGTGCTGGAAGAAGAAGGTTCGGGAACAGTACATGTAGTGTTAATAGTAGAGGCCGCTGAGAGGTAGGAATGGCTTGCAATGGCGACAGTGTGGGTGGTTGCGCGGCCCGAGGTGGTTGGGTTGGTGAGATGATGTCTGGGCTAATTGATGGCGCGATATTGGAGACAGATCTTATGAGGGCCGTAATCATCTGGCGATGGGACGGGAGAGGCTCCATTGCCATGGAGTGAATGAGTCTGGTTGCATATCTTGATGATGTGAGGAGGAAAAAGTGAAGTGAACACACTGGGTGTGCGCAGTAATGATTCAAAGACAGCAAAAAGCTCAAGCTTTAGAAATGTCTGTTGGACGTCATGACATGAAATTTTTATATATCGGTTTGAAATTCTATAAATTATCTGATTTCTGTAATACTATTTCCTCAGACATATTGTCCGTTTTTTATAGCTTGCACCGACCGACCTCGGTGACCCCATCTATGATCCCACATATGATACACTAAACAATCGCTCTACCTCATGATTCCACATAAATCCGATTCCTTTGTTTCTTGACCAAAGGGCTATATTCTCAAACCCACTCCTTAGGGTCCCTCAGGACATCCACCAAGCGCTGCTCCCTGCTCTTAGGCTCGGGCTCGTGCATATACTTCCATCCGGCGGTCAGTGGCAAGCTCATGAGGATACTCTCCACCCTTGACCCAGGGGTGTTGAGGCCAAACGCAGTGCCACGATCGTGCACCAGGTTGAACTCGACGTACTTGCCACGTCGCAACTGCTGCCAGTCCTTCTCCGCCTCAGTGTACGGCATATCCTTGCGCTTCTCGATGATGGGGATGTACGAGGGGAGGAAAGCCTTGAGACAGTCCTGGACAAAGGAGAAAGTGTTCTCGCGGTCTCGCTCGGTCTCGTCGAGGTCGTCGAAGAAGATGCCGCCAATACCACGGGCCTCGCCTCGGTGTTTGTTGTAAAAGTACTCGTCGCACCACTTTTTGAATCGAGGGTAGTAATCCTTATCGTGGGCGTCGCAGGCAGTTTTCATCGTCTTGTGGAAGTGGATTGCGTCCTCATCGAAGAGATACGATGGCGTCAGGTCACAGCCACCACCGAACCACCAAGCTTGAGAGGTACCGTCTGGATTGGCCGTCTCAAAGTATCGATAGTTGAGGTGCACCGTCGGCGCCATAGGGTTGTAAGGGTGCAAAACCATGCTGAGGCCTGCAGCAAAGAAGTCGATCGACTCCAGGTTGGGATCCATAGTCTTGTGGTTTGCGCGCATCTTCTCAATGGCAGGCTTAGGAAGCGAGCCGTAAACGACACTCACTCCAAGGCCGGCCTTCTCGAAGACATTGCCTTCTTGAAGGACGCAGGTGGTACCGCCACCACCATTGGGACGCTCCCATTCGTCCTTGCGAAACTTCTTGCCGTCGACTCTCTCGAGCTCGGCAACAATCTGAGCCTGTTGTTCCCGAATAAACTTTTCCATGCGGAGGCGCATAGGAGAATCCTCGGTGACGCCCGACTCGCGCTTCTTCTGGGCATCGCGGTCGGCGAGAGTAGAGGGGTCGGCGTTAATCGGTTCGAGTTCGGTCTGGAGAGTAATATAGTCAGTGTTTGATCTCATTATTGCTCGAGGAAGAGGATGTGTACCATCTTGTAGGCTAAGGGGGCGACAACACCAAGGGCAACGGCGGCGAGCCACAACGGAGAGGAGCTAGAGTAAGAAGTTCGTGAAGCTTGAGGACCGGCGGAACTAGACAGCCAGCGTCTTGTAGAAGCGAATTGAGTTCGTGAGAGGCGTGCAGAAGGAGATGCAAGGTACGCAGCAAGGCGCTGGGCAGGCCGTCTGGCAGCCATGATAATTATATATCCAACCCGAGGACCCGGGAAGAGGTAGCGGCAAAAACAAGGCCGAAGGCCGAGATCAGGACAGGACAGAAACGAAACAGAAAAGGACGACGATCAGGCGGTTTGTATGAGGCCACTTGAGCGAATAGGCCAGGGTTCAGCAGAAGGTTTAAGGTGTTGAGACGACTGAAACTCGGGTGACAGTCAGAATCGAATGTTCGGCAATTGGCTTCTTCGGCGGAGTTCTTGGCCCTTAGTCTAAGGCCCCAAGGGACCCGACGTGTGGAGCTGGACTCGTCTCGCTGCAGCCGGCCGGCGGCCGGTGCCGAGGGCGGTCAAAATCAACGTATCACTCGGGGGTCCCGTGTTGCTGTAGCTCCGTTGGCTCCTACGAGTTATTGAGATATCTCCGGCGCCTTTGTATTCAAATCGATTGATATCCGGGTTTTGAAGATTCTGTAAATAAGCATGATTTCTCTTGTGATTCTAAGATGTTGAAGTGTTGCATTGTAGCGCACCAGGAGGGCCTCAGTTGGCAAACCGTCAGCTACTCAGTTCTATGAATATTGAGATGACGAACACAGAGAGTGGTATAGATAAGTTTATCAACGTAAAAGCCCAGAAGTTTGTTGTTCATGACTAGAATGCTTGCTTGTTCGCCCTACTTTGATGAACTATAGTTCGAAATTTATGTGCATATACTAACTTTAGTACTTAGGTACCTAGCTTCTTAGAGTACCTAGGTACCTTGGGCATATTCACTGTAGCAAATCGAGATGTTAGGCGTACTTGAGTGGGACGACTAGTATGTGACCAAGATGACAGTATATTGTAACAAAATGCATCTGATAAAATAAATCTTTTTTTATATCTTAAGTAATAACATTTCAATGATCCGGTGAGCAGCAGCACAATGTACTTACTACTGCCTAACTCGAGAACCAATTCGCCCCAAGTTAAAGGTAATTTTCAATGTCACTCATATAATACCGGGTGCTATACCTACTCGCAAGCGTCATATTTGTTTTCTGCCATAAAGAAGATACATGAACATATGAATCTCGTTACCAACACGAGGTTGTCGAACGTGGGGATGTTTGCATATTCAAGAGCTTGGGCCGCATGAGCCTAAACCCTTCCCGGATTGGTACTTGGTTGTCGTACCTTAAAAGAAGGCTCTTAGCGTAGGTAGTCGTGCACTTGGATGCAGGCGATGATTCTCTGGCACCTTTGATGAATTAAATCAAATCACCAGCATGAAAGAGCCTCGAGAAAATGGGAATGATAAGATTCACTCACAACTCTCGACCGTGTGACGCTACAGTGCGACGTGACTTGATGCTTTCCCCGCCATTGTTGCCTCGCGGGGCCTCTTGTGATTCACCGAGCATGATGAATCTAATCTACTTATAGCTTAGCTCTCTAGCCCCGCGCGCATTCCCTCTTCCCAGTCACTGCCTTTCCAGTGTCTGCTGCCACTTGATGCCCGCCTTGAGTGAGCGTGCCGCCTGCCCTGTGGCCTCCCTGCAGTCTGCAGCGTCTGCGCCTCCGCCTGTTGCTTAAGCTCAGGTACTGTTGCCTCTGGCCGACCGCTCATCTGTACTGTGCCAGTGCCACCTTCTGTGACTCTCTGCTCTTCCTCATTATTCTTCTGCCTGACGCAAGCAGATCGGAACCTATTTTCTTTTCCTTATCTCATCGTCGCCTCCATCTTTCTTTCTCTCTTCCAAACTTTTCCGGATTTTCCGCAACATCAAATCAACCAGTCCTGACTGCTAAATTCCACCTCTCGATATCACACTTACCGCCTCTACCGCTTATCAACCATCACCGTCAACATGCGCAGCAAGTTCAAGGACGAGCATCCCTTCGAGAAGCGCAAGGCTGAGGCCGAGCGCATCCGACAGAAGTATGCTGACCGTATTCCGGTATGTAACTTCGAATGACTCTTTTTCCTTAATCGCAGCTTTCATCTTCCGCCTTTCACCTGGCGACGAAGACTGGCGGGGTGCTTGCTGTTGTGCAGTGACCGCCTAAAGGTCTCGATCACTTTAATACCCAATAGTCAAGCTAACATATCGCGAACAGGTTATCTGCGAGAAGGTCGAGAAGAGCGACATCGCGACCATCGACAAGAAGAAGTACCTGGTGCCAGCCGATTTGACTGTCGGCCAGTTCGTCTACGTCATCCGCAAGCGAATCAAGCTCTCCCCCGAGAAGGCTATCTTTATCTTCGTCGACGAGGTGCTCCCTCCAACAGCTGCCCTTATGAGCAGCATCTACGAGGAACACAAGGACGAGGACGGGTATGTTTCCCTGTATCATCTGCGAAAACTCGAGTTGCTGACATGATTACGTATAGCTTCCTCTACATCACCTATTCAGGCGAGAACACCTTTGGTGATGCGTAAGAGCGAGTAGTACAGAATCGGTTCTCTGTGCCACGTTGGAGAATGACGAAGGCGTTAAGGTTGTGCTTGGGTGATATTTGAAGGCCACTGGTTATATTCGCTTTAGCTTTTTGATCTGTTTTTCGGACTACAATCAAGTCTCTCTACAGCTCTCTATGGCAGCAAGCTCTGTCTATTTCGCTCTGGCAGAAGGTCTAGCAGCAGTTGCGACTCCAAATGCCGCTTTACTGGGCTGAATAATTTCAGGTCTATGCAATAGCAGACTTTCTCTCTTGTGAAATTCCCATAACATCCGTCGTCGTGACCTACAAACCTCTGAGCCATAACTTCGAAAGGTCTTGTGCATATCTCACAGCATACCCAACCCTCACGAGATCTGTGTTTTAGGCAGCTGTGGTCATCACCTGATCAGCTCAGATTGGATTTGTGAGCATCGACACACCATGCCAGAATGGTTTCTTTAAAACATGCTTGTTTGATGGGAGTTGATTAGCTACGTGGATGACAATGGTTTACAAATGCTAGATCTGTGGTGTATCTGAGCCGAGATAGCCATAGCTTTCAGAATACTCTAGGCGAACAGCACACAGGAAACTCAGTTCTAACTTTCCATTTTAAACATGCCTGAAAAGTCTATTGAAATATAAAGAGAAGATAACTCGTTTTAGTGGATGTAGGGAATTCTAACGGAATCTATCTACTCCTTCTTGAACGCCATGGCAGCGTAGCAAAAAGACCCGTTAGCATATCCTCGTCTCATTGCTCGGAACGACTGCAAGAAAGCAATACCATCACGACCCTGAGATAGCGCAAATGCCCAAAGAGACGGGTTTTGTACAAGTGACCATGTGATGTCCCTAGAAGATAAGGGTGTGAGTTTAATGATGAACGATGTCGGAATAGAGGCATTCATACCATGTCTTTCGAACCTCTTTACTGATGTCTTTTGGCTCAGAGAAAACCGCAAGTCCAGCTTTCTTTGCCAGTTCGAGGTATCCTTTCTGGGTATAAAGGGGCGGGAGAAGCATTCCGTCTGTACTTCGCTTAAGCTCGAGAATACTTGCATATTGTATGTAGACTTACCTTCAATGGGCTTAATATCGTTAGTGAAGGTGGTGTCGTCTAGGTCCTCGGCCTTGAACCAGTCTGCCAATACCAGCTTACCCCCTGGCTTCAGGACCTTCATCGCGTTCTCGAAGAACAGCGCTTTGTTCGGGAAATGGCTAAGAGCTTCGCTGATCCACACTGCGTCGAAGGAGCCCTGCTGGCCATTGAAGAAATCGCCCATCTTCTCAGCATCGAGCTCCAGGAATTTGACCCTTCCCTCACCGAGTCTGGTGGCTCCTTGATCACTTGTCGGTTTGGATGAAGCTTGATCCTCGACAGCGGTTTTGGTGAGCCGGTTAGCGATCTCAACTTGCTTCGAGGAAATGGTTATGCCTGTCACAGAGCAACCATACTTGGAAGCGAGGTATCGAGATGTTCCACCAATACCACATCCAACATCGAGAACTGTGCTGTTGGAAGGCAACTTGGAGGTGTCGAGCAGCAGTTGAATGAGATTGGCTTGAGCTTCCTCCTTGGTCTGCGTGGACTCAGACTCCGGGGTAGGCCAGTACCCATGATGGATGTGCTCGCCCCTGGCAAGACAGTGGATCAGCAATTGGTAAAGTTACGCTACTTGAAGTGAACTGAGAATTGGACGCACCACAAACTCAGGTAGTAGTCACTCGCAAGATCATAGTGAAGCTTGATCCTGTCCTTGAGGACCTGCATTGTTGAGTGTGCGAGGCCTAGAGGTGTGTCATATTGCTTGCTTAGGTCGGTAGCTTGATCATCTGGTACTGCGACACTCATGATGGCGGCTGTTTCTAGTATGCAATGCGCTGAAAGAGTGAAAACAAACGTCTATGTCATGAATCTATGTTTGAATACAATGCAATGCGATGGTGTTGAGAAGGAGGATTAGGACATGGTATTAGGCTTGGAGAAACACATGTATTACCCCGCCAAATACATCTACGCATCAGTGACTGCAGGGTGACACAACTGTTACCTGGTTCGTAAAGACAACACCATGCAGCATGATGGAGCCGATTGTTAAGAATATGTGAAGAAATTATACAGTAATCAGGTGAGAAAAGAATTCCGTATCTGACTGGATAGAGTATTTGAGGAAACTCCGTGATTCATCGTGGCCAATGCTCCACGATTCACTCATCAATCGTCAGTTGTTGTTTTAAGTCTATTTTTTGAGTAATAGCAAAACAGCAATCGTCTCTCAACAAATACCTCTAGATACAAAGTACCAACTTACCTCGAACTTTCTTTCGTAGTGAATAGGTTGTAATTCATCCTGTGACATAAACTTGTCCAACCCTCAGGGTATCATAAGAAATGGCTGGTATTTGGTATTTTCTTCTTTAAGTACTATCTTTGGATCATCTAAAATATGTAATAAATACTACAAGATAGAAATATCTTCATTTAGTACTGATATTAATATATTTCTCATATGAGTACGTATTATTCAGTGAGATAAAAAATAGTATGTGAAATTAAAAGACAATATTAGCCTATTTTCTTTTTGAAAAATAATAATACTGAGAATTAAATACTATAAAATTCCTTATTTTATTTTAAAATGGCTTTTAATTACTTTAGATTCTATAATATTAGATACAAATTCTCTTACTTTTATAGTACTTTACCTTATTTCATTATAGATTTTAGAAATAATAGAGATTTTAAGTAAGAAATTGTAAGGATACGGCATGAGACCTGTAAGACTTGCCGTGTTTGAAGACCTAGGTTCCTTATATACCGATGAGGAAGGCAGTTCAGATATGATGTGTCTGAACCGATTGATCTTTTGGTCTTTTGGTCGGATGGGCACCTTCCCTTATCCTTACAGAAATTAGGGGAGTAAATATGTGGTACCCATCAACCTACGACCGGTATATACCGAAGCAACAATTCTATATTGCTCTGACAAAAGATGCTCGCATCACAATCCACTTCAGTTACTACAGCACAATACGCTATCAGAAACACTCGCTATGTACCAACAAGTTCTATCCGCTATCGATCATTATCTATCTGGAACGTAACCTCCCATTCTATGCGTGGCAGTATCAAAACCCGCGCTTTATACTCTTTCATATTTTCGGTGAATTACGTGGATAGGTACTTTGTAAGTTTTTCAAGTTAGACATCCTAATGTCATACTTACTTGTGCATTTAGGCATGGTACCAAGTCATCAAAGCCTCCGCTAGGCCCTGGCTTTAGACGATATGGGATACCATATTTGTATTTTTCTAATTGTCCATAGGTACTTCAAGACGTTCACCCCAGCGAAAACTGCAGCGAGAACAAGGATGATACGACAGGGAATACCTAGGGGATAAAGCCGTCCTTGGCTGTGGTTACAGCCGCTGGCAACTGCTTTGGCGCTTAGCGAAACGGAGCCAACTGGAGACGGGGAGCTTAGAGGAAGTGTAGCCCAACCAGCTTGTTAGAGTTTAAAATAACGAGATTCATTTGTCTAAGGTACCTATGAAGGATGAAGAGATGCTATTCGATAGAGGCCTGAGACCCACACTTTCTTTCCTGGACCGAATCGCGACCACTCTCCCCATGGTTCGATTCATAAAGCGCTTCGCAAGATTGTAATTGCAATTGCAAACTTGATCTCTATTTCGAGATTGTTCTCAGATGCGGAAAATGTCTTTTTATTCCCTTTTCGTCGTGTTGTCGATCAATCACTCACATCCTCGTGAGCTGATGGAAGGGACAAGATAGAACCCCTCCATATGACATCATTTCTCTCAGCCCAACCCGCCCTTTCCCTTTTCCCTGGATCCTCACCACGGATAAAGAAAGAACTTCATCTGCAGGCTCTATCTCTAAAATAACTCACCTCACCGCTGACCAAGTTTCAGAATATGCACACCGATGATCAGAAACAAACTCAGCCAACCCGTGACTCTTTCCAGAGAAATCCTGTTTCAATCACAACTCACGAGTGGCGGATTCTTTGGACGAGATCGGCGGTTACCAACCACGTGAACCCCTGTCACCAAGAGCTTTGAACAGAGACCCTTTGACCTTTTTTGGGAAGCACTTTACAGGGCCCAGGAACGTGCAGGGGTGAAAAGACGTTGTTTGGAGACCTGATTGGCTGTTAAGCTTACTTCTTCCACCACTCAACCACGGTATCCTAGTCTTGTCGCCTTGAAAACATTCACCACCAAAGCATGTTCTGGTGATGATCATGCCCAGTTGGAATCGTTTCTCGAAAGACCCTGCTTTTCGCAGCGACCGATACGATAAGACTCTACTGCGCAGTTCACCGAATAGTATGTATGTGGGAGTGAACCAGGGTTCTGCTACTGCGCTCATAGCCCATGCTAGGGTTTCATGAGCATCAACTTGCAATGGCGTCACCCGCTTTGACTACCAAGATGTGCTGTCTTCTCATGAGATAAATCCCCGTGCTCGTCGCCGCCGACTGATGGTGAGGTTTGGAACGATGGGCACCACTTACCTTGTCGCTTCACGGTGTTCCCCTTGCATTCTGCGTGAGTCACTATATATCTATACCTCAACTCGCACCCCATTCACTTGGAGGCTGCTGTCGTTGATGCTGTGATATTATAAGTTACCTTACTCATTGAACAAGTCGGTCTCTGACCTATCTGGAGCGGCCTATAACAACCGATCGCTTGCTTGAGACGGCTGGGCTACTCAAGCGAATTGTCAAACAACCTCGCAAGCCTAGCCCATTACCAAACCAAACCTCAGCTTTAGATCATTGCAAACGCTACCTCGATACTCATACGATCCGTTTTCTCTTGGCTCAGTTTCGGAACCGTTTGTGTTCAGGCCTCTGCCGGCATCGTGACTGGTCACCGATACAGGCGGGCGCTTAGCTCAACCTCACTTTCGTACTCTAAGCGCTGCCGCCAGGATTATTGAGAAATCCCGAGGCGTCTCTGCTTTTGCTGAGAACTATTGGAATTTGTTATTCATTGGATACTATTATTGTGGAGTGAGTCAGGTATGTTGCCAAGGCTTTCTCAATCACCCACTTCTTATTGTAGCTGTTCCCCTCCCATTGTTCTATTGTTCGGTCTATTTCCCTTTGACTTATACGCAAACGCAACTCCACCTCAAACAATCAACATGGAATCATAGACGATAGATTGATATCTCTTTTTCTTTACGGCCGTCATTTCCTTTGTTGCATTTTCTTTCATCCTGCTGATTTTGGATTCTCTCTGTTTAATCTTTGTCCCTTCATTGTGTTAATCATTATCATCACATCTGCAATCTGGCTTGACTCTTGCCTACATCTTCACCTTTCCTACTCTCATACAAGCTTGATTGTTCAATTATACCAACACGCATAGAAACAAGATGCTCTCCTCACGGAAAGAAAACGATAACCCGCCGGTTTATCCGGCGGTACCCAACTCCCTCCGGTCAGAATCATTCGAGATGACCGAGATGCGAAAAGTTCAAGAAGCTCGAGCCGACACCGCTCCAAACATCACTCCTTATCTCAGCCTCCGGTCAAGACTCTCTCAAATATGGATGAATCGCTGGACAATTCTCCTTCTCCTTGTCCTTGTTCGGGTCATTATCCTCATCATCGATCTTAAAGAAAACGTCGGAGATGCCAAAGTCAAAGCCCTCTCAGCCTGTACCAAAGTCGAGGATGTTGGCAGCGCGATGGCCTCTATGCCCCACTACCTATCAAGAGGCGTCAATGAACTTGCTGCCTCCGGAATCGAAAAGTCAGTTGAAGCCATGGTGTACTTACTCGACCTCATCCTCGTAGGTGTCAAGAGCATGATAATCTTCTACATCAACTTTCTTACTGCCACTTACGTGTGTCTGATTACCGCAATGGTCCACGGTAGCCTGGACGTTGTTGCTGATGTCACAGAAGGGGCAACAGAAAAGTTCAATAGCTTGATTGACAAGGCTGTCAGCAAGATTGAAGATATCTCTCAAGAACTGGAAGATGGCATTAACAAGGTCACCAAAGGAATTGAAGACTCGGTCCTGGGTGGCTTGGTTCCAGATATCCCAAAAGTCGACTTTTCTTCACCTATCGATGAGCTCAAGGACTTTGACTTGAAGTCCGAGGACTTCGTTAAGGATGTTCGCAAGTTGGAGGATGACCTCCCCGACTTCAGAGAAGTACAGAACTTGACGGAGCAGGCTATTTCCATTCCATTCGATTTTGTCCGCAAGGCCCTTAACGAAACGTACGGCAACTACAAATTCGATCGAAATGCCTTCCCTCTCGCCCAAAAGAAAGAGTTGAGCTTTTGTTCCGAGAATGCCGCCCTCAATGATTTCTTCAACAACCTGTTTGAACTCATCGCCAAAGCTCGAACCATCTTTATTGCTGTTCTGATCATCCTCGCCTTGGCAGCCATCATTCCCATGGCTTGGCTTGAGATCAGGCGCTGGCGACGGCAGCAACAGCATGCGCGCCTCATTGCCCAGAACGCGTATGACCCAATGGACATCGTCTATATTGCATCTCGACCTATGACGGCGACTTTTGGCATCAAGATTGCTTCGCGCTTCAAGGGCAAGCGACAGATTCTTGTTCGATGGCTCATCGCTTATGCTACTTCTGTACCTGCCTTGTTCGTTCTGTCCCTTGCTATCGCCGGATTCTTCTCCTGTTTCTGCCAATGGATTCTGCTCCGAGCCATCAAGAACGAAGTTCCTGCTCTAGCCAACCAGGTTGGCGCATTTGCCGACGACGTTGTGCAAAATCTTGAAAGCGTCTCAGCTGAATGGGCTAACGACGCCAATGGTGTCATTACTGGCTTCAGTGATGATATCAACAATGATGTCCTTGGCTACGTAACAAACGCTACCGACGCTGTCAACGACACCCTTAATACGTTCCTTGAGACTATGGATGACGGGCTGAACACTGTCTTCAAGGGAACCATTCTTCTAGACCCCATCAAGACAGTCCTTCACTGCGTCATCGGCATCAAGATCGAGAGTGTGCAGAAAGGACTTACCTGGGTACACGACCATGCAGAAGTCAACTTTCCTCTCTTCGAAAACAACACCTTCAGCATGGGAGCAAAGGACTCAGTGGAAGGTGACTCGGAGCTTAACTCATTCCTGGCATCCCCGTCGAGCGCCACTACTGATGAGGTCACGGGGGCTGTCAAGGCCGTTACAGATTGGCTCCATAGCAAGCTCATTCAAGATGCACTCATCTCTACTGGATTACTTCTTCTGTACGTACTTGTTGTTCTTGGCGGTGTAGTCTGGACACTGGTTGGCATGGTGTCGCCTGACAAAGGCCGCGCCGAAGGCGGTATGCGCTTCACTGGAGACAACAGACCAAGCTTCAGTCCTCGCATCGGACATCATGACCCTACGAACCCCGACGGAGCAACACACTTCCCTCGATTTGGATCCTCCTCTGGCGAAGAGGATCACTATAGAGAAGAGAGGAATGGACGTGATGAGAAGTTCATGTCGGGCGCAACAGGGACTCGTGCCACCCAGGTCGACGGCCACCAAAGAGGCAGCTCCTATGGCTACTTAGACACGGCAAGCGGCAAATACTAGGAGTGTTGGAGCCCGATAGCCAGTTGAGGGATGGGTTGTTCCATTACTCCGGCCCTGGCTGGACCCGCGCCGAGAGAGACGATCCCTTACTCGACTGCATGAAGCGATGATTACACCGGAGGCGTTGAATTATTTTGGACACGGATAATCGAACCACATTTTCGTTTGTTTTTAATTGATATCCGGAAGGAAAAAGGGTCAGTGGCCGTTTGAATAGGTATTGTTCTGTGCCTCAGGGGTGGTCTTGAGTCTGGATTCATAGTCTGCACTGTTTGTGTTTATGATTTTACACCAGATTGTTCCTAGCCCTAAATTGAGACAGCAACAACAAATTGATGGCTGCAATTGCACAAACGTTCTTATTGCTGAGGTCTGTTGATGTGAATGTCAATGAGCGCGCGAAATGGTTGCAAGTCATACATGGTGAAGTTCAAGGTCAAGGCCATGTGCATGATGAAGATCTAGAACCTTTGCCAAACGGAATTCTTTGTTCTCCTGACTCAAAGTAATGGCATGCTGGTGCTAGTAACGCATACTCAGCTTTGTTGTGGCTATTGCTTGCCATGCGTAGGTAGGTAGGGTTGGAGTTACTTTACAAAGAAACTCGTTGATGAGTCCTGCATGACTAAACGAGTCTGGCCAGCAGTGTTTGTCTACAGCGGAACAACCAATTATATTCGTACAGTCCCGTGCAGAGATACCAATATTGAGTCACTTAGAAACAGAAAAAAGCAACATATTTATATGGAACAGATCATAATTAGAATGTTTCTCTTATATTCTTAGGACATAATTATATGAGATTACATAAGATAAACAATCTTACTATAACTTATATTGTTTTTATATGAATTTGAGGTAAGAGGAAATTGTCGGAGCCTTTGCACAACTACTGTACAATATACCTTAAAATGCTCAATGCCATGTCATGTACAACTGCGTACTACCTAGTACTAACCTAGGTATGTAATAACAGGACGTTGGTTGGGAGGATAATCTTGATTGATTACCGGATTAGGAAAGTCCGGAGGCCGATGTGGATTGCTATGATGCCCGCTGCAGGGCGGAGTGCAGGTGTGGGCGGTATATGCAGCTGCGGGCGACGTGCATGAGTGAGCGGCAGGAGCTAAGCGAGTCAATGGAGTCGGACGTCAACGGCAGGTGGCGGAATTCGTTCTTCCGGAATCGGTGGCGGAAAATGCAGTCACCAACAACCTCGCTTCAAATTCTTTCTTTAAAGACAACAGGACCTCGCTGGAAAACACTACTTCTCACTCCATATTCTTTCCGGACCAGAGACGAAATATTCATTCGCTATGGACGCCATCAAACAGACTTTCAAACGCTGCAAGGAGCAGAACAGGGTTAGTACATCATCATGAGTGCCCCTCCGCGGGGTAGAAACCACAGGATTCCCAACTTTTGCTCGATGGAACAAAGAAGCTGACATTGGGTGTTTTCTCTTCGATAGTCCGCACTGGTAACATATGTTACTGCTGGTTACCCCACGCCTGAAGATACTCCCAACATCCTCCTGGCTTTGGAGAAGGGCGGTGCTGGTAAGTCTCATGCCGATGACATTTGTGACCTGTACTGACCAAAGTCGCAATCAACAGACGTTATTGAAGTCGGTGCGCCTTTTACCGACCCAATTGCCGACGGCCCGACCATTCAGACTGCCAACACCGTTCGTAAAACACCGTTGTTCCGATTGAACAGCAATTGACTTGGTTATAGATCGCCCTCAACAATGGCGTCACAATTGAGTCCACCCTGGGTATGGTGAAGGAGGCCAGATCTCGCGGTCTCAAGGCCCCCGTTATGCTTATGGGTTACTACAACCCTCTTCTCAGCTACGGCGAGGAGCGATTACTCCAAGACTGCCACACATCCGGCGTTAATGGCTTTATTGTTGTCGATTTGCCTCCTGAGGAGGCTGTTTCTTTCCGAAAGCTCTGCAACAAGGGCCGGTGAGTAAACCCACAGAGACTTTACTTACGCTGAATACGGCACTGACTTTGCATGCAGTCTCTCATACGTCCCTCTTATCGCCCCCGCTACATCAGACAAACGAATGAAGATCCTCTGCCAGCTCGCCGACTCATTCATCTACGTCGTCTCCCGCATGGGTGTCACTGGTGCCACCGGTACCCTCAACGCAAACCTCCCCGACCTCCTCGAGCGAGTGAAAAAGTACAGTGGTAACAAGCCTGCCGCTGTTGGATTCGGTGTCAGCACCCGAGAGCACTTCCTGAGTGTCGCAACTCTATCAGATGGCGTCGTCGTTGGCAGCCAAATCATCACTACCATTAAGAACGCCGAGCCTGGCCAAGCTCTTTCCGATGTCGAGAAGTACTGCGCCTATCTATCAGGCCGTGACTCTAATGAGAACACACGGGAAGTTGGTTTGGCTGAGGCAGTTGCTGGTGCAATGGAGCCTAGCGGCGAGAATGTTACTGTTAGTGCTACTGTGACAGATGCCGACATCACCGCAGACGAGGACAGCGCCCTGGTAGCTCAGCTTGCTGCTCTACACGGCAAGATCCCCGAGCGGTTCGGAGAGTTTGGTGGCCAGTACGTTCCCGAGAGTCTTATGGACTGCCTCTCACAGCTGGAGGATGGATTCAACGCTATTAAGGACGATCCTTCATTCTGGGAGGAATACCGATCTTACTACGAGTACATGGGCCGACCCGGTCACTTGCACTTGGCAGAGCGACTTACCGAGCATGCTGGTGGTGCTAACATCTGGCTCAAGCGTGAGGATTTGAACCATACCGGCAGCCACAAGATCAACAACGCACTGGGCCAACTTCTCCTCGCTCGAAGACTCGGAAAGAAGCGTATCATCGCCGAGACTGGTGCTGGACAACACGGTGTCGCTACTGCTACTGTTTGTGCTAAGTTCGGTATGGAGTGTACAGTATACATGGGAGCCGTAAGTTTTGCTGCTTTATATATGAAGATATCGTGACTAACAACTGAGCAGGAGGACGTCCGACGACAAGCCCTCAACGTTTTCCGCATGCGCCTGCTGGGTGCCAAGGTTGTTGCTGTCGAGGCTGGTAGCAAGACTCTCCGAGATGCTGTCAACGAAGCCCTCCGTGCTTGGGTCGTTGACCTTGACACTACCCACTACATCATCGGTTCTGCTATCGGACCTCACCCCTTCCCCACCATCGTCCGAACCTTCCAGTCCGTCATCGGTACCGAGACCAAGCAACAGATGCTTGAGAAGCGAGGAAAGCTCCCCGATGCCGTCGTTGCTTGTGTAGGTGGTGGCAGCAACGCCGTTGGCATGTTCTACCCTTTCCAGAATGACCCCAGTGTTAAGCTTCTGGGTGTAGAGGCCGGTGGCGATGGTGTTGATACCGCGAGACACAGCGCTACCCTCACAGGTGGTTCCAAGGGTGTCCTGCACGGTGTGAGGACATATGTTCTCCAGGATAAGCACGGCCAAATTACTGAGACACACTCAGTCTCTGCTGGTCTTGATTACCCTGGTGTCGGCCCTGAGCTGAGCTCTTGGAAGGATAATGAACGAGCCAAGTTCGTTGCCGCGACTGATGCCGAGGCTTTCCTTGGCTTCAAGCTCATGAGTCAACTCGAGGGCATCATCCCCGCCCTTGAGACTGCTCATGGTATCTATGGTGCCATCGAGCTTGCCAAGACAATGAAGAAGGACGAAGATATCGTCATCTGTGTGAGTGGTCGTGGTGACAAGGATGTGCAAAGCGTTGCAGACGAGCTGCCCAAGTTAGGTCCCAAGATTGGATGGGATCTCCGTTTCTAGATTAAAAGTGATACCATATTTGGATTAAATAGCAACCATTGAAATGATAACATGAGCAAAAGTTTCATTCTATGTCGGCTTTGATGGGATGATGATACAATGGCTGGAAGGCGTTGAAAATGAGTTTTGTTACATATTATACATAAAACCTTTTACACCGTAATCTTTTGCTGGCCTTGGGTCGCCTTGACTTCAGCCTCTGCCTTATCAAGCTCTTTGAGCAACAGTGCCTCGTCCTCATCTGATAGCTCCTCAATGCCTTCCAAATCGGCCAAGTCCTCGTCGCCTAGAACAAACTCCTGTGCTCTAAGCTCACCCAACGTCGCCTGACTGCGCTTACTCAAAGGACCAGGAGTAGCGAAGTCGAGCGCATATTGGATGATATCGTCCCGGTCTTCGATTTCCTTGGGCTCCATACCTAGTGCAATACGCTCCTCGTTGAATCTTTTCTGAATAGCTTGGGACTGCATCAGAAGCCATCTCAAGTTCCAGCCACCAGGTCCAAGCTCCTTTATCCTTGCGGGCTTGCTCTTGAGGAGATACTCCTGCAGACCACCCTCACGGCGGATGGTCTTGAGAACACGGAGTGTAAGGCGGGTCTTGACGTTGGCGTTTATGGCAGGTAGCTTGAAGACTTTGACATGGACATTTGGACGCCAGAAACGACGGGCCTTGTTGTTATATTTCTCCGCAACAGTGTTACCGAAGCGAATTCTCGCAGAGCCGTACAGACCCTTGTTGGATTGCTTGTAGACTCGTCGCTCGCCATAGGGATATGGAGGAATTAGACGGTTGGGTAGAAGGTGTGACTTGATCGTCTTTGTTTGCTGAGGAAGAGTTGTGCTGAAGAGTCGGGCGGGAGTCATTGACGATGACGAAGTCAAGGCCCTCAGAGCCGGCCGCGCGGGGGCCCAGGATGCCATGGTGCCGGTATCGAGTGTCGATGTGTGGGTTTTCTGGTTATAGGCGAGGCATTGGCCGCAATTGGCGTCGAGGTGGGCGAAGATATTCGATCGCTGACTGCCCCCTTCAAGATGCGCTGATCCGTCGACGATATCTCAGACCTTGGCCTTTTGGCGTTGAGATTTTTGGGCCGTCGTCGTTCGGAGGGGTGTAATGTTCCGGCGCCGGAGGCGTGGACTATTCGGCTTGAATGTCGAATCACCCAATCAGGTGATCTCGTGCTCTCTTCGCGATGGCTCCACTTCCGCTTCACTAACAACAAAGCAAACAATGGGTATCATACCAGCGCATACAGTTGGTTTTGATGTATAATGACAATGTTTCCGCCTGTAGAAGATTCCGTTCTACAGAACAACCCGGACTTTACAAATCTTTATAATAAACTTACTAATGTCGTGCTTAATCCGGATGGGTCGACAAAGAACGACCCTCGTGCTAAAGAGCGGGCTGCAGTTCGAGAGGTAAGAGACTATTTACAAGATTCCTGGTTCTATGATATGAGACAGAATAGTTCTGACTCAATTTACAGGAACTTGACCGCAGACGTCTTATTTGTGCCAAACAACATCTCCTAAGTCGGGCCATCTCAAGCTCAACACCATCGAGTACACCGCCTGCGACAAGAGCATCCTCTCGTCTACGAGCGCCCCAGAACCATCAAGCAGTCGAGTCAAAGTCTCAACAACAGCAACAACCCTCGCTTCCAGAGCCTTTGCTAGATCTCTTGATCGTACTTCCTCCACTCCTTGACGCCAACAATCCGCCTCTTCCTCAAGGTACTCTCCAGCTCTTGTTTGCGCATCCTCCACTTTCAGACTTAGAGACACTTCTCCCAGCTCTTGCGCCGGTTATCGCCTCAAATTTACGTACGTGGGCATTAGGCCTTGCGCGAATCGCACACCCTTCTACGAATCCCTCTTTCCTCCACCGTCACATCGCTTCATTGCCGAGTACATTATCAAGCTGGCGCTCCGATCTCGCCACAGCCGAATCGGACCTTAGCACTCACCGTTTACGCTCTCTCGCCGCCTTAATATCCGTCCTCCATGCTGCAACCAATGCGCTGAGTCTTCTCGTACGAGCTCTTGAGGTCAAGCATGGCGTCGTAGCTCGCAGTCTGGAGCTTCGTGCAGCAGAAACCGCCCTACAAGCCCGGCGACACGACGCCGATGCTTCTATAGCTGCTACCTCTGTTCGTCGCGCAGTATATGCACCCGAGGCAATTGATGCTCTTAAGAACTACGGCACTCACTTGCGTGATGCCCGTATGCGAAGTGAAGAGCGCGTCCGTGGTCTGGCAGCTGAGCTACAAGACTACGGCGTCGGTGTCGAAGGCGGAGAGGGCAAGGAGAAGAAGATGAGAGAGATGGCGAGGGTCTATCGAGACATGATAAGGCAGATGGATGATGCAGGAAAGGACCTAGATCGATTAAACCAGGGATGAGTGGTAATTATGAGTCACGATGTGTTTCGGACTAATTTATGTTGTATGAAAGCTAATGATGGGCATAAAAGGTGTAAATTGTTGTTAGCATAGATTGTATTAAATAGTCGACTAGATTACATTGCACTCCTAAGTACCTATGGATAGTTCTTCATGTTTTAGAAGTCAATGGGAAGTTCAAAAGAGATAGATCAAATACGTGAGATTCGCGTCTTCTATTTATGTTACTCATACATCTTCCTCTGGGTTGTCTTCGTCTCGTCATTAGTTTGCCAAGCCGGTCGCTTGACCCAGACCCAAGACTTGGGGTATTTTCAGTCCATCCGTCCTGACAGCTTTCATGGCCGTAGCTGTCACGTCACATCCAAAGATCGCTCACTTGAGGCGATGCAATCTACTGAACGTGCATCCTTCTCACTTTTTTAAACCGTCATCATCACAGATTTAACCCTTGACCTTGTAGATGGCCTCGGCGAGACGACCAACGTTCTCAGAGGTGATACCAGCAACGGAGATACGGCCGTCCTTGGTGGCGTAGACGGAGAACTCCTCAGCGAGGCGGGTCATCTCCTCAGCAGTCAGACCGGTGTAGGCGAACATACCAATCTGGCTGGTGATGTGAGACCAGTCGTGCTTGGAACCAAGCTTCTCAAGGTTGTCCTTGAGGAGAGCACGCATGGTAATGATGCGGTCAGCCATCTGCTTGACCTCACCGAGCCACTGCTTGTAGAGGGTAGGACTGTTGAGGATCTCGGCGGCGATGCGAGCACCGTGAATGGGAGGGTTGGAGTACAGAGGTCGGATGATAATCTTGAGCTGAGAGTCGACGCGCTTCTTCTCATCAGCATCGGCGCAGACCATGGAAAAGGCACCGATACGCTCGCCGTAGAGACCCTGTGGGATGGTTAATGGGTTACTCAAAAGCCATATAAGTATCAAGCCCAAGTTCGTTCAAAACATACCATGTTCTTGGCGAAGGATTGGCACAGAGCGATGTTGTGACCCTGCTCAACGAAGTAGCGGACAGCAAAAGCATCCTTGTCGGTGTCACCGCTGGCGAAACCCTGGTAGGCCATGTCGAAGAAGGCAAAGTGCTCCTTCTCCTTGACAACATCAGAGATCTGCTTCCACTGCTCCTGGGTGGGATCAACACCAGTAGGGTTGTGGGCGCAGGCGTGGAAAAGGAAGACACTGCCCTTAGGGGCAGCCTTGATGTCAGCAACCATACCCTCGAAGTCGAGACCGATGGTCTTCTTGTCGTAGTAGCTGTACTGCTCGACCTCAAGACCGGCGTGGTTGAAAACGGCCTTGTGGTTGGCCCACGAAGGCTGAGGGATGTAGATCTTCTTCTCGCCAGGGAAGAACTTGGCGAGGAAAGCAGCTCCAACACGGAGAGCACCGGTACCAGAGATGGTCTGGGTGATGGTGATGCGGTCCAGGGCGGGGCTGTTGGCGCCGTAGGCCAACTTGGCAGCGGCGGGAGGGAACTCGGGAACACCGGTGATGCCAGCGTACTCCTTGTTCATCTTGGACTCGACGACCTTCTTCTCGGCCTCGCGAACAGAGGGGAGAACGTAAGGCTTGCCAGCATCGTCACGGTAGGCGCCGACACCTGTGTGCAAGTCGAGTCAGAACCAGTCGAGGAACGGCGAGATACCTCCGCATTCGGGATGGTGGAGGGATGACGTCGCAACATACCCAGGTTGATCTTCTTGTCGAACTTGTCCGCCTTGAAGGCTTCGGTGATACCTGGAGAGACATGTTAACACCAATATTGACTTGGTTGAAGTGGATTTGCTTTGGCGCACGCTGTGTGGTGCCCGGGGGAACGGAGCGCAATGCACCATGTAGGAGTCATCGTACGTACCAAGAATAGCCTGCAAAGAGTCAAAACAAGCAATTGATTAGCAACGGCGCTGGCGCGAAGCTCAGATGTTTGAATCACTACTTACATCCTGCGATTGATTAGCATGAGGTCACGTACAGAACAGTCAGGAAGCTTCGTACAGGAGGACCTTGGGGAACGTTAGCCCAGTTAGAGGCAGCGCGGATGGCAGCCAAGTTGAACTGAGCAGGACGGGCAGCCCGGCGGCTGACGACTCGGAGAGTGGACAGCATTGTGAAGTTGGTGATGCGGGTGGGTTGATGGCAGGTGTGAGGTTGGAGGAGGAGGAAGAAGAGAAGAAGAAACAGAGGAGAAGCAGGAACACTTGAGGCGATTCTATAGCGGAGGTGGTGACTAGGCGATGCGTGGTGTCTACATTTTGTCGATCGGGCCTCTTCGGAGCTGGACTAGATGGGGTTTTGACCAATCAGTGACGATAATCTGCATCCAGACCCTTAATTTATGGGGGCTCGAGGCAGCTCCCACAGAATGAGCTCACCTTGGTCAGGGCATTTTTCGGTGGACTTTGCTGAAATTCTAGTGGGGTTACCCCGGACATCGGCGTGTGGGCAGTGAAGTGCCCAGCCGGTCTGGCACATTTCAGTTGCAGGCGTTTAAGCCCATGATGCACGATTCCCAAAATTACGACATGGAGGCATAGCTTTGTGCTCTACATCAAAAGAAAGGAGCCACTGCAAATAGGCCCTGAAGAATTAAATCGGCCTTTGTAGTAATTCATCTGTCAACCTACAGATATCTCAGCTGTGGCCACGATTGAAGCATCTCTTATTCACAGGTTAAGTTACCCCCAAAGGCCGCCTGTAGCTCCTTCTCTTCTAACAAACCTGGAAGCGTCTCAAGCTGAGTGGTGCGCATGAGGCGGCTGTTCTAATTACTAGGTACCTAACCTTGTCAGATATTGTTCCTTTTGTCCATCATAATTCACAATTGGATTTTTCTGGATGCAAACAAGCATGTTTTGACCGTTCTTTCCAGCTGAGGCAAAAAGAGATAGGATTATCATAATCATATCTTGCTTACTGTCAAATGCCGTCCCAGATGAGATAGCATGACCTGAGCTCCAGAAGCTGGGACCCAAACCCATCAAAGCCATCGCTCGCAGGCTCGGGATCTAACTACAGCCTACAACATCCTTGCGTCCTTACGATCCTTGTCGGTCATGTTCACGATGGCCTAGAGCATCTTGCACATGCCACAAGTCCCGGCTTCTGGCAATAATCTACCGATATCTACTCCGTATACATCTACCTCTTCAGCTTCAGGCCTTTTTCGACCTTCAACAACCGCTACTCAGCCATCTAGAATCACAATACCGCAACTATCTACTAGGATTGGCATTTATGTAAGGCCACACCGAGAATGGGACGAGAAGAGAAACCCGTCGGCAGCCGCACCCGACCCTGACATGTTTCGAAAGACAATCGATTCATTCTCTAATTGTCCGGTCGACTCCGGCCTATGCACACCGCGCGTACCTCTCTGGGTCTTCCGCTGGACCTGCGGGTCCGCTGTCAACGCTCGAAACATATTCCGCTTGTCCAGCCGTGTACTCCCTGTTTATCGGCGCCGTCCTCGTGACCGGCCCGGTCCCGTTTGGCTTGAGGACGCCAGCGAATAATACTCGAAAATGTGGCATAATGTCAACTTCCAAGCGCAGGCGGATGTAAGCGAACTTCCAGCCGTCAATTGGTTAGTCAAGGCGGACTGTTCAGTTCTCAAAGACGTTTCAGATTGAGATGACCATCAACAACAATGTGGGGAGTCATTGGAGATGCTATGGGATAACGTCAACCCTGCGGTCAAACAAAACAATGCCAATCATTAAGTCAATTACCATGGCGTCTACAACTGAAAAATATGTGTTACGGCCTTCTATTCTTTTCGGCTTGATTATTTCGAATGCATAATTCATAGACACTGTCCCCAAACGCCAACGCCTCTATTGTTTAAATGCGAATGCCGACCAGAGCCCGAGATTTCTCCTTACCAAGATCTCTCCATCTTGCATGCAGCAAGGCCCATGTGGTTTTGTAAAGCTCCTCAAGCTCCTCTAGGAAGGCTTTGCCCAAGTTGGGGCACACATCCCTCCAATACCCTTGTTGTCCTATGTGCACTGTTTGGAGCAAACGCACAGGAAGATGTGTGTCTTGTCAGTCACGGAGTTTTGACCTATGCCTTTTCGTGGGCCTTCTCAGATGAAGTATCCGCCAGCTCCTCATAGCGGTTCATAACATTCTCCTCCACTGTCTCATGAAACACATCCACCTCGGTTGACGCGAACTTTCTTGCGCTGATGCCTCGCTCGAAAAGCACGTCAAGTTCTGCAAAGGTGCGCCCGCTTGGCTCTGGCAGACGGAAGAAAGTATAGATGATGCACAGAAAGCAAATTCCGCCCTATTATCGTTGTTAGTACCGTTGCATGAGTCTACCACAAAACTACCAGAATTGGATTCTTACCCAAAAGAAGCCTGCATAGTTGCCCCAATCCCACGCTGTAGGGTTGAGCATATATGGTGTGAGGATACTGTTGATGATGCCCACAACGTTACTGTTCGCCCATTGGTTAGCTACTCAGATCAACAGCTCAAAGTTGGGTGAGACATCGACTGAGGACAATAGTCTCAGTGTTCCCTAGTGTGTGACTTACTAAAGGTTGCGTCCGAGCACGACTGTCTTGATCTGCAAACGGCGGGATGACAGTTCTCCAACAAGAGAATAGCAAACGGTACCGATGGTTAATTGATAAAAGAGCGCCCAAATAATCATCATGCAGCCAGTGGCCAGTGATGACTGTGCTTGATGGGCGTCGGGGACTAAGCCAAGGAAGCCCATGATAAGCAGCATGGAACAAAGACCACAAAGACCATAGAGAACCAACGATCGCCGGCCAATGCCCAAACTCATAAGTCCCCAGGCGCCAAAGACTCCAGCCATGTTGATACCGTACTGGCCGAGTGCAAACGAGTATGCCTTATCTGCTGAAAGTCCGGCCTGCTCGAGGAAATAGGTGGAATAATTGGAGAAGGAATTGCCGCTCAAATTCTGGATGGCCCAGACCATACAAACAATCTCCGTACGGCGACGGTCAGTACCCTTGAAACAGTCCCAGTAAGATGCTCCTGCTGTGATTTTCTCTTCGAGGGCAGTGGTGTGTACCATCATGGCGATGGTTTCGTCGGCGTCGAAATCAGTCTCGCGATCCAGACTAGTCAAACGAAGTAGTGCTTCCTTAGCATCCTGGTTACGGCCTCTTCGGACCAGCCACCAAGGTGACTCGGGCGCAAAGAAGATACCAATGAAGAGTGGCAACGGCCATATCCATTGAAGAGCATAGGGGATACGATACGCCCATTCGTCGTCACGCTTAAGCATAGAGTGAATTACTCCTATACCGATCTCCTGGCCCAAACCCCAGCAGAAGTTGACGTATGTGGTCAAGTAGCCACGAAGAGCTACGGGACAGACCTCAGACGCATACGTAATAGTCAGTGTTTGAAAGATACCCCAAGGAATACCGCACAAAATCTCGGCGACGAGTAGAGTCTGGACGTTCTGAGCGGTAAAGAAGATGGTTGTAAAACCAGCTACACAGACAAGACATGCCATGACGGTATAACGGTAGCCGAAACGCTCAGAGATCCAGCCATTGATGAAGAGACCAATGATCTCACCACAGTGAGCTCCCTATTTGAGTTGTTGATAAGCGTCTGAGCCAGGAATCTCGAGCAGAAGACTTACATTACTCAGGCCAGCCTGCCAAGCAGCAGGTACCTGGTATTCTCCGTTGTCACCCAGAACACCGTACTTTTTGTTGAATTGAGGAAAAGCGTCTAGTATCGGGTGTCAATAAATGGCCATGAATAGAGCAGGGCTTGCTATTTCGAGAAACTCCCACCAATGGGTGTCTGATCCCGAGGAACATATGTCAAGCTGCCAAGGAACTAATCAACACATACAGAAGTTATTAACGAGGGAGATATCGTAGCCCTCCATCACAATACACGTGGAGATGAGAACACTCCAAAAGATGGCCTTAGGATAGAGCTTGATGCCCTGACGGATGGTCATATTGCGCTCTTTGTGGGCTGCAGAACGGGCATGCTCAACGATGTTGACATGCGTCTTGCGGGCATCGGTATTGTCCTCAACGGTCGAGTCCACGACGACCGAGTTATCGGCAGTGGTCTCTCGCGGCGGGGCCGGAGCCGGGGCTGGCGACACCTTCTCTTGGATGTCGGCCATGGCTTCAGCTGTTCCAGTTCACGGCACTCAATGTGAACTTCACAGCCAATCAAAGGTCTACCTATCAAAGCCAGAGAAGAAAATGAACGAAGCACAAGAACTGCAGCACTTTGGTCAAGGTCTGTCTCTGATTCTGATTCACCTTTAGAGCGGTTTTGAAAGCTCAAGGTTGAACGAGGTCATACAGACTTGAAGTTCAACGTGCGTAGGGGAAGTGACACTTCAGATGGACCCTACCAAGAGACGATGGGCGACAAAGACGGCGGTAACTGTTTACGCACGCACGAACTACGGGAGTACGTAGCAGCAACAGAGGACAAGGATAAGCAAAACAGAGAGAGGACATAGAAAGAGAGAAAGTCTGATGGAGTCTGGGAGGGACCTTATTTTGGTAAAAAATGGACCCAGATATTGACGATTTTTATCCTAGGGGCGGATGGTCGGATCAAAGCGGGACAAGCCATGCCAGACCGAGAAAGAATGGAGTGTCAATTGCTTGAGTCCAGAGTCCAGATCCCAGGTTCCAAAACTCGCAATCTCTCTCTTTTTGGTGGTGGTATTCACTAACAATTCAACAGACATACGCAGCTGGCTAATAGCACATGTGAGGAAGATCGCATCGCATCTCTCACCCATATCCTTGCTCTTTTACAAGTGGGCCTTTGCATTTACCCGCCGAATGGTTCCTCTCGATCTGAAGGACAGTTGTGCAACAGTTCAGGTCTTTTTTATTACCGTCAAGACAGCAACCGAGCATTGCAAGCGCGTGCAATTAATAGATGGCTATACTCTTCATACTGAGGCCCTGTATCGACGATTGACAAACATTACATCTCAATCAAGCTTATCTCTTCAAAATCCGACTATGAACTACGGTTGCGGAGCCTCATCTTGGCTAGCAAAAGCTAGAACAATCGACAGCCACTTAATTAGCGGCATGAACCACTGGAACTACCGAAATAATTGGAGAATTCTCTCAACGTCCGTGGTAGGGCCGACATTCTCTCACCGTTCATTTCAACCCTCACGCAGTGGCAATGGCAAAAGGGTATTTCTATTGTCTATTTCATGATCTCAAAGGCGGAAGGATCCAAGAGTTTACGTACCAGCTCATGAGTCGCGACTTGGCTTGACTGAAGGAGACTGGGCTGGCTGTTGTTAACATTTGAATGCAAAATTAGTAGATGCTGCGGTTGTGATCAGAATTGGGGTTACTCCAAAATTCCAAAGCCAAGACACATGCCATGCCGACTCCACTCACGACGACAATTCCAAGCGGCTGTTTTCTGACGATTGATCGTTCGAAAGACAAAGCCAAACTCGTCTCGATATTATCACTACTTTGCAGGATGATACATATATGCAACCAAAGTTTCATCTACGGGTGGGACTGTTCTTTACCACCACCTAGTCACTCACGATGGCATCGTGCGGGGATGACTGCCGAGTGGCCCCTCAACTTGACTGTCTGGGGAAAGGGAGCGGGGACTTGACTTTACAAGACAGGGGAGATTTTGGTCTTGTCCCAAGTGTCCAAGTTTTTTTATGTTAGAGATTGGACCTGGTGAATAGCTGGTGGGTTAGCTCGAGTAAAACCGCACGAGGTGAGAGTACGACAAATCATATACAGTGATGATAGGGCTGTTAAAAGAGACGATGAATGATTTAATATGCAGAGCTGCTCGTGCAGCGCCACACAGACTCATTAGTGCCGCCAATATCCAATATCAATTCTTCTTCCATAAATCTCTCCACCACTCCCTCATTCCATATGCTTTCTCGTGTGCTTCGACATGAATCTTGACATTGTCGCCTCCCGTCAACGCCTCCAGCAATCCCGTCTGTTGAGCTACTTTACCTCCTCCTAAACTCCTTGGCCTACCACCCGCCGCGCGGTCCCGAATCTCTCGAGCAACAGTAGGTGCAACTTCAGCAAAACACGCTTTGAGTTCCCGCTCGAGTGAAAAGTACGGCTTCTTGGCTAAATCCGGCGCCATGAGGTTGTAGCTCCGCGTCAGAGTATTAAGACGCTCAACGGCCAGCTTATGATATCCTGCTTCGGCCTTTTCCCAATCCGAATCTCGGAATGGTCTTCCAACCACCGGCGAGGCGTCCTTGAGCCCCTGCACCTCCCCATCCCCATTCTTTCGTATAGTTGGATTGTGCACCTCTTCCGCAGCTGCATACTCTTCTGCTCTGCTTATCTGCTCCTGCAGCGATCCTCCCCTTGATGCAATCATCCTTGCTGAAAAGCGTCGCCAGTCGTTTCGCAGTCTAGCCCTAAATGTCTGGAGCTCCTTTGCGAGCTCCTGCTGCTTCTCTATCCATGGCGGAACCATATCCTGTCGTTGAATCATCTTGTTCATGATATACTCCGTAGTATCGATAAAGGGGTTGTCAGCGCGGGCATCACGCTCGATTCCTGTACCACGGGGGATGTTTTTGAATTGCCCTCTTGCAATAGCATTCTCGATACGCTCGTTCGCCAAAGCTGCAAGGCCCGTGATTGTGTTTGGCATGGCTCTCGCTGTAGGCTCAAACCGTTCTCTTAACTCTTTCCTCCAAGCTTCCCTCTCATCCTCACTCATGCCGTTCTTGGACTGCTGGCCGCCCATGCCAACATAAGTAGTCACCTTGTCCCTTGCTTTGGCCACCTTCTCTCCTGCAGATCGCTTTGGTTTTCTGTTCAATCGCATGTCCACAGGTGGGGTCTGAAACTTGCCTCTTAAGCCTGGAGCCAGTGGTTTCCTAGCATCATCTAGCATGCGAAGTGCAGTATCTGTAGGGTTCTCTTCTCCCGTCCACGTTTGCGCCGAGGCGATATATCGTGTACCTTCTCCTGCTGTTGACGTAAGGCTAGCTTCTGCAAAAGCGCTAGCATTCTCGGACTTGAAGTTTGCATCGGCGATCCTATTGAAAAGTCTTTGCTTGAGCTCTTCTGAAAAGCCTGCGTCCTCGACAGCCTGACGTCCGGCTCGTCCACCAGTAAAGAGGGCTTCCTCTGTGGCTTCCTCTAACCGCCGAGCCAGAGGCCCTGGTTCCTTGGCTGAGGCTGGTTCGTTGCTTTTATTCTCTTCCTTCTTTGTTGCTCTGTTTCCTTGTTGGTCCTCTGTCTTAGGTGCGTCGGCTTGAGTCGAATAATGAGAAAGTGGCAATGGCCGGGGCTGGTGGGATACTATAAGGCAACGCCGACATATAAAAGGCGTCCTGCGAAAGAACAAAGACATCTTTTTGAGTTTTATTATACTGGAGATACCGGGTCGTAGTAGAACTGAAACTGAATGTGATGAGATTGAGTGAAGGCAACCAAAGTCGCAAAGTTGTAATGACGGTAATGAAGTTGATGGAGCTTGGCTGAGTCAGCTGGCCACCCTAGACTACCTAAATGACTGTATCACGACTCTTGCCAACTCGACTTCGCCGCTTCACTAATTCATAACGTTTGATTCAAGTAGCTATCTAATAAAACCTTCATATCTTTAAGAAAGTAATTGTACGTGCTCATGCCATTGACTTGTTTGACCTTCATCGCCAAATAAAAACTCCGCCAGATATCGGCACCAAAATTGATCCCCTGATCCCATTCATACTGCACTCAGGCTCAGCCTATTACAAACTGTGGAAAGCAATGGCGAGCAAGAGAGCAAACACCGAGCTCACCGAGGTCTTTGTACAACTCGAAGCATCTTCTCCCTCCTCCCCATCATCCCCTTTCTTTTCACTACCAGGGTCATCGCTGGGTTCCGCACCAGAAGGGTTTGCTTTCAAAACCCAGATACTGCTGCTGTTGCCATGAAGTTCGCCTGTTGCAAGATCAACGGTAGCTGTAGATCCAAGGACTTTACCGCTCTTACTCACGGCGACTGCTCGTGCAGACTTGGGAAGCGATGACTCGTCCAGAGGAATCTCTGTTTCAAAACCAATCCGGGACGAGTTGCCAAGAAGTTGGGGAGAAGCTGTGACATTTCTATCATCTTCGCCAGCATACTACCACAGTATTAGCTCAGTTAAATGGTTTGGGGGCGCAATTCGACATACCACCTCCCACCGGTGAACCTCTGTATCACCGTTCCAGGAAACGTAGATAGTTGCATTCGCGGAGGCAATGGATGGACCCCACGGTGGTTGGCCGATCCAATCCGTTTTCCATGCCCGATAGACAGACATATCGGCATCTGAGTTACCTTCAGAGACATGAGGTATAACCCCACGCTGAATGTCCATGACTATAGTTCCATTGGGCGTATGTTCCGTGACCCCTGGATTCGCACCCCAACCGACAAGGAAGTTTCCGTTGGCCAAGCCCTGAACGCTGCCTCCTGAACCCGATGAGATTTTCTGGGGATGGTAAAACTCATGTAAGAGCTTGACAGTCATTTCATCATAGTCAAGCTCCACAACAACGCCTCGAGAACAATTTCCTTTACTGCAGAATCCGCTCTCAGTGACGTGGTTGTCGAAGAAACTGATCTGGCTCTCATTACCTTGGACAAATCTTGCATTATATTGATGTGCAAACTTAGTTGCATTCCCGCCGTTGAGGTCCTTGAACTGGTTACGCTTTCCTCCTAGGATCCATCGTGGGTTTAAACTGTCTGCCTCGAGAAGGATGATTGCCGATAACGCTCTCGATGAGACCAGGTAACGGCCTTTCAAAGTCTATTTTCTCATGAGTGAGTGGCTCTTTAATATCTTGAGCGAGCGGTGTATACCTTGAAGATGCTGTCTATGTGGAACCAGTCGAAACCATCGCCACCCATGAAAGTTGTCTTGGGGTTGTATTTGATCATTGTGTCCGTCAGGTTCATATGAGTGAACGATCTCCACACATTGGTGACTCTGTTGGTGTCAAGTTCAACCTCCTGAAAGATGGAGTCGCTCAGCCAACCATCCATTTCTCCCCCGATGGTGGTTAAGTTGTACCTGATGTCCTGGTATGCAGTCATGAGGGCAGTACCCTGGGTGGTGAATTCGAAGTCGTGAATGTTGGCTTCAGTGTTCCCCAGGCCTTGAATGGACGCTGTCCATTTCTTCTGGTAATTGGCGTCAAAGGCGTGACAGCGGCCACCTTCAATGAAAGTGAGGTACTTGCCACCGTTCATGTTCTGGGCACGAGCATCAAATGTCTGCTCATACTTGAGATCGGCGTACACAAGGCTGAGGTCTTTGCTGGAGAAGATAACAGGTCCTGATTTGCCATTATGCTCCATGGTCAGGAAGAGAAACCCCGAATCATCAACAAGATTGGGATCAAAGGTGCTGACTTGGAAAAGAGGGGCGACAACATTCGAAGACTTGAAGTCTTGGGAGGGAAACAGACCGAGATAGCCACTGTTGTACGCTTTCAAGTCATTGACTGGGGCGTCGTCTGCGAGACACAAAATGCCCAGCAACGCAATCGTCATTGCGGGTAATAAAAATGAAAGCATTTTAGGAACAAAAGAGAGAGTTCACGTAGAGAAGTAGAGGCAGAGAGTTGCGATCAACGAAACGAACGACACAGTTCCAAGAAGACTCCAAAAGTGCTCCAAAGAAGTTTTGAGAGAGTGAAGAAGGGAAACTGTTGAATCTTTGATACTCGCGTTGTAGGACGGAAGTTTCAAATGCCTTCCACAAGGAATGAGGAGGCAAGAAGAAGAGATTTGCTGTTACTCCAAGTGGCAGTCGCATCAGGTTGGAGCCGCTTCGTGCTTCCTCCCTTTCTTGAAACGTAGGACTGTAACATGACAATGAGGCAAGAGTCCTCCACGACTTCCTGCAGGTGTTACGACCACATGGAAGGAAGGAGCACTGCAGCACATCCATCATGCGAGTCCGAGCTGTAAGGCAAATTCAGGACTGAGGCCGCACCAGTCATCATAAGGTACCTAGCTAGGTAGGATAAGGTAGTCTTAGTAGAGGTGGCAGTAAAATTTGTTCAGATCATCATTCTTTTAAATACGTTCTGTCAGATCTCTCATGCTTTGGTCGTGAGGGTCTTCGTCATCCTAAAGTATCCACAAGAACAGCCCAAAAGCCTGTAAGTACCAGTTCTTCCTATATAGCTCCCCAACACCATTAATAACTTTTGATCCGCCTCCCCTCCGTCCTGTGCATGACCTAGGCTCATGTCAGGGTCGAAAGGCCTTCGGCTCGCACCGTTGTCTTGTGTATGTACCCTGTCCCAATCCAAACTCCTCATTCGATAGTATATCAGTATGAACCTTTTCCGTTTCATTTCTAGTCATTCGTAAAGCAGCAGGGCACCACGTCCTATATTCGCCCTCCTTCAAGAACTTCTCGTTCGAGGATCTCGACCTGCCCAGATTCTCCAGTGCGTCGTCGCTCCATGACCCAGCGTGTAGCGCCACTGTCCTCCTCTTTGGTGTATGATATACTATCAGCGGATCCTTTATGTCGGTGCCCCAAACCCGGACGCTTAGGGGATGAGCTTGACTCGGCCATGCTAGCCGTGCTGGCCCTGTTGGAAGGCTCCAGTGGGCTCACCATAGCTGATGGTGGCATGCTCTCCTCAGAGTCAGAAATCGGCGAGATGGGTTTATCAAATGTCCTTGATGTAGGCCTGCTGACGTTGAGAGGTGCTACCTGAGCACCCTCTTTCACGCCGGTTTCGAGCTTGGCTAGTGATGGAACAGGAGGGGGAGATAACATCAACCCGGGGATGCCACCCGTCAAGGTAGGGCTTCCAGACGCGCTAACACTGTCCGACTCGTGGCTGATGGTAGACAGGACCGAATTCTTTCGAGTATGAAAAGTTGTTGGACTCATGATGCTCTGGCCCCACGGTGACATGGGAAGATCACCCCTCTCTTCACGAGGGGATCCGTTTTGACTCGACGCGAGACTTGCTTGAGAGCCGCCCCACGCTCTGGACCGAAGGCGAAGTAGAGCAGACAATGTCATCTCATCGCCACGGTCACCCAGAAGAGCAAGTTGAGCTAGACCAGGACTCTGAAGGGGCGTTGTACCGCCAAAGCTAGGCATACCGAGACTCATAAACGAGTTTCTGTTAGAATATTCGGATCGCTCGGTAATGGGTGTTAGATTTGGCTCTCTTGAGATCATACGCCCACTGGCCGAGCGGTCTAAACCGCCCTTGGGGCCGAAGAAGCCACCATTGGCATATTCAAAGTCTGGTGTTTGCTGCTGGCCAGCTGCTGCTGAATAGAAGCCGAATTCCTGGCCGTACCAGCCATCACAGTCATTAGCCAGAGCATCTGCGTTGGCCTCGGCAATAATGGCATCGTCGTCAAGCTCGAATTCAGCCATGTTCTCATAAGAGTCATTGTAGTCGCCATAATCATCAAAGCTTTCATAGTCGTCCTGTCTGAAGGAGTTGTCCTGATCTGGTGAATTTGGTGAACGATTTTGCTCAGACAATATAGAATCGTCAGGCGGGGGAGAAGATCCCCGTTGAAACTTGCCCGATGCTACCGCTTGGAAAGTTGCCGCAACAAGAGCAGCTTGATATGCTGCCGAATCATCCCCATCCTGAGGTGACGACGAAAGCGGCACGACAGAAGGTTCAGGAGATGATTCAGTGACAAGGCTCTCTTGTGGAGCATCAGGCTCGTCGATTTGCTTTTCAACAGCACTTAGCGATGTATGGGCTGTTGTCTTAGAAGTCTCTGAGCCCGCAGAGAATGGCGCCGTTGTATCAGATACCCGATTCGTTTCATCTTGATTTCCAGATCGATTCAACGATTGTGACTGCGCTTGTGCGAATGCGCCCGCTATTGGTCGACCAAATTGATCGGTATCATTGTTATCAAAGATTGACTCATCAAAAGGGGTATCATCCCATTCAGGAGGGGCAGCGAGGTCCTTGGCGAATTCATTGCTCTCGAATTCCAGCATCCCGTCATCGTAATAGAGCTCGTCATCGTTTAATGTACGTCCTGTATCAATTGGTGGCAGGTCCCGGTTCTTCTGGAATGCTGCCTCATTCTCGAGGCTAGGCACCCTTGGAACATCCAGTCCTTGGATTCCCAGTCCACCAGCCTCCATCTCTTGGCTCGCCCGTTGGTCAGGAGGGTGGGAGGGAGACAAGCTTGCAAACATATTCGGTGTGTATTGACTCATGGCATATCCAATTCGATTGCCTTCCGCATCCCTCGGGGTCGGTAAGAGCCCTGCGCTGCGTGGACTAGTCAACGCTGATGTAGGGCCTGATCGCTGGAACACAAAACCAGAAAAGTTTTCCTGATCATCGTCAGGATCAAAATCTTCGTCTGGTTCATCATCCATGGTCCTATTGAGAGTATTGTTCATGTTGTTGTCGAGATGAGCATCCAAGGGTTTGCTCGATGACATGTTGTTAATATTATAATCATTAAAGTCGTCGTTCAAGCCGTTGTTAAAGCCGTCGTCCATGTCATCGAAGTCATCACCAACCATAGGAATTTCCTCTTCAAAGCCATCGTCCTCCATCATAGCATCGTAATCGAATCCATCGTCGTCAAAGTCATCAAAACGCGAATCTCGTGCGGCGGGTACTTCGGCTGTCTTTTTCTCAAGTTCACGTTGTCGATGTCTGTCCTCAAGGATCTTTTCTTGCTTCGCAGCACCAACCATGTCGAAACTGAACCTTGACGACGTACTCTTCATATGTCGAGGTATCGCCGAAGCTATGTCCTTACCTGATAGTCCAGATAACGAGGGACCCCTGGATCTACCAGCCCTAAATGAAGATGATGACCTCTCGTGGATATAAGCATCTTCGTCGATCAAACGTGATGCTTGAGGCGACCTTGGCTGAACCGAGATAGGGCTGTCGTCTTTGGGAGGGACTGGAGGCGCATCTGAAAGAACGAGAGCGTCCAAATCCCCAATAGGGGCATGGACGCCAGCGGAGGCCGTGCTTGGTGTCATCCTTAATGTCCTCGAATCTTGAGAGTAAATAGATTCGGAAGCATTGCTGGGCTCCCTTCGTGTCAGAGCGGAGGCTGAAAGAGGAGTTTGGTCGATCTGGGTATCAGGCGGGTTCAAGAACCTGTATTGGGTAGGAAGAGGGGCAGAATTGGGAACCGGCGAGGGCAGCGAAGGCTGCGTGTTTTCCCTGCTCGGTGTGTTGTTCTTCTTGGGTCGCGGCGCACTGAAGTCATGGACCCGAGTTCCCATGATACGGGGATCATATATCGGGTCCTCCCTTTGCTTCGTCAAGGGTAATGGGCGCAAGTCAGGAGCATGTTGGCTGTTCTTGCGCCTCATCAATAACGTCGACATTGGTTTCTTGAGAAATGGTAGCCCTTTCTTGGCTTTTGGGTTTTCTGTGTTGCTTGTTGTTTGTGTAAGCGAGGGGAGTTCCGTAGTCAACCGGGTACCTGCAGGTCGGCGACCAGTTGGCGCAGCGGAGTTCTGGAACTCTGTAGGTGTACTGAAAGAGGATGTAGCTCTTGTATTTCTCAAAAACTGTGGTGACGGCCGCAAGGGTAGATTGTTCGAGGTCAATGCTGGCTGAGAAGCCGATTGTTGAACTAGACCAGGCCTTGTGTTGTCTGGAGCCTCGGTAGCTTGCGCTTCTATATCACGCTGGTACTTTCTGAGGGCAACACCGCCGATGAAACTTGATGTCTTCGAAGCTGGTTGAGGCCGAGTATTTATCGGGCTTGTCGTGGTAGCATATTGGCGACTGTCTCGCGAATTCCCAAAGTCTCCTGTGGTGACACGGTCTATAGGTGGTAGAGTAGGGGGTAAGGCAGAAGGGTTCGAAGAGGCCGGTCGCAAGTCTGGGGAGAGAGCATCGGGAGAGAAAGGCGAAGCAGGGTGGCCGGCAGTAGGTGAAGTAGGATTCTGATCGGGAGAGGGCGAGGTAGGGTTCGATGCAGGCCCTCGCCTGTGGAACCGCAGATGGGACAGCATACCGAACAGCCGGGCTCTGCGTCAAGGCGAGTGAATCAAAATGTCGACGGCGGCTGGTGTGGGGGGAGCGCGGAAGCGCTCAAGCTTGCGTAAGGGAACCGATAGTGAGAAGAGGGCAGCGCACCCGTGGGGCAGCACCGGATGGTGTAGGGCGAAGTAGTAGGCGAAGGCGATCGAGACGCGGTCATGATATGACTCAAGGGGTCGTAGGCGCAAGAGACATCACAAACATGGTGGTCGATTCGGGAGGTGGGCGCGCAGATGGGATGGAGTCAGGTATCGATCAATAGTGGGCAGCAAGGGAGCGCAGAGCGCAAGCCAAGATTGTTTCCGAATGCTGATGCGCGCTGCAACGATAACCGATTCACTTGTACAGTAGCGTTCGCGAAGGAAGAGGCTGAGGCTGAGGCTTTGGGGGTGGTTTTCTGTGAGATAGATGGTGAGATGTTGTTGCGAGGAGGCTGAGGCAGCACCAAGCGATAACCTAATCGACCCAATGCGTGGTTGGTGACGGATTTACGGTTTCAAGGCACCCAATCCAAAAAAGCCTGGCAAGGATGAGTTGCACGTGCATAAGCCACTTGAATACTACCTAAGGCGGCTCTAGAAGCACAATCGGAGCAGAAAGATGGGCAAAGGGTAGCAGAAACAAATTAACTGTTAGTAGCCTTAATAATGCCAATTCAAGGGAAGCTCTGCAAAGGATCAAGTAACCAGTTTTGACGCTTAGAATTTGAGTTAAGTTGGGCGGTGTTTGTCTGTGGCAGATATTCATTGGTGGGGCTTGTTAAGATGTTACAGCAAGGTAAACCAGGCTTTGCGCCAAGTCTATAAAAAGAAACCCAATCCCTTCCAATTAACGGGAGCAATAAGAGCAATAAGACCCAAAAATTTGGTACAATACCCGTATCAATGCGGGTTTTCTGGTCGCGATCCTCTGTCCCTCTGAGGGCAATTTTTTCTCAAAACGAGAATATCCCTTGCTTTGCGTAAAGGGCAGCTTTCATTGCCTCCACTTACAAGTCGCCCTGAATGACTCTGTTTAAGTGGTGATGAGAGGGTCCATGACTAGGCTCAGAGTATGTATAATGGGTCTCAGCTTGGCGAAGGGGTGCGCATTGTTCCTGTTCTCATGGAAGTCTTAGACACTATTGCTGTCAGAGACAGCCTCTATTCGCCTAAGTAACTTGGCTTTGGCACTTTAATAATGGCAATCTCCGAGCATGATTCACCTCGATTATTAGCATCGGAGGAGGTCACTAAGAATATGGTTAATATCCGCCTACGTTGACATGTTTAGCTTGGCAACTTAAAAACGCGGTTGGGAGCCAAGCTTGTCTATTAAGGTTATCCCATAGAGTTAAACCACAAAGTTACAGTGAGTTACAAGCGGGATTAACACAAGCATTATACAGCATATCCAGGGGCAGATTATCGTACTATATGTCACCGTTGTTATCTATTAGACAATACAGACTATAAATTGACCTACCCAGTACAGCATTCAACTACGAAATTATGTACCCTCCAAGTCATAGGTAGCAGTCGACCTTGGTCGACCTACCATAATATAAATGAGGAGAAAAGGGCCAAAAAAGCCTCACAAACAACGCAATAGCGAGGTAGGGCCATACAATTACCTATTCATACCTGATAGTGGGTATTCCCGCGGAGTCTATATGGGATTCAGCCTCGCTCCTTTTTCCGAATCATATAACCTGCCTCAGTAAGGTAGAGTAAGGGTATGATCGGTAAGCCCGGGTAATTAACCGGGAGGATAAATTTACTTGCATAAATAGGCTATAAGACTAACCTTTTTATTTTAAGTACCGTTTCTAGCCTGTAATCTTATATAATTAATAGATTAATAAGTAATTAATACTCTTATAAATAAATTTAGGTAATTTAATATACTAAATTAATAGGGAGGCCTATAAATTACTAAATAAAGGTAAGATATTAAGTAAAATCCTTATTTTTTAGTATTTTTTATTATTTTTCCCCTTAGGTATAAATATACCTAAATAATTATTTACGGTAACTATAAAAAATAGCTTTAAGATAACCTTAATATTATATTTAATATATATTCTTTATAGCTAGGTATTAATAATAACTTTATTTATTAAATCGTTATTAATAACTTTAATAATTTTTAATTATATTATATAGCTATTATCTTAATATTTTTATAAGTCTATAAATATTAATATTATTATTAATCTTAATATATAAATAATTCTTTTACCTAGTAGTTATATATTAATAAACTACTTAATTCTTAAGAGTATATAAAGTAACTCCTTATAATACTTAATATAATATTTAGTAATTTATTTTATATATAAAAGGTATAGTTTTTTAAGCTTTTTTATTAATTAAGGATTAATATAAAGGTAATAAATAGCTAGTATTAATTACTTAAGCTAAAGTTAATAATCTTTTTATAAATATTAATTTATAATAAGTTATAAAGAAATATTATATATTACTTTAAAGTTAATTAAAGTACTATATTAATAATCTTTACCTATCTTATTAATTTTATATAATAATTATATATAAAATTTATTTATATATTAAAAAAAACCTATATTAATTTTTAAATTAAATTATAAAGTAAATTTATATAATTTAATAATATTATTAAAGTAATAAATAAAATATATATATTAATATTTATTTCCCTTATTAAATAGTAAAGATTTTAATTAAGGAAGTTAATAATATTATAGAATATACTTACTATAATTAATTTTAAAGGCTATTTTTTATATATATTTATAAATATTAAAGGCTTTATTAATAATATAATATTAATAAAATATATCTATAATAATAGTTTTAATATATTATTAGGTTATTTTTATTTAATTAATACTAACTTTAGGCTATAATAATGTATTTTAATTCTATATTTATAAATATAATATTATTTATAAAACTAGGGTAATATTAATAAATAGCTAGATAATAAAAAAAAGTTATATAATTTTTATTATACCTAGCTTTATATAATTATAAAGTAAATATTTAATTATTATAAAAAGAAATAAAAGATTATAAAGAATAGTATATTTAAATATTTATTTAGTAATTAAATTAAAATTATATATATTATAATTAGGCTTTATAATTTTTTTATATTATAAAGTAAGAAGTTAAGACTAGTAATTAAAAAGAAAAAACTTATAAAAAAAAATATTATATTTTAATAAAGATTTATAGCTATATTAATATTATTATAATAAAGAAATTTAATTTAATAATAAAAAATCTAATTATAAAATAGCTTTAATTAACTTATTAAGATTATTTTTAGCTTTTTAATAAATTTAAAAATAATAATTTTAATAAAAAAGTAAGTAAGTAAGAAAAAGAGGATTTTAATAATATTAAGGGGGAAGATAGTATTAAAGAATAAATTATTATAGTAATATAGTTATAAGGTTATAAAGTAAAGAGCTAGACCTATATAAAATATTTTAGATTAATTATAGGCTTTAAAAATTTAAGATTACCTTTTATTATATTAAATTAAGTAAAGAGTTTTTATAGATTATACTTTATAATAACTTTAACTAAATTAACTTTTTCTTAATCTTTATAATACTATAAAATTATATATAATATAGCTTTTTTAACCTTATATATAATAATATATATTTATATTAATATATCTATAAATACCTTTTTTATTTCTTTATTATTAAAGGAGTTTTATATTAATATATTTTTTATATTTTATTATAGCTAGTTTATTACCTTAATTACAAATTATATACCTTATTTCTCTATAAAAAGTTAAGTATAATCCTAGATTATACCTTATAGATTTTCTATTTTAATAGGCCTTATAGTTAATATATAATTATAAGTAATTAACTAATTAACTATAAATAATACCTTTAAGTTATTAAAATTATTATTACCTTTTTTTATAGTTTTTATTTTTTTTTATTAAAAAAAAGGAATTAAACTATTAGGTAATATAAATATATTTAAGGCCTATTTTATTTTATTTATTATAGATATAGTTAATACCTTTAAAGAGTTTAAAAAAAATAACTTAACTTTATTATCTTTCTTTATAGTAAGTCTTATTAATATTATAATTATATATAATATAATTACCTTAATAAAGTTATTTTTTTTTTTTTTATAGTTAATAACTTATTTATTTAATAAGGATATTTTCTTAATATATAATTATAATATAGCTTTATAAATAATAAAAGCTATTTTATTATTAACCTTAATAATAAATTAATCTACCGAAAGGTTATTAAAAAATATTTTAAAATATATATTAATTATAATAATCTTATTTATCTATAAACTATTTTTTATTATTTTTATACCTATCCTTAGGTAAAAGTTCTTTATATCTTTTTTTTATAACTTATTAATTATTTTTTTTTTTTATAAATTATTATAATCTTTTTTAATATATTTATTAAGGTTATATTATATATAATATTTATTTTTAATATTAATTTATTAACTTTTAAATTATTAAAAGTCCTATATAATCTTTAAAAATATAATTTAAAAATTAATAATAAAGGATTTAAATATAAACTTAATAATAGCCTTTTTTTTATTATTTAGTTTTTAGGATTACCTTACTATTAATAACTTATTTATAAAAAAGAAATATTAATTTTAAGTTTATTAATTTAAAAAGGTTTATAAAAAAGGGGCCTATAATATAATATTAAATTATAATAATAATAGTAATAACCTTAATTAAGTTAATAAAAAGGTTTAAATTAAAAGCTATAATATTATAATTAATAATACTATTAAAAATTTTAAATTAATAACTAAAATTAATATTAATAAAAAGACTTTAATTTTAGGATTATAATTTATTATTATATTAATCTCCCTACCTAAAAAGCTATATTAAATTTATCTCTAAAGGCAGTAAGGGCCCCCTATAGAATAGGAAAAGTATCCCTTAGGTATAACCTTACCGACCTATATATATAAATATAGCCCTTAAATTTAATTATTAATTTTACCAGGCTTGCCGATTAGGCCCTAAAGAGTATCTAGTTTATATTTTCAGCTGCAATTGCGGTGCAGAATAACCCTAACAGACTGGCCGTTCCTTGTCCCGGGCGGTCATCAAAGAAAAGGGAAACAAAGGAGAAAGAAAATAAGATGTGGCTAAAGTTCTAGAAACCACGGAGTTATCCGTCGACCGTTGAGCCGCAAGGTTTCCCGTATCGTTCGAGTTAACCACAGATATGCCGAACCAGGAGCTTTATTGTTGTGTAGAAGTTCTATAGTGCTCAATGCCTCCTTGTTGTCAAACAATAACAGGTAGAAACTCAAGAGCGCGATAGCAAAAAATGAAGTCTGAGGAAGATTTGGAATATGTGTTACCCTATACTGCTTGACATTTGAATGCTTTTTTTGGTCAAAGTTTGCATGACAAGGTCGGATTGATGGTTAAACGCTGAAAGTTTACTGCATTGTCCATCTGAGTAACGGCCAGTGGAACGCTGATGAAATACTTGTATTGTAGGACAACCAAGAACGACAGAAAGCAGTCTTTATAATGGAGGCTCCACGGATATTAGATTTCTCGTGGTATCTCATCACAAGTTTAATTCCTCGATACAACCGTTATTTGTAGGTTGAGGAGGCTTAGCACTCATGCTAGATTTTAACTAGCTCATGGGGTAACCGAGCGCTACAAATCTGGGGAGGAGATTAATGACGTACCCATCTGCGTCTTACAATAGGCCCAACAGTGAAAGAGTGCTACAAAAGCGCAGAGATAAGAGTAGCAGTCAATATGGGTGAACATTGATTGGGTAACATTCCCTCTATATCTACTTGATCGGGTGCATCGTTACAGAGCTCGTCTCGTGCCTTATTACCAGTTACGGTGTGCAAAGCAAACATCAAGCCTGCAGCACATCCATCACCAACTGTTCTGTTCTGTTACACTTCTCCACAAAGAAAACATATCCAACGTGACGTGACGTCCTAATTACTTCCACCCAAGAGAGCCTCCAGAAACCGAGACTTTTGGCCTGTGATCTGACCATGGCTTTGCGTCTTGTGTGTCTGGGCGGCGCCAACCGCGGTGGCCGAGACCTCAAGCTCCACTGCTGACGACGCATTTCTTGGGTGCAATTTACGGGAGTTCGGCAGTGGAAAGGAGACCAGACACGATAGGGACAATGGGCGCAACGCAGCAATGGAATTGTATCAGAAAAGAGAATAAATACCTGTCTGGACTACTGCGGGTGACGAGGCCGGAAGACGGCATCGGGATGTGGGTACAATAATGCCCGGCCGGTAGCCGTTGTTACGTGACGCGATGCTACAACTCTTCGGTGCTGACGATAGAAAGCAAGAAAGCATTGGTACTTTCCAACGCTTTTTGGGGCTGAACGCTCTTGGCTACATGTAAATCCCACTATTTGAGCAAGGATTATTCTAATCTACGCCTTGCGTTCTTCGTTTTTCCCTGGAAACGCTTACCACGTCCCACGACACCAAGTCTGGCAAAGGCTCTTGGCCGCGCAACGGCAACGGGATAGCTCTTGGCGATGACAATTGCACTTGTTCACAGGCTTAGGGGGACGTTTTAGACTAATCAGGCCTATCTTATATCACTGATAAAGTTACATATCCCCCGCTGAATTCTAGTAAACTTATTTACAGCCCTACCCATCGCTTGTGATAGCATCTCTATCCCCCTTCCCCCTGAGTTACTATATCTTCATCATCAACATTTTTCTCATAATTTTATTCTCGTTACAGTTTATCTACTCACAACTTCAGTATCTGATTATTTCCCGTCATTTCCCGTACCGCCCAGTCCATTCCCAGTTCATCGACGCCTCGCTCGAACTTAACCACTGGCTCTCACTGGCAACATTCCTCTCAACGCTCACACTTAGATCACTTTCGTAAACGACTTTCACGAATCTGGTGTTTCCCGCCGGATCATCGGCAGAAGAAACGCGCTTCCTCTTTCCAGACCTATTCTATTTTTGTCTATACTCTTACGCCACATCAACGTCGCAGATACATATTATTTCCTGTTAATGGCCCACATCGAGTGTTGATTTCGCCGCCAAGCTTCTTTATAGCTCGTCCTTACCGGCTTTGACGCACCATGATCAACACACTATGGAAATCACCCGCTGAGCTTGATCACCAACTTCCCGGTCGTCGTAAGAGCCATGATTCCGTTATGAGCAGACTTGGCGGAAAAAATGTCGTCGTCTTTTGCTCTGCTCGTGTGTGGCGCGGCGCACCCAAGCTCATTCTTCAGATCGCCGCCATATTCTTTACCAGCTTCCTTATTTTTGGGGTACTACCAGATCGTCTATCAGGGGGACGACTCGGAATTGGTCATGTCGGAATATTCCCCTGGGGAAAGCCTCTAGCGGAGCCTGAGTCAAATCTGAGGATCGTGGTGTTTGGTTCACCTGATATTGTGGGCAACGTTCGAGATCCTTCTTCTAAACGCAAAACATGGACAGAAGAACTATGTGTTGAGGTAAAAAAAAAATCTTTCCTATCTGTAATACGAGACTAACAAAAGTTTAGTTGAACTGCACGTCGTATCTATCCTTCATCCCAGAAAACCAGCGAAAAAGGGGTCTTATCAGCAATGACCTCTACGACACAGAAATCGAGGCTCTTGTCAACATTACCGACCAAACAAATGTGACGGAAAGACCGGCTTTGGATTTTGACTACATCACTCAGCAGTACCCAACACCATCCGAAGTCCCCGATCTCCCCAGCCAAGTCAAGAGCTTCCTCGCAATGCCGCCACCCGAGAAGCCTCCGCGTGAAACACTCTGGATCTTCAGTTTTGGCACGTGGGAGATCTGGAACATGGCTGCGATGCCACGAACTGACTCAGAGGATACCATCACTTCGATGGTCAGACTAATCCTTGATCAGGCTGAAGTATTGTACGAGAGATCACTAGATCCATCCTCTATTGCCTACTCCGACTTTTGGACCAACGCGACCGAGTCTCAGATTAGAGAGCTGACGGCACCCGGCGCCCTGGACAAGATCGACAAGCGCAAACTTGAGAGCTTCCGGATTTTAGTGCCTATGTTATTCGATATTTCACTCACGCCTGGATGGCAAGGACGAACGAAGCCACCAGCACCCAACAGCGTGGTGGAGCAGACTCGAAACGCGGCGGAACTGACAAAGTACTGGAATCAGGAGATCGATTTTGCGATTGCTGAGTGGAAAGAAAGAACGACGACAAAGCCCAAGATGCCTGTGTCAGACAAGACCGAGGCTTCGGACAAGAGCAAGAGAACCGAGACCGACGAGCCCATTGAACACGGCGAAGATACAAAAGAGTCACCGGCCGAAGCGGCGGCGGACGAGGTCGAACGTGTCATTCAGGCTCCATACCCCATGCGTAACGGGCTGGGGATTGACATCGGCAAGGTAGTTCTCGACGCCATGACCGAAGGTGCAATGCAGGATGCGGCAGTGGTAGACTTGCGCGGACGAGGGACTCTGGATAGGAACAACTCGATGCGGTTCGTAGATGTCTGGACGCCATGTGTCAAGGGCGAGACAGCCGATCTCGCCGTCAATGAGGATGATATCACCTCGGAATGCGAAGTCGAAGACGACCACCTGTTCTATGACTCGTTTACAGTCAGCGAGAGGGCTATGAAGGGCGTCGTCAAAGAGATCCTGAAAGAAATTAAGGAAGAGCTGTTCAGTCCCAAAGAAAGACGAGGTTGGCTATACAGTGGATGGTAGTCAGGCAACAAGTCTACGTTATCAGTTGGGTTTAGTGTGTATCTGCCTTTAGTATTGGCTGATACCCGAGGGATAGAAGAGATAACTGCGGAATGCATGCACGATCAAAGGCCAGGATGAACGGTTGGCGTTTTAGGAGTAGAATCGGTATTAGAGTCGGTGAACTCGAGTGATGATTGCTTTCATACATACGTACATTCATAGATACTGTAGCTTTATACCCAAAGTGTATCTGGAAGTTTCACGAGTCCAAAGTTAAGAGCACTGAACTCGGCACACAATATGCGGTCTTCTAAGTTGGGATTCCGGCCCGAGCCTTGACAGCCCATATTAGCGAGGGCTCTCCCGAGGCCGAGATCGCAGGCTCCGATTGATCTACCGGGAAGTGGGACACTAGCCGGCGAATGAATCAAGGACCGGGATGGCAATCAATTTAAATGGGAAGAAGAATAAGGTTGAAGGCAAGCTTTCAGGCCATTAAATCTCCGGCTCTTATCCAGGTTGGCTTGCGTGCATGCATGCTCAGTCTGTATCCGTCGTGGTTCAAACATGCCCAGACCAATTTAAGTTATGACGTAACACGGCAGTTGGGCTATAATCCTTGCAGACCCCTGTTCACATATCAGAAGCCTTCCATGATGATGCCAGCATGAGTCCGTCCGTAATTCAACTCTTGGTTCTTGTTTCAATAGTTTAAAGCATAGCCCTCGCAAAGCCAAAACGCCACACACCAACTTCCAGTCTTGGCTCTGTAAAGGGTCATTTTTTGGGTATAGCGCCCACGCGGTTAATTCTCCACCCCCACAAGGCCTGGGCGATCGGCGTTGCTAGCATCACGCAGCGACGTCACAAGGTGAAGCTTTTAAACAAAGAATGTCGCAGCTTTAATATTCCCTGCACTCGCAAAGCAGAGAATGAGGTCACGGACACTAAAAGTAGCGGGCAGGGAGCTACCTTAGTAGGCTAGGTAGCTACCTAGGTAGGCCAGGATCTGGGAAGCTGTGGCAGGCGCTCCTTCTTCTACTCGTCGTCTCGCTGTCTCTCCTGGTGACTGAGACCTCGACTCTTTTGATCTTTTTTTCTGTGCTTCATGAGACTCTACCCTAGTATTAAACATAAAACATTGTCTCGCTGCCTATTTTTCGCCCGTTTACACTTTACACCCTCCCCAAAACCTGACCTAGACACCCACGCGACCCTGCGGCTCCTGATACAGCCTCGTTGTTCCTAGGACTCATTCTCAGCACGAGACCTCGTTTGCCTCCTCGAGGCAGCTTTTGCACCAGAAACCCATATCGTATATCTTTAGCTCGCCATCACTCTCTAAAATGGACGATAAACTAGATTTTAGCCCCAGCGCTTTCGCAGCCGATATGCAACTGCGTACTCGAAAAGCCCGTAACTTCGACAAGGTCGAGCATGACCTGCCCGATCCCAGATCCGCCGCTTTTCAAAAGTCACAAGCCGCCGCCCTCTCATCTTCTGTCAATGTGTCAGGATGGCTCTCGCGCCTCGCAGGACTGAACCCTTTTGGCAAAGCTGTTGATGCTGGTGATATCGTGTGGTTGATGGATAACACGGCATATCGCAACCCCGAAACCGATCAGTGGGAGGCCGAGTTTGTCGCTGCAGTGTTTGAGAACGAACCCAGGTGCCGTGTGGCAGATATAGTGTCTGGTATTGCTTCGACGTTGGGTTTGGCAGAGGATGCAGCTGAGCGCGATGTCATCGAGGAAAGAATCATCCCGTTCCTTTGGGACATCCAAGCGGCAAGGGTTTTCTGGATTGAACACAAGAAGAAGGAGATTAAGCTTGGTCCTACGAGTATCAACGGTATCACTACGAGCATCGAGTCTGTCGATCGCCAGCACAAGGGGTCTACAATTGATGCAACAGCTTTGGTGCCTCACGCAACAAAGGGCATTCACGACATGCAGACATACTATGCAGGACCTGAGGGCTGGGCTGTTATATCAGGTTTGTTTGGACTCACTCATACCCAGACAATCTTTGCGACTAACAGTCTTCTAGATGTTGATGACACAATCAAGGTCACTTTGACCAGCGACCCTCTGGGCATTCTCAAGTCCACCTTCATCGACGAGCCAACTCCTGTTCCCGGAATGCCTGAGCTTCTGTCAGATTTGCAGACTCTCCTTCCTCGCGACACACCCTGGTTCTACCTCTCGGCATCACCTTACAACTTGTACCCCCTACTACGCGAGTTCCGCGACCGCTACTACCCTCAAGGCCAACTTATCCTGCGCGACTCGAGCTGGCGCACGGTGGCGGGCTTGTTGTCGGCTCTCACCATGGGAACCGAGGAGTACAAGACGGATCGCATGAAGAAAATTCACTCATGGTTGCCCAAGAAGAAGCTGATTCTTATCGGAGACTCAACTCAATCCGATCCCGAAGCATACGGCGAGATGTTAGTAACCGAATTGCTAAACATATACTTCTTACTGACTTTTGCTTTTAGTTACCGAACTTTCCCGGGCTGGGTAAAGATGATTCTCATCCGCAAAGCTACTGACGTTGCAGCTGTTGGCATCGAAGAGAAGAATCAACTTGAGCGCTTCGAAAAGGCGTTCAAGCACGTACCTGTTGAAGCCTGGCACGTATTCGAGGATCCTAGCGAGTGCCGAGGCATTGTTAAGGATGTCATTCGTGGCAGGAAGTGATGCAATTGCTTTTAGTCTTATTTCATGTTGGATTTGAGTCAGGATAGACGGCGCGAGTTGTTTTGTTGGGTATTGTAATGCAGTTACGAAATTGGATTGTTATAGCGTACCTACTCTTGTTTTCTTGTTTCAAGAGTTTCCGGGTGACTTTCCTGTAGATTTCATGAAGCTCGGTTTTGGTAGTCGCATGGGCAGGAGACTTATGAATTGCTTAGAGTTAGTAGCTATATGGTATAAGTAGTACGATTAGCCTTGCCAATGCCTAGGTTCTACATGGTGCGTTTGTTTGTTACCTAGTAAGAATCAGAAATGTTATGATCATATTGACTCCCCTAATCAGAAATAATCAGGTGCTTTGGCTAAAAATACCTTTTCTGGGATTGTCTAAAGTCATCATACACGTGAGTTGACGATTTGGAAATTATTTACACGTATTTGACAGGTATTCTTGGGTGATATGACGAGACCAGCTCTGCGATCTTTTCGCTTCCCAGCCCTCCTCGGTGTCCAAACCTGTATTACCATTATCACAGGCAATTCCTAATCTTCGTCCGAGATTTCTCCGTGACATTCAGAAACCTTGGTATTTGCATTAACAGTGATACGTCTCCGTTTATCAGATGTCGACGTCAATTTTATGCTCTCATCGACCATACTGTTGCTATTGCCCTGCAGAAAGACCTGTATCTGCGCAGCGGGGACAACGTCTGAGCGTAGTAGTGTCCGTACGTTGAACGCAACGTAGAAATCGCCCGTTTCAGCTGTTTCGAAATACAGCCGGACATGTCTTGCACTGACGGCAAGGTCTTTATCTAACCACATCATTTCGAAATAAGCATCGAACTGGCCTCTGGGAAGTGCCCACGGGTGATAAGCAGCGTTGTGGTGAAGAAGCTCGTCGCGGGAAGATGTCTTGGTGCAGTGGAGATCAACTGCCTGGGTCAGTTTTGAGAAGGCTTCGACTTGAGCCTGGAAGAAGACAATATCGCGAGGACATCGAAATGATAGAGTGTTTGTTTGATAGAGAATTGGGATGCCTTCGATATATCTAGTCAACGTTAGATACCTAGGTATATATAATGCAGTCCGGTGATGTCTTACGCAGACTGGCAAGTTTTGAGGAGACTTGTAGATAAGAAGCACCACTTATGGTTCTTCTCCTCATGATAGTGAGGAACCGCCCCACGTCCACGGCGACAGACACAATGGACAAAGCCCGGAATTCTAGCATTACCAGGCGCTCCCACTCGCCCAAACTTCTCTACCCGTTGACGAAAGAAAACATGGACGAGTTTAGAGCCGAAAAGCTCTTTGAAAATAAGCTGTCGAATCTCAGCAGGTAAAGCAAACAAGGGAGATTGACTTTGTTGATCAGGAGGGGTCGTGAATCTGGTGTTGTTTCTGAAACGCTCAGCAGGCGTCAACTGCCGCTCATGGCGGGAAGACCTAGACAGAAACATTGCGAGATGATAAGAGGGTAAAACGTGAGAATTAAAAAAGAGGAAGCGTTGAACAGGTTTATTAGGAAAGGAGTGAGATCAGCCACGTATTACATTAATGAGCCTCGCCGCTCGGTCGTCGCGATTGATTACATGGAATTAGTGTAAGCGAAAAGCAAACACAAAATGCCGATCATGCTAAACGAAAGCCTCGTACATACTCCAATAACTAGTTGTTATTGAAGCTTTGATCTACGTAGTTTCTGACAGGGATTAAACAAGATACTAATTATCATGCATAAGGCTGATTATTGCTGGGCTTAGACGCCTAGAACGCTTGATTGCGCTTAGATAGTGGAAAATCCCTCCTAGGTTGTGGATATCCTCATGATATGACTCAATTAAGCCTGACGGAGAGTAGAAACACCAATCGTGACGAGTAGTACATGTGATTTTTCTAAAACTGCTTCAAGACATGCTTCACAGCCAATAGGTAGGTATATTACGTTTGCTTGAAAAGGTTGCGAAATGTCCTAAAGCAAAACATGTTGCAGTCTTAACCTCATCCGTCTTTCCCCATCGCGATAGACTTACGCAAGACAGTCCGTCGCGTAAGATCAAAAGAAGACATACTCAGAATGCTCGTCGTCAGAAGCCTCACCACAGCTCATCGTACTCCCGTTGCCCTCTGCAGATCCTCTTTCTTCAACAACCACATGATCGAATCCAGTTCTTCTTAGACTTGCCGAGAGGGGCACGGCGTATCCAGGAGGAAGAATCAGGGTGAGGTCAATGAATCGCGAGGGAGGGGCTGATAAGCGCTCAAGGATTCTAAGTCGACTTATAACGGATTTCTTCAACAGTTCCACGCTGAGGGAAAAAGGTGAGAGACTAATCCGGACATCAATGCTCTGGAAGTCGAAATATATGCTGATATACTCAAGTATTGTTTCGAAGGACTGTAGTGAAACCCGCATGTTGATTTGGAAACCCAGTCTCTTCATTACGCCGGCGTAGTGGAAGTTCATCCGGGAGAAGACGGTGAACTCGTCAGCGCTGCGGAATAGGAGCACATTGGAGCCGTAAAGCGTCGTTATTCCCTCTTCAAAGCTGTATAATTTGGTAATTATTATGTAGCCCATTATGGTAGGGTTAGTTACTGACGCTTGTTTGCAAGTAACTAGGAAACTGGTTGAGAGATAGCACCATTTGTGGTCAGACTCGTTGTGTTGATGTGGTTCTGCGTCTAGAGGTCTACGGCAGACACAATGAACCCATCCGGGGATGTTTTTCCTGGGCCTGTTCTCACGCCTTGACTCTTTTGCCTCGGTTGAGCTGTAGTGCATGATGTGTATCACTCGACGACCGAAGAGTTCTTCATAGATAAGGCGTCTAATCTCGCAGGGGAGGCGGCTGAAGAACCAAGGGTTCTTCTTTTGTTGTCTAGCGCGACTGAACAGAATGGCCATAGTGATAGGTCACAGCGACTTTGATGGGTGATTTGAGATCCACGGATAGTGGAGAGTGAAAGATGAAGGGGCGAGAGTGAAGATTTCCTTGTATGTCATGGAAGAGGTGATAGGCCAAGCCAGATGAGCAATGGGCAGTGGTAGAAATTTGGCAAATCACGACTTCCATACTCAATACATGGCAGTTTCGAGACTCGTACTCGTATTTCTTTCCATCCAGAGCATTTAATTATGGCAACATACAGAAGGTTGTGACACACCCAGCAGCTGGAGATTCAAATGCAAGATGCCTCTCAATGACAACCGCCCAGTTACAAGACTGTATTATCCACGGGAGTGGACAGCTCTAGACACAGGAAGGTGCTCTGCCTGTATGCAGCCGGAGGAAGATATGGTCATTTGACAGTCTACTGGATATACTATGGCCCTACTAATCTTGTCGATTATAGCTTATCCAGGGCCAGACTAACACGGCAATACGCTGCATATGTCCCCATATGAAGCCTGTCGTGCTTATGATTGGTTTCTCTTAAAGCGGTCGGGAATGTCATCCAATCGGTTTCGGTCTGTGCTGTCGCCTCATGTCCAGCAGCCGATCATTAGCTTTCCTATCCAAGTGTATATATCCTGCTGCTCCCCGTTGGTATAAGTTAATGCCAGTTTAGACTTTATTACACAAATAGAAATGACGGAGCACAGTCATAATCACAGTAACCCGTCAGCCATCACAGGCGGGTGCTTGTGTGCCGCCATCCGCTACACGGTCAAATTCAACGACGAGTTTCCGTGGCCGCCAGTTGTTAGTTACTCTCATGTCATTCAAGCATATCATGTCACTAATTAAGGAAACAGTCTTCAGCGTGCCAATGTGCGTAGATTCCTCCACTGATCTATAAAAAGAAAAGAAAAAACGACTAATAGATAGGAAAAGGCACAATGTGCCGCAAGTGGACGTCCTCCCTCGTCGCCCAATTTCTCGTCATCTCCCCCGAACAGCTCACACCCGCCCTGAGTACGTTACCGACTTTCAGGGAGTATGCCTCATCTCCTGGTCGGTTTCGGGGCTTCTGCGGAGATTGTGGCACATCCATTGCGTGGCGTTCGGCTGACTACACGCCCATATTTGATCTGTATCTTGGGACAATAGACGAGGAGTATCTGGTCGGGGACAGTTCTGTGGCGAAAATGCTGGCGACGCCAAATGGGACGCAATACTGGTTGCAAAATGTGATTCATGGCGTTACTGATAAACTCAAAGGTGGAAAGGAGTACTCGGAAGAAGGTCCAGATGGACTGCGTGGTGTCAACAAGGCCTGAACAGGAAAACTAGGATGCCGAAAGTGGCAAGTCTCTCGCACTATTCAAGGTGGTGATAGTCACATGTGCCTTAGAACACGTCCATGGTGGTATTCGATCTTCATCAGAACTACCCACTTTGAGGAGTGTCATCAGACTGTTGTTGAAGCCCGTTCTGGGGGCCTTCTTGGCCTTCCTCTTCGGAGTCAAATAGAGAAAGGCCTTTAGATGAGCCGGGATCAAAGTCGAAAGAAACATCGGGGCCACTCTGCTCGACCAGTTCTCGAATTTCCTCATACATGAATGGGAACTTAATGGTTACCTTGGAGAGCCCAATCGATAGGAACCGATCCAGTGCCTTGGGAGTCATGATTCGTGACCCTTCTTGTGGCGATTTGAAGTTGTTAGAATATACCGAAAGCTTGACTTTGGTGGGTTTAGCCAAGCAGTCCAGAGCCCAGGTGAGTAGGTCCAGCTGTGGAACTGCTCGCTCCCAACCAATGCTTCGGTAGCCGAAATGGGCAGATGTGATGGGTGGATGGAAGATCTGCACAAAATTGATGTACTCGAGTGGCTCGCCAAAGACGAAGGTGCTTGACTGATGAATAACATCCATCCCCTCTTTGTTACTGGAGGCAAGACGTTAGCATGGGCGCGACACACTTCATATAAAGGTTCAGTATATGTAGAGTCAGACACTTACGCTTGCTTGCAGGTACGCAGAAAGTTGATATCCAAGCAATTCACCTCCAGCATGTAGGGAGAGCCGCCATCGAAGGCATGAGGGTAACATGGATCCCAAGGTTCACAAAACTCTGGCTCCTCACAGATGGCATGTGTCCAGCGGCGTTGAATAGTACCTCGCATCTTGATGAGTGACGCAATGATGTGAATTCGGTTGCATCCGAAGACTTCGCGGTAGATCTTCTCCCTGATATCGTAGTTGAGCTTGGTGAAAAAGAGCGCGGGTTCTTGCTGACCAGACTGTTCAGCTGGCCGGAGCATGAGGTCAAGTTCGGAGGAAAGGTCTCCTCCGTCTTCAGAAGACGAAGACATTGCAGCGCCAGCGGACTGCTCAAAGTTAGATCATTTGTTAGAAAGTATATGGTCAGTTCACGTACTGAAGTAAGCTGATGTTTGAGCGCAAGGGTATTCTTTGATGGTTGTGTTTTGTTGTGTTTTTGATTTGGGGAGCGGAGATGTGAAGAGAAGAGGTTGTTGAGGGAAGATGAAGCACAGAAGCACAAGCGGATAAAGAAAACAAATAGCACTGGAGGCGAAGGGGGTGAATGTTCTGCCAGTTGATACCTAAACACCTGCTTAGAGGTAGGTGGCAGGTGGCAGGTGCTGGCAGTGGCATGGCAGTGGCAGGTAAATTATAACTAGAATTTTATATACAGCCGCAAGCTCGAACTACCGATTAGCATGCACATTTGGGCAGTGGCAGGCTATTGTAGATATATAGGTACTCTTAATCAATATCAATGTCATAGGCACTATTGCCTGTGTCCCATAAAGGACTTCCAGACATATATGGTCAAGAAGGTCCCTCAGACTTCCAACTTGGTCAAGCTACTCCATCCTTCGTTCAAATGCTTTAGAGTCCCCTTGAGATACATCATGTTCTTAGAAACGTGTTGATTCGTAAGGCCCTAACACCACTTGTATTCCTGTTTGGAATGTTCCCCTTTACCTGCACCGGCAACCATATTGTGACTCTTAACGAACTCTAGACCATTTTGGCACACCATGTATATCCAAGGCCATAATAAAGCCCGTTTGTTTATTCAATCTATAACTTATAGAATTAGCTATTGTTCTTCCAGCAAACTCGTTCCGATCAAAATGGATCATTGCAGGTCAAGCTGGCGGATCAAGCGAAGCAAGATGGCGAGAACTGATAGAAGATGGGATTTGGCTCTACATAAGAGTCTGCTGTAGGAAGATTAACGCTAGGCAGCGATAATATACGAACTCTATCGACGCATCTCATCTACATGTTATTTCCTATTGCATTAGACGGGTAAAAGTTTTTATGATTTCCTACTTTTTATAGGAGTCTTATTGAGTTTTGACAACTTCTAATACACGCTGATACACTTATGTCAATCTGTTGAATCTTACCCTAAATTTCTATTGGAAGTCTTCGAAGTACTATGGACTCGAGATCTTATTTCTTTGTAATGTTATTGTTGTTAGAGACTTAGTGCCCTACCATCATCGCAACCATACAACCCGTTGTGTCATACAGCAACCGCTCAAGCAAGCGTCTTTTTGAGCACCTCGATCTGCTCCATGACTGTAGCCTTGCTGGTACTGCCCTTTGCTGTTTGGTACGCCGCCGATATGTTCAACTACGAGACCAGCGTTGAGAGTCGGCCAATCAGCCACCCCAGAGCATGCTGCTCTCGGGCCTAGAGTCGGACGCCACAGCTGTAGAATGTGTGTGATACAGGAGCACAATTGGGGAGGTGATTGAGAGTCAATTGACGATGGAGCAAAAAATGATTGTGTTGTGATATGTTGAAAAAGCTTTGAGGTTGAGCAAAAGGTTTTAGAACAAGGATCCCATCACAGAGCACGCACGATATGCGTCACAGTCACAGCTCAGACATCCCACCCGCACCTTAACCAAAATCGAATTTAATTCTGACTTACGGAGGCAGCCGCCAAAAGTTCTTGCCTGCTAAGAGGGATCAGTAACTACCCCTGTAAGCCCCGATAGGGGTTGGCTATACGATTTATATAGGAAATTACTATATATAATTTTTTTCCTATTCCTTACCTCTTTTAAAATACTAATTAATATTATAACTTAAGCTTTAATAATAATATTAAAAATACCTACTAGAGTAGTAAAAATAACTATTAAAATTAATTAAATAATAGATATTTCCCTTTATATAATAAATATTATATATATATAAATAATATAGTAAGGCTTTAAATTAAATAAAAAACTATTATACCTATTTAATATATTCCTTAAAGATATACCTTACTTAAAATAGCCTTTTATATATATAAAAAAGAATAGTAATCTAGTTATTATAAAGGTTAGTAAGGATTAATTTAATAAAGAAAAGACTATTAATAGTATTACCTAGGAAATTAATACTTAAGGAAATAAAATATTAACTATAATAATTAAAAAAATCCTTAAAGTAGCTAGATTTAAGAAAATAAAATTAATAAAGAAGCCTAGTTTAATATTAAAAATATATAAAGAATACCTTACTTAATATATTACTTACTATAATTAAACTATTAAAGATTAAAAAGTAATTATTTAATTAAATAAGACTTTTATTATTTTTCTTTATCGGTATAGGGGCTACTATATTTAGTAATAAGTAAATAAATAAATCCTTTATAATTATATTTATAAAAGGTAAAAAGGCTTTAACGAATTTATATTCTAGGCTACCTTTTTTTATAATAAAAAGGGTCCTTATTATTACTAATCTTTAAAGATTATAAAAAAAAAGGCTATTATAAAAAAAGCTTTTAATAACCTTAATAAAAAGCTTAAGTTAATAATAAAGATATAATAGAAATTAAAAATAGATATATAAAGACTAAGGCTTTATAACCTATTAAGTAAGAAGCCTATATAAAAATAAAAAAAAGAGATTAGTAAGTTAATAAAAAAGGGAAAAGAAGGTATTAATTAATAATATTATTAATAAACTATTTTTCTTTCAAAGCTTTTTCTTTTTATAAAGGAATATATAAAAGAAAAAGTAAATACCGTTATATAAAAAGATAGAGTTCTTATTTATAAATATTATATATAATAATAAATATATAATTTCTATACGGTTTAATAACTTTTTTAGTATTTAAATTTACCTAATTTAAATATAATTAAGTTAGTATAGCTATAAATAAAGAGGAATATAATAAAAAAAGGTATACTAAAGAATAGAAATAAAGCTATTTATAAATAAGAGGTAGCTTAAAAGGAGTTTCTATAAAAGAAAATATAGGCGTAAATAAAGAGAATTCCGATATATATTTATAAAATTATTAATATTAAAGGAGGGAATAAATATATTAAAGGCAGGGATTATTCCCTATAAAATTAACCCTTTTAGATCTAGCGATACTATTTCCCTACTTTTATGGTTTTAGCGTGGGTAAGAACTTTTAGCGGCTGCCTCCGTATAGAGGCAGAGATGGGCCAACCGCACGGGCCTACTACAGGGGTTTTTACTTCCAAGGCTTTAGAGGATCGGCCGATGCTGGCCGGTTTCCCCAGACGAGAGCTTGGCTAATTTGGAGTTGTGATTGGCTGGTGGATCTTTATCTTATTAGCTTGGAGGGGAAGTGGGTAGCTGCACACAGATATTTCTGGGAATTTGCTATTTTTGATGAGGTTTCTGTGAATGGATGGTGACGATGAGAACGCAGAGCTGAGATATTTCAACAACTCAGTTCGTTAAAGGGAGGTCTTGATGTTTTGTAATGATTGCATTTTAGAATAAAGTAAAGATTGGACTTCACAACCTAATTGACAAAAAGAATATACAGACGACAAATATCAAGAGAGGACAACAACATCTCACATATCCGTATAAAACAGATAGATGGAAAGAAGAGATTCGACCTCAGCTTGTACAAACCCGCAGAGGAGCTCCTCCCTCAGGTTTCACGTGCAAACCGCATTACCCCAAGAGGTAACTGAAGTGAGCCTGGGAGGCACCAAATTAAGCTAATCCACCTCAGATCCAATGAAAGCTCTCGGGATGACACGAACAGCATAGTAAAAAGCACGGACCCAGGGCGATATGCACCGATGCCGGCCCCGCCGTCTTAGAGAGAGAGCGCGAGAGAGCGCGAGAGACGGGAGAAGAGAATGGCTGGGCTGGAAGCGAAATGGAATATTGATGATGAGGGTGTAGTCCATACCTAGGGATCGGGCCTTTTGGAAAAACTACGCGAGGTAGGTGTTCTTTTTTGGTGTAAGAACTTGTTTATGGATGTTTGGACCAGCTGGAGAATTACAGGTAATTATCGGGATATCATTCCCAATCTACTAAGTCACAATCTGTTCCAACAAGCACAGATGAATACAATAATATAACAAATCTTCAATTAGCTCAACTCGTAGAAGGTACTCAAATGTCGCTTCGTTCTACGTCGGACTTTCTTACCAATTCCACCACATTTCTCATGCTTCCCCAGCCGCAGGAGCAGGAAATGGAAACGAGACACAGATGTGGTGGAAATAGTACGTATCTTTTGGTGTAAACCAGATGTAATCTCAATCTGTCATAGCCAGATGCCGACACAGGATTGGTCGAGGCACCCATCTTGATTTAGAGATATCAACTTTTTTTCAACAACAACAATAATAAACAGCAACTGTTTCCTTTTGTAAAAAGCTGCGGGGGAGAGACTAATAATGCCACGTCTTACGATTGTGAAACTGGTGAGTCGATAATTTGCGCATTTTTGGTGAAGACTAAACTGTCCCTTATTTCACATCACCTACTCCGTACAGAGCAATAATTACCTACTCAATTACATTTTCCTGTAATAATGTAAGTGAGTAAGCCATTTAAGATCAATTTCCCCGGATTCCATCACCAATCGACGCCGAATCTCCTTTCGCTATTCGGCAATCCCCTCCTCCCCGTGCAACCTGCTGCTGGTCTTTGTTGCGCTTGTATGTCGGCATCTTAGGCTGTACTTTAGCCTGTCTCAAACCATGTGCGTCCGCTCCTCTCCGCTCCGCGTAGAGCGGCAGCTAAGCAGGCAGAAACAACGTTCGGACAGGGGAGGAGAGGGGAAATTGTCACTGCAATTACGTAGGTAGGGTCCAGCAATGACATGGGGCCTTTTTTGAGGCCTTTTGGTTTGTTAGTACTCCGTATTGGATCGCGTCAACGATCACTGACCAGCCTCGGATGGCACGGACGCGGCACGGAGCACCGGGGTTGGGCTTGGGCTCAAAGACTGGTATATCCAGAGTCAGTGTGTGTATCCGTAAGTAGGAGGCAGATGCCAGATGCCAGATGTCTTGTTCTGAGAAGGATCATCGCTTGCAGATGCGCCCATCTGTCCGCTTTCTAGACTCTAGTCTCCAGTCTACAGTCTCCAATCTATTATCCACATTGTTTACCAACCAACCAGACAATCAGAAATCTCCCCCGGACGCCCCCAGACAAACGTGCTCGCCCAGGAAGGTAATACAAACCTCTGTTGTCTCTCAGGCTTGGTTGCCAATCCCGGAGGAACGGCGAGGAGGGCGGATGGGTGCTAAGACTAGTCTAGTAGTCTAGGTCGGAAGGGGGGGATATGTAAACAAGTGCCATGATATTCAAGTCGGCAGATGGCTGACGGTCAATGTACGTGCCATCAGATGCAAGCTGTGTTCGGGGAGGGTGGCCATCTTCGGAGTTTGGGGTAGCAGTGAACAGCAACAATTTTGGTGTAGCTAATTAATTGCTTCGTACTCCAACTTCGGTTCGGTTGAGGATTGGAGATTGCTTCGGAGGATATGGAATCGGTTCGGAGCAATTATTCATTTACTTTCAGAGTGAATGAATAAGCCGCAGCCTTGACAGTCAAGGCGGCTGCTTAATCCCGTTGTCCAAGGCCAGAGACCACGCCATTCCGCCCAACTCCGGTCGTTAACCCCATGTGTGTATTGCGTATTGTAAACGCGAAATGTGAAATGCAGGAGTGGGACGAGATTATTGCCGACAGTATCAAACACCGGATCAACTCAAATCAAACCGAATCATGCAAGATGAGGGGGATTGTGGACAGTAGAGGAAATGATGATCTTGACTTGCTGCTAAGTTACTAAGCTGGAGACTGAGAGGCTTACAAACGTGGCAATCCTTCCAGGCCATCTCAGCGAACATCGGGAGTTGGAAAGAGTGCAACCATAGGTACCTACCCTGCTCTGCGTGCCTGTCACAAGTGAACAAATCTCATCTCTTAACATTAGCGAATGCAAATGCAAACCTAGGTACTAATGCAGTTGCAGCAGATGCGAGGTAGCGGAGTCTCTGGCCCGACTGAGAGGGCTGCCATGATCCATGCTCACCTCACCCTTCATCCCACGTCGACGACTTCAACGTCTGTGTATGTGCTGACTGTGCCACTGAGGACATCCCACACTTTTCCACTTTTGCTTTTTTTGCTTCTGATTTCCATCTCAAGGCTGCAGACTGCAGTGTCAGGTGTGGGGAACGTGGGCATCCAATCCCAATTATGGCCTGTTTTTTTTTTCCTGTCGAGGTTTTTTCTCTGTCTCCCGCTAACGTTAGTGGATTCCAACTTTTTAGCTCGCGCCCAGTCCAGTTCGCGCCATGCGGCGGGATTTAAGCTACCTAGGGGGCATCCCCTGTAAGTGAGCGGACTGTGCTTGCGCGCCGGGGGTCACCTTCGGGTCTTTGGGCTTTGGGCTTGGGTATGGGCTTTTCGGCGCGCGGCGGTACAATGGAACCTGAACCTTGGTCGTGGCCTGCCTACCTATGAGCTAACTTCACCCAACCCCAAAAAATTCCTCAAATACATAATCACGCCTTCTCCCACGCTCGTCTCTGCCTTTGACCTTTCCTCCTTCTTAACTCAATTATATCCTCAGTCTTTATTTCACCTTTACTCATCTTAGCAAGCCAACCTTTCTCTCTCTCTTCGACTCAAAACAGCACCGTCATCTACCGAACAACCCGACCAACCACCTCAACCTACACCAACCATCACCATGTTCTCTGTTACTCGAACCCTCCGACAGGCTGCTGTCCACGCTGAGCGAACTCCCCTCATCAAGTTCCTCGGACCCCGAACCATTCCTTGTACGTCCAGTCTCATCTCCCCTCTATATCCAACCCAAGCTAACGCCGTATTCCACAGCCAACCTCGATCACTCCCCAAAGCCCCACCCTGCCTCCGGAGTCGAGAAGCTTCCCGAGTCGTGGGCTGGCTACGGTAACGGCAACTCTGCCTCTGCCCACAAGTCCTTCAGCTCCTACCGCGACCACGCCCAGCAGCACGGTCCCCTTCAGAAGTCTGGCCTCGGCGGCTCCAGCGCTGCCTCTCTTGGCTCCGTCAACGCTCCCAAGGGCGTTGCCTTCGACCTCTCTGAGCTCCCTGCCCGCTTCCACCGTGCTCGCCTCAACGCTGCCGAGATCGAGGCTATCGAGTCCGGCGGTGCTGCTCTCTTCGGTTAAATACCTCTCCCGCCATAGGCGAGGAGTCACAGGTGGAGCGGAGGGATGAAGAAACGGATGTGATGAACAAATACCTACCATGACGGCGCAGATTATGACGAGAGCCAGGACCATACAGCCTGGAACATATTCCCTGCACGGCATGGTACACAAGGACGCCGAGTGGCAATGCATACAGTGACAAACGTTCACGTTGCATGCTGGAGATAGGCACGCAAACCTATCTCATCGAGGTACTGCAGATCAGGACGAGTTCCTGGCTGCACCTACATCGAGAAACCGCTAAGGGCACTACGGTACTATGCCGCCAGGAGCGTCATATGAAACGAGGGGCTATTATATGCACCACGAGGAGGGGAAGAATCGAGAAGAAGCAAATAAGTCGGGTTTTCCAGAAAATACCCCCCGACTGCGGAGGCCGTTGCGACCTCCGTGCTTTTCTTCTACTGGCGTCAACGCCATCTCTTTCTGTATACTTAGGTGGCCTACCTGCGAAGCTTTAACAGCAAGCAAGGAGCACCACGGGCGTTGAAAAGCGGAATTGATTTTTGGTAGAAACAATTATTATTCAATGCCAGAAAAAAGTTTATATTATTACATTAATGAGCCAATCGGTGATGTGCCTGACTTCCATTCCAGTTCGTAACCTCCCACCGTGGTTGAAGTATCATGACAGGCAGTCAATGTGGCATTCCACTTTGGCCCGCTATGCACGCCTTGTCGCGAGTACAGCTGTGTCTCCTCGCGAGCTACTGTCTGAATCTTTCCTATTGAATAGAGGCTTTGCATCACAACACTAATCGACTCACAGCCGGCCCCGGCTCTCTACCTCTGCCGGGATTGACTTTTTTGGCTCTCCGCACCGACCTAACCCACCCGGCGACGTAGGGCTTAACAAGGTACAAACTACCTAGGTAACTACCAGATGAGGCTCCCTTCGTTAACTCTTTCTGGGGAAATACATGCACGATTCAGATTTTGTACGATCCCGGTTCCGGCTCCGGCACCGGGACAGCATGAGCAAAGAAGCTCCACTACGGGGATTTTGGAGAAGCGCGCAATTGATGTGCTACTATGACGGTTTCGTATCCATTGTTTTATTTATTTCGTTTGCGATGCAAGCAGGGTCGTGTATGGCGACGCCGAGGATTACCGATGGATATGGATGGTGTCATGTCATGGCAAAACGCCCGGATCTTTCCGAGGGCATACTGCAAAATAGGACCATTTAATTTGGACTGATTGTAATCTCAAGTGTTTGGGTATAGAGCAGAACAGTTGTCATGTTCCAGTAGTATAGTCTATCAAGGTTTTCCTTAAGTCCGGGCTTATCCCTCTCGTAGTAGGGTGAACTAATTTTACTTACCCCAGGTTTGTATAACGCCCGGTATTGATGCACCGAGATACAAGACACCCATAAGGCACCAAGATCTGTTCTAGCGATTCTCGTGGAGTCATTGCAATGGGCGCATCATTCGTCGGAGAAAGGGAGGGCTTGTTTCGCAAAGATCATCACGTCGGACGACAGGAGTATAACGACCTTAGGTCCGTGTGTCGATATCTGTGCATGTATCATCTCAAGAATGTCAATTGGATGTAGCAAATTACCCATGACCATGTCTTGTAATATCGCATGCATCTCTAGAACTTCCATTGACTGAGCTAGAGAGTCGATTGATACTATGGATCGGAACCTGGCTGATGTTCAACTCCAACGTACAGTAGCTCGGCCTAGTGGAACGAAACTTCATGTGAACAGACAGTACCCAGTGGTTATAAGGGTTTGCCTTTGGAAAGGTCTCTTGGGCCCGTCGAATTGACAGAAGGGTTTAAATATTGAAAATTTTCGATAGGTACACAATGTAACAAATTCTCAAGTAATACGCATTTCAAGTCGTGATAATATTTTTAGTCACTGCCACAACCCTCACCCATGAGAGATATATAGTCCTTTTACCATTTCAAATCTCTAAGCAAAACTTTTCTTTCATCACATCATTGAACCCAATGTTTTATGAACTCCATCCCACCATCTATCATAGCACAATCACATGAGACATGCCACCTGGCGACTGCTGCACAGATCTGATGAAGCAACCTTGACACGTGAAGAGGGGCCGGTCCAGGCAAAGGCCTCGACGAGCCACTCGTACCACACGCGTGTGTCGTCTGTCTGTCGCCACATGCTAACTTCGAGCTCGGTATCAGCTGGGAAGTAGAGGGGTTTCTAAGACAGTATCAGTATGTTTCATATTTTGAAGGAATGATATAATGAATTTACCTTGAGGGGGAAGAAGATAGGGAACCAAGAGATCATGTCCTTGCTCTTCTGGTCGATACGCTCGGGATGCGTGCTAATCTCAATCTTGTCACCCTTATTCTCGGGGATCTGTGACTCATATAGGGTTGATTCAAAGTAGCCCGCCAATCCATGGGTAACACCTCTTGTCCGGCAGACAAATGTGAGATGGCTGTAACGCGAGTTGTGGTCGTTGGCACCAGCAGCGCCAGCCATGCTACCACCGCCACCGCCAACTACACCACCGGATCGCTTTGCCTCAAGGGCCGCCAGCGACGACTCGGGGATTGGGTGTGAGAATTCCCAAACCTCCTGGAACCGGGGCTTGTTGGGCGCCTTCTCGGCGACAAAGTCAAGAGCGTAAAGACTGACGACCCAGGGTGTCTCAAAGGCGTTCGGGTCTCCAGACACTCGTGAAAGAATGTCGGCGTGAATCTTGGGTGTAGATATAGGGCTCAAATGAGCAGTGTACGAGCTGGGGATTGAGATACCATTAGGTGTAGACATGACGTGCTGAATACCATCAAGGCACTCGGGTGACAACTCGTTGTCACCAAAAGATCCGAGCAGCTCAGAGATGAGAATGTCAACCTTGCCATAGACAGGTCCATTCCCATCCTCAGAAACCACAGGCCCCTTCCACGAGCGCATATCGGTCTTGACAACCTTGACCTTGCCGCCCCAGACGAGGTCGTTCTGGCGCAAAAGATAGACATAGGCGTTGGGGTTCTTTTCAACTGCCCACATCTCAATAGGAACGCCGGCATCCTCGGATGCCTTGAGGGCTCTAGTGACAAGCGGACCACGTCCAGAGCCTGCAACAGCAACAACAACCTTGCCCTCCTGAGAAGTAGGCTTCTTGAGCTCCTTCCACTCTGTAAGAGCTTCAAACACGGCAATCTCATACTGACTGTACTTGACGGGATCTCCCTCAAAAACCTCGTAAGTGGCCGACTCAAGGTTGTCTGAAAGAGGCTGAAGAGGGGACTGCAGCCAGTCTTGGAAGCTGGTCAAGGTAGGACTCTCGAGGTAAGTGAAAGGGGGCTGTTGATCCTCGAGCCATCGCAGGTAAGAGATGTAATCGTTGCTCTTGATCTGAAGCGACTGCGCCTTTGTGGAATGGTTTTGCGACTCGGCTTCAGTAAGGCTAGGGAACTCGTCCTGGGAGTTAGGCGCAGGCTGGGGGCCTTCCTTGAGGTGTGAGACGTCAGGACCAGCGTCGCACAGAAGAATCCAGGGTGTATTCTTCAGACGCATGTACGAAAAGACAAGGTTTTGGTGATGCTTAGACAGCGAAGGGAAGCCAGCCTTGTTAGCCTGGAAAGTGGTAGGGCTGATAGTAAGGTAGTGCAGGGGTTCAGCAAACCAACGGTCTTGAAGGTCCTTCTCAGGCATGACACGAGGGATTTGCAGAGCTAGTCGATGCATTAATATTCGCTAAGGACATGTTTGAGAATGAGAAACCTACCGACAAAGAGTCTAGTGTTGTAGTTGCAAACACTACGGACGTGGTGCCACGAATCCCAGGCGGCCAGAAGATCAATCTCCTTGCTTTCAGTCTTAGTAGGGGTCTTAGCATCAAGCGAGGAGATGCTAGTTCCCTGTGACTCGAAACCAGGCTCTCGATACATAGGCATGTGGATCAAGAAGGTGAGGCGGCTGCCAACAGTAAGAGCCTCCTCAACAGCTCGCGAGTACTGGGCAAGACTCTGGTTGCCGCCATCGATGGAAGCATCCTGCCGAGGTCCAGGGATGATGATGCTGCGTACACCACAGAAGTTGGCGTAGTTAACCTCAACATTGAGAACCTGACGAGAGATGCTAGAAATGATGGGGTTAGAAGAACCAAGGTCGATCCAGGGGCTGATAACTGCAGTGTAAGTGTTGACAGCTGCACAGGGGAACAGACTTGTGTCTTTGGGGGTTAAAGGAGGTAGGATAGGCTCTGCCCGCGAACCGGTTGCTGTAGTAGTCGGTTTCTCGCCCTTGTCGGACATGACAGAAAGATGCTCAGACACCAGAGCGAAGACACGCTCTCGGAAGTGAGTGTTTGTGATGGGAGTCGTCGAAAAGGCCAGCTATCCATTGAGTCAATTGGCGGTCCATGATACCCTCAAGCTACTAGAAAAGAGCGTTTCCATCGGCGAACAGGGGTCGTTGGCGTGGATGATTTGCGACTTACACCATGGTTAAGCAGATGGCCATACTGTAAGTCGGTGAGGGGCTCATCGCGGTTGGAGTCGTGGTATCCAATATGGAAGCTGGGACGCTGAAGACCAAAGCTATCAGACATGTCGAAGCCCGCATCGTCAGAAGCCATGACTGCAGTTGATAATATGTCTGGAGACGGCGTTTGTGGGTGTGGTTGGCCAGAAACAAATACGTAGTAAAGTTGAGATTTCTGGTGGTGGAGTAGTAGTAGCAAATTCACCCCGCCAAACGGTTTAACGTTAGTTGTGCGAAGTGGGATGCGTCAGGTTTTGAGGGTTATAAAGAGAAGAGGAGGCGAGGGTGTGACGGTAGAAGCCCAGGACGGTGTGAGTCTTGTCCGAGGCGTATAAACAGATTCTGCCTGTATATATCCAACAAATATCCCTGGATTTATGACTTGGAGTTGCAAGCTTCAGACTGGTATCCGTGGAGCAAGAGGTGATGATTTTCACTGAGGCAGGACCCTGAAAGTGGGCACAGTGTGCGCCATCTGAGGATGGTGCACTAAATCGCTGAAGCACTAATATTCGAGGGACTTCATGTGATCTCAACATTTTGGAATACTTCATCTGTACGATCAATTAAGTTAAACCTTCACTGCTATTTTTAAGTCATGCTACTATATATGACCGTTGTATTACATAAATAATGACACGCCCGCAGTCATAGGCATCGCCCCGTCATTCATCCCATTGATCGACACTGTACAGCAAGGACAAGGATCTTTATCGATAAGCATCCGCCTTGTCAGGTCCGCCAAAATTTTCTGGCAGAAAACAAACGCCAAAAACACCACGGCCTTCCCTTTCAGCCTCGCCACTTTTCCAACTTCTTTTCTCTCTGTCACCATCGACAATAATGTCCGACGTTAAGGGAGGAAAGCGTTCAAGCGCCGACGCCGACGAGACAATCCGCAAGAAGGCTAGGAAGGAGGGCGCAGAGGACGAGCAATACAATCCTTATCTCGCCCACATGTACGACAACGGGAATGGCAGCAATGGCCATGGCGAGGAGCCTTCGCAGGATTCTCCCCTCGCCGGTATGAAGCGACAGCAAACCACCGCCAAGCAGGCCTCCAAGGCCGAGGACTCAGAGTCGAATCCCTTCACTGGCCGACCGCACTCCCAAAAGTACTTCCAGATCCTTCAGTCTCGTCGCGATTTGCCTGTGCACAAGCAACGGCAGGAGTTCCTCAACAAGTATCACGAGACACAGATCCTCGTCTTCGTCGGCGAGACAGGTTCCGGAAAGACCACTCAGATTCCCCAATACGTCGTCTACGACGAGCTACCTCACCTCACCGGCAAGCTCATCGCTTGTACCCAACCTCGTCGAGTCGCCGCCATGTCGGTTGCGCAGCGTGTCGCCGACGAGATGGACGTCACGCTGGGTGAGGAAGTTGGTTACAGTATCCGTTTCGAGGACATGACCGGTCCCAAGACCATGCTCAAGTACATGACTGATGGTATGCTTCTGCGCGAGGCCATGCATGATCATGAGATGTCCCGCTACAGCTGCATCATTCTCGACGAGGCCCACGAACGTACCCTTGCCACCGATATTCTCATGGCTCTGCTTAAGCAGATCTCTATGCGCCGTCCCGACCTCAAGATCATCATCATGTCTGCTACTCTCGATGCCGAAAAGTTCCAGAAGTACTTCAACGATGCGCCCCTGCTCGCTGTTCCCGGACGAACCCACCCCGTTGAGATATTTTACACCCCCGAGCCTGAGCGCGATTACGTCGAGGCCGCCATAAGAACTGTTCTCCAGATTCATGCTTCAGAGCCTGAGGGTGATATCTTGCTTTTCCTTACGGGTGAAGACGAGATTGAAGACGCTTGTCGCAAGATCAGCCTCGAAGCCGACGAGTTGATGCGCGAAGTTGATGCGGGTCCCCTCGCTGTTTACCCTCTCTACGGTACTCTGCCTCCTCATCAGCAGCAGCGCATCTTCGACAAGGCTCCCCCGCCTCTGCGCAAGGGTGGACGTCCCGGTCGCAAGGTCATCATCTCCACCAACATCGCCGAGACCAGTTTGACCATCGACGGTATCGTGTACGTCGTGGATCCAGGTTTCAGCAAACAGAAGATCTACAACCCCCGTATCCGTGTCGAATCTCTCCTCGTCTCGCCCATCTCCAAGGCTTCTGCCCAGCAGCGTGCCGGTCGTGCCGGTCGTACCAAGCCTGGAAAGTGTTTCCGTCTGTATACCGAAAAGGCTTTTAAAAAGGAGCTTATCGAGCAGACCTACCCTGAGATTCTGCGCTCCAACCTTGCCAACACTGTCCTGGAGCTCAAGAAGCTTGGTGTCGAAGATCTTGTCCACTTCGATCTTATGGATCCTCCCGCTCCCGAGACCATGATGCGAGCTCTCGAGGAGCTTAACTACCTCGCCTGTCTCGATGACGATGGCGAGCTCACGACTCTCGGAAGCATGGCATCAGCTTTCCCTCTTGACCCAGCACTGGCTGTCATGCTCATCTCGTCTCCTGAGTTTTACTGCTCTAACGAGATTCTCTCCATCACATCGTTGCTCTCAGTCCCACAGATCTTCACTCGCCCTGCCAACAACCGGAAGCGCGCCGACGAGATGAAGGCTCAGTTTGCTCACCCTGACGGTGACCATTTGACTCTCCTCAACGCCTACCACGCCTTCAAGGGCCAAGCCACATCAGATCCTAACAGCGCCAAGCAGTGGTGCCACGAACACTTCCTCTCGTTCCGACATCTTTCGAGTGCTGACAACGTTCGCGCTCAGCTCAAGCGCATCATGGAAACGCATGGCCTCGAGCTTGTGTCAACACCTTTCGAGGACAAGAACTACTACACCAACATCCGACGCGCGCTGCTCGCCGGTTTCTTCATGCAGGTCGCCATGAAGGAGAGCTCTGGCAAACTTTACCGCACAGTCAAGGATGATCAGGCTGTCTTGATTCACCCCTCGACTGTTCTCCGCACCGAGTTTGACTGGGTTCTCTATAACGAATTCGTTCTGACGTCCAAGCAATACATCCGAACGTGTACAGGCATCAGACCCGAGTGGCTACTGGTAAGTCGTGCTCCCCCAAAGAAGATTGTATACTCCTCAAGAGAATTGTGCATCTACAAGATTGTCGTACAGCCATGCTAACAACCTATGTAGGAGATCGCCCCCACATACTATGACATTGACAGCTTTGAGCAAGGCGATGTCAAGCGCTCTCTCGCACGCGCTGCAGAGAAGAAGCGCCGCAAGGAAGCCATGAAGACTGGCAGATGAAGCCCTCCCTGCAGGAACCCATGAGAAACTAGCCCTTGAAACGTTTCCTATAAATCGACAGCAGACGGGTATAAGCAGGGATTTGAAAAGTGGGCGATCTAGCCTCCTTGCTTATTCAGTGCTTAAACCTTCCATCTGCGTGCGGGAGGCGGCCCTCCATTACGGCGGTTCGACCTTGCATGGTACCAACGGGGGAGAACAAACATACTTTTGAAGCAAAGGAGACAAAGAGAGGTCTGCGTGGTGTTACACAACCCAAACAAGCCTTCTCCCCTCTCTTGCTTATCCCAGTCCAAACTTGTGTCATCTCCACACTTTGACTGGTCGACTACGGCGTTTTATGTGCATCAGCCATTTGTTCCATGTTTTGGCTGCTTGGGACGGATTGGGGTTTTTTTTTTCTCTGCTCCAACACTCTCTCCCGGTCGTGCCCCTCTCTGTGTGGTTAAGTCTTCTTAACGTTGCCTATTCGGTCTTAGAGTCATGCAGCACCGTTAGATTGCCAAGGGAGGGTGTGGGCGTGTGTCATGGAGGATGCGGGCGTTTCTTGGAATGTTCTAATGTGTGTATCTTAAGTGGTTGTAGAAGGTGAAAAGAGACGACGAGATACATCGTGGGATTGAGTAAAAGGTGGTGAATAGAAACCAACTATCAATATGTTGGCGTTGGGTCAAGCTGGTAGACAGACCAAATGTTGTCAATGAATTTCAGACAATTATGCAGTTCTGCAGCAATCACGCTTACCTAGTAGCATGTACGACACCTTTTCTGGCTCGCCAACCTAACTTGCAGGCTTGACAGCATTGTTGCCTCTTTTCTCAGCCTCAGCTTGGCTAGACGATAGCTTTAGCTGTCAGCAGAGCTTGACTTAAAATAGCACGTTAAGACAGGTACTACTCCATAGGCAAATGCTCAACGACGCTCGAGTGGTGCAGACATGCACACCTAACATTCAATCCCTGCAAGAGAATATCGTTCTGCATATCCGTCTCGCCGCGGTTGAAGATGCAAGCCAATATTAGTTCAACAGCGCCAACTCCAATTTTTGTCCAGTTTTCTCGCCGGTTCGCTTACTTTTCTCTTGCGGTGACGATGTGTCTATGCGTCTATGCCTGCCGGGAGCCTACTAACCCTGGCTAGTTATGGGTGACCAGGGGCCGCCAAAGTGATAGGGCTAGCAGGGCCCCTCCCCTCATCACAATCGGGTGCTGTGGGAGCGGGAGATCGAAGGAAAAAGCAAAAAGAAGAGAAAAGAAAAGGCACGAAATGTGGGTGGAAACACTCATGGACTGCGCGGCACCTGTGTGAGGCTAGCGAAATAATCAACACAACTCGGTATGAGATCATAAGATCTCATAGGCCACATTTAAGAAATTCGACGGCACTTACTCGTCTAATGGCTTGTTATTTGTAAGCCGACCACTTGACTGCCGAAGCCAGTACAAAATAAGATAGTCAGGAATGCCCTTTTCAGTGTAACCTCTGCTGCGGCAGTTTGTCTCGGATAATGATAAAGAGGAACGATGCCTCAGGTCGTTTCGCTAAGCATACGAGTCCCATCTCAAAGAGAGATAGCTCACCCGCCATGACTACCCCAGACGACGTTAAGAAATGTCCAAATGTACAAGGCACGGAGCAAGAAATAACGGATGGTACAGCAAGACCATCAAGGTTGATTCAGGTTCTAGCTATCAATAGTCAGCATAGTAAAAAAAATTGAGCTTGGTCGTCAAGGCTGCAATCGGTTGATTCGAGGTCGAAACCTGACATTAGGTGTGGGGAGAAGTCATTGAGAGAAAGTTTCTTAATTTCCCTCGATAAATTGGACATGGTTGTTATAATGATGCGAGTTTCGTACTGTCGGGGATGGACTAGTGATATTAGATCAGGAGGAAAATTTGTTTCAGAAGAATCATCAAGCCTCGGCGTTGATAAGATGCTCAACGGGGACAGAGCCTGATATGAGCTTCATTGGCTATCTTTCTGCTTCAGACTTTGATGCTATTAAGATGAAGGTTTCAAGCCCAGAGCAAATGGCAAGCAATACCGGAGAATGATATACAAAGAGCATTGCCTGTGTCTGCAAGACATTCCCAGGGACCATCTCACGCGTCACAGAGCTTCATCGAAACCAGGCATGTGGCCATAGCTCCTTGCCGTTTCCGTTTGCCCCTGTTCACCAAGTTCTTGGGGGTGCGGAAGAAAGCCAGATGGCGCCCAAGCGAAGAAGGATCGATAGATGGTGTGCTGACTGAAACAGTCACTTATCACTTTGTACTGGTGAAGGTTGGAAACGAGAGAAAGTTTGCGGTCATGTCTGGTCCGCGAATCACGATACGGCAGGTTATCCCTAGATCCTGTTTCTCTTCGTACGCTTAATAGTCTCAATCAGAAGACATTGAGCAAAATGCGCATCGGGTGGCCGAGGTAAAGGCGGGTCTGCGAATGGAGACATGCGAGGAGATCGGTGATGCTCAACTTGATGTTGCAAAAGCACGAGGCGACCCGAGACCTCCGCTTTGAGTGGTAATCTAATTGAGCGTAGAATGATACCTCTAAAATGTCGCATGACGACCCGGAAACTAATCCGCCATGGTTGTGGTCCCTTATTGCAACTGGCTACTCCATTGCTGCTCATTCGACTGTCTCGATAGTTAGCAGTACCCGGTAGACTGGCTGTCTGCATCCCCAGACGATCTCAAAGAAAAAGTAAATACCATCGCGAACATGTGGCCCATCTTCGGCAAGCATACACATACGTCGAGATATGCTTCGCATATCCACAAGCAAGTGAAACTGCGGCGCCACGCGCTTGTGGATCCCGTCCATCAAAGGGTGTTTTTTTTTTTGCTTTTTCCCGTCCTTCCATTCTAGATTCTGGACTGGGCCGCATTGGCATCGAATCCAACATGTTCTTAGAACGTTTCTTTCAGCCTCACAAAAATTCTCTCCCCACAAAGTCCCTGTTTCAAGGGCTACAAAGCGACTTCAATGTCATGGTCTACTTGATGCTAGACCATGCCATTGCACATCCGGTACTCAGTCTTCTGCCCGTGTTTTCCCTGTGGCACGACAATGGTGGCATGGGATATCTGTAAAAGGCCAACCGTTGACTATTACCGGTAGTTTATGGAGCCTCGCAACAAGGTGGCTTCAGTGGCGCCGAGTGGTCCAGAAGCGCGACAGCATACATAGTATTCTCTACGCGCAGCACGCCCCTCCCGGTTCCTGTTGAGGGTTTCTTGCCCTGGTATGCGGTGCGGCGTTGGCATAATTGTGGTTGCCGTGGACCTAGGTCCTAGGGGCTTGAACGTGGACCATAGATGAGAAGAATCATCGTGCATCGTCTCAGACAAGGTCAACTCCGAGAGGGAGGGATGGGCAGCACCTACTCCGTAGTGTTATTGGACATGGCCGTGATGGGCGATACGTCCTTTCCCCAGACAAGACCAGACACCCACCCCCTTGTCAAGTCTAACCTCACGCCATCCGCCGGACGCTACACCCATTAGAGCTCTCGTCCCATGCCCCACGTCTCGACGAACCACGAGTCGTTGAAAGCTGTCGACATGGCTTTTTGCGCGGGCCATACGGAGTACCATTGCTTCGCTTCTAACTCTGGACGGATACCATACTGTAGCAACATTCGAATGCCACTAATGCCGAACAACATTTGTCTAGTCAACCTTTGGAAGCGCTTGATGTCCTCCCCGGTCGCATCAATAGCACCAACAAGGTCTGTTGACAGAGAATGACAGAGCCAATGTTTGCTTTACTGAAAGCAACCATCATGAGTAGGTCACGTCTGATAGGTTGCAGTCTGTCGTCGTTGTTATAGAAGAATGCGCACATCGTGTCGTCTGCTTGTCTATGCAAATGCTTCTCTTTGCAACAGGCCTCTGCAGAGCTCCAGGGGCTCCCTGTCTGTCATCAAGTACAGCACAGGTGTGGTCTCCACTGCATCGCATCGTTTTGTCCAGCGGGGCATCAGTCATTGCCATGCAAAATGGCATTGCGACGCCAGCGGCCATTCGCTATCGAGTTTAGCTGTCCCCAAGACGTCAGCATCCGAGTATCTAAGTAGTACTCCGTCGAGCAAACAGCACGCACCTTTGATCATGCCAGTCCATTCCCACTGGAAGCTCCGCTTTGCCCTAGGGATCCTTGACATGTTGGCCATCCGCACTTCAGCAGTAGCACAGGCACATCGTTCGACCCCAGCCTAGTCCGCTCCCTGTGCCAATAATCGCATTCACGTCACTTCTTTCCATTGCCTGCAGCTCATATAAGAGCCTCTGTCTCTGCCTCTACCTCGCATGTCAATTTCCGTCTGCCCATTGATTCACATTCTACCTCATCCAATTCCTATCCTCCAGCGCATTATAATTGCTCCCACCTCCAGCCAACAACACAATGAGTGGAGCTGGTGGTTTTTATAAGTACCGATGCAAGTACTTCTATACACATAACTGTCCCAACTGGGTATGGGTGAACAATGCACCTTGTGCATCATGTCTTGTAAGTTGAGGCTTTCTCATATATGCAACGGTTGGAATTTCACTGACTGTTTTCAAGGCCGATGGTCGCGACAATGAAGAGACTCCTCTGCCATCATTAGGGCTTTCCAGAGAAATTGTTGTACCACAAATCCTCGATGGCATCCTTCAATATACTCTGATGGAACTCGTCGCTCCCTCAGAACCTGGCGATGACTGGACACTTAGGGATAAAGTGAACCGACCACCGCCATCGATACCCGTAACAAGTGCTATGCCAGGTATACCAGGCATCATGGCGCATCATCGGTTTTGAAAATGGCAGTGTGTTCTTGAGGCGCAAACGAGCGCCACCCTTTAAACAATTTCTTTAACTGCGATTTGACGACAACAGAGCTTGGAGATAATTAACAAGGAGCAAAGCTGAAATAGCTATCAAGTGCTGAAGGAAACATGAGGATAGGATGGCATGCCACCCTCTTAATCGACGACCATATTGCCATTGGGCGTGTTTATGCAGTGCACGATTTCTGACTGGTTGTGACGGTCAGCACTGGATGGGACGGGAGATTAGTGGCTGGAGCAAGACCGCAAGCAAACAAAACCCCCGCGAGATACCCATGCGCCGTGTTGATCATTTCTGGAGAAGGGGGACTCCATTCTGAAAATATCTTTGTTTTAGGGCTTTTTTTTTTTTGTTCGGACTTCATGTAACTGGCGCGAACGAGTTTTACTAGGCGTGGGAGCAATTGTTATCCTTTTGGCCGATTTCCGAGTCGGGAAATTGATTTTCTGACCTCTTTCTCTGTGGAAGAGACGAGGCAGCATTTGATCTCATTTTGTTCCGATTGATCATCGAGTTAACGCAGACGATACGTGAAGCTCGGGGAGCACTGGCTGTGACAGACCACGCGGGTCAATAACAGCTTTCTCGACACACGAGATTATGTCGAGGCTTGATATTAAGGTGCGGGTATCCCGTACCGGCGTTGGACTTTGGGATGTGGCGTGCCTCGAGGAGAACTCGCCTGATGATCCTGGTCTGGCTGCGATACTTATCAGTAAGTCGTTGATTGTCTCGCGAGGATGTACCCCACCAATAGGTCTTGTCCAACAGGAAGCATGACCATATGAGCTTGAATATGACAGTCCAGCTCGAATCGCAACGGAGTACTCAGCAGGAGTCGCAATAATCAGGAACCAAACAATCAAATATGTTACTGGGAAAGAGAGGCTTGGAGCCGTAGCCCACGCCGTTCTTCTAACCTGGTAATAACTGAATTACGCCAGATATCATGGCGTCTGCTAGTCCACCCGCTGGTTAGCTTGTCTTGAAAGAGACCAAGTGCAACGGCTCTTACCAGTCTCCACGTGCCTGTATCCTTCGAGGTGGCGCCCACGAGGCGACTTGTGTCCATCAATACTGACCTGAAGGAAAAGATTGGACAACTTTCGGTGATGGAAGATTGCCGCCGCCGAAGACTGTCTGCAGGCACAGACATTGGTGAAGGCACAGGATGCGGTGCTACCAGGTGGCTTGTTTCAAGTTTGACCGCGGATGAAGGTACCTGCTGTACGGATATTCCTGTTGGTCTTCTCGTCTCTGTGGTAGCCGCAGTGGAGAAGGTTGAGTGAGATTGCAAAGATTCGGTGTTGAGTAGAAGTGGGGGAGGATAGAATACGAATAATGACAAGTGAACAGTCACCTCCATGTGCTCTTCCTCTTTCCAATTGAGTACCTTGGATTAAGTATTTCGATGGAGAATGGAAGGAGCACATCAGGCCGGGGGTCTATCACCCGTTCCTGCCGCAGGATGAGCTGTCCTAACTTAGTAACTTAATCAATTGGCAGGCACGCTAGGCACGGCAACTATACTGCCTACCTAGTACCTATGTCATTAGTTTTAGTGCTTTCTATTCCATCACAACACCATGGCCAACTGGAGAATCAGGGGCTTTCACCTCCGTTAGCGCCCATCAAAAACTCGCCAATTTTTAGTGCATTTTTCAAGGTCTAGGGGTCAAAGAAGTTTCCAAACCTGCATCAATCACTTGCCCAGTCACTCATTGGCACTGGTTTTTGGTATCGTGGCTATTCGTCAAGTCTTGAGTAAACTCCCTCTTCTAGAAATAGCCTACATACACCTCACGCCTCGCTAAGACTGACGGCTAGGCAGCCTCATTGTCTCAGCTACGCAGACATGACTTAGGATCCCATTGGATTGTTTACTAAGCTGACCCCAGTTCCGGACTTAACGATTCGTCTCAGCTGTACCTCTTCCAATCGACGCTGTCTTCGACTTTCCATGAGAGATCCGCACCGTCCCGAAACTTCCATGAGAGAAAAGAGTAAACACTCATTAAAGTTTAGCTTAACGTCATCCTTGTTCCCTATTCTTCTTGCGATACTACCTTGGGTAGACGAGAAGTGGCACATCTCCAAAGTCTTTGTACGGCATAGTCAAAACCTTTGCATCAGCCCATTTTTCAAGGCTTAACCTAAATACGTACCATCACTTCTTTCCAGAAGGAGAATAGAACTATAAGAAAATTTAATAAGATTAGGAACAAAGCTCAACTTGTCATGAGAACATGGTCAAAATTGAAAAGAATGGCTGCCACCATACGATGCTTCAGCTGCTAACGTATTTAGTGGCTTGTCCTTTCAACATCCCATGTGCTATCTGGCCATGTCATCACTTTAGGGCCGGGAATTACCGCCCATGGGCATCATTTCACCAAGTGATCCTCGTGCCTGGTCACGGGCCTCAATATGGAACTCAATTGTGGGAGCTTGATGAGTTTAAAGTGCCATCATGATGGTGAGTGGAAAGGATATACGATGTACTTTAAACACAAAACCGTTGGCTTCTGGGACCATGCTGGTGTCCTGGTGCCTGGCGTACGGTTGAGGTACATATGTAGACGTCGTACGATAAGTCAGCTGGACCCTGAATTGAGGTTGCTACTCATTTAAGGGTCGTAGCACATTTACATGAGATGTTGGGCGGAATAAGTTCCGGTCGATGGCCAAACGATCCAGTATAATCGTGAAAGTAGTAAATGGAAGTGAATATTGCGTCAATATTCGTCCACAGTCCAGAGGTACACACACACAAACGCACGTAGAAGCATACAGAAGAGAGGTTCGCTGTGAAATACTCGACTTAATCATTATAATCATAATCGTGTTACAGTCTGAAAGCCATGACAAACTCCAGGAAATAATGCGTTCATTCCAATTACAACATCACCGCCAAACCAGCAGCAATCAACCCAGTCACAACCATTCCCATTCTCGGGCTAACTCCACCAGCGGCCGCATTATCGTCATCGCCGCTCAAACCAAAGGGAAGTCCCTGGTAGTCAAAAGTCACATTCTGCTTCACAGAGCTGTTGTAGCACCCTCCGTTGGCGATATTGATCTGGGTAAGGTCGTCGGGCACGTTGAAGAACATGTAGTTCTTCTGGGGAATGTCCTTGAATCCCTTGGTGTTGTAAGGGAACTTGTCACCGCTGTCGGTGGAGCTGGTGTTACGCAGGAGGATGCACTGCACTTGGCCTGGGTAGTCTTTGTACAGCGCAGGGTATGCCTTCATCACGTCTGAGTTGCTTGTGTCGGCGACGAGGATGAATTTACGCTCGGGAAAGGTCTGGAAGACCTTGTCCAGCAGGAAACGACGGATGGAGAGTGTCGCCGAAACGTCCGAGAAGTTGAGCGGACGTGTATCGAAAGAACCCAATGGGTAGGTGTTGTAGATAAAGTCCATGTAGTTGCGAGTGGCCTGCTCAGGTGTGGTGGTGAGGTAATGGAAATGCAAGTCGTTGACCGAAGAGGACCAATTGGCGTAGATCTTGGGCATGTTCATCCACGGTGTGAAGGGTCGAGCAAAGGAGTTGAGAAGACCTTCCTTTGGTTCGTAGATCTTTGTCACACGCAGGATATCGTCGATGTCGGAAACAATAGTGATGCCTTTAGGTGGGACGAGGTAAGCGGTCGCGTTGCCGTTGTTGTCCTTGCCCTCAGCATAAAGGTTAAGAGTCTGAATTCGCGATGTCTCGTTACCGGGGATCAAGTAGCCATTGTCGGTGCCAGAAGTGTTCTTGAGTATGACAAAAGCATCAAAGTCGCCTTCGAGAGTTGTGTTGTGTGGCATGGTGATATTTTGCGAGCCTCCTCTCTGTGAAAGTGGTATTAGTGATCACCTTCTTTCTACACCATTTATTCGGAATACTTACCGCATCAATGGCGCCGCCACTCTCATCTGGAGAGACATCGACGTTGTTTACAAAGTTCATCTTGACCTGGACATCATCCTGCTGCACAACAAAGATGGACTTTGTCAGATTTCGGGCCTGAGCTTGCTGAGACTTTGGAAGGTCTTTGACACTTGTATCGATGAGGAAGACATCGGCGAGGTCGTCAACCTTTTCCTGACTCAAATCGGGGATCTTGTAAACATTGCCGTGTACTCGAACGTTCCATCCCTTATTGGTCCAGTTACCGTATGGGCTATTTCATGATTAGTACTACACTCAAATAGGGACCTCAGGGTCTACTCACGGAATGTTCAGCACCTGGGTTGGGATCGCCTTCATATCATCGTCGTTGACGCCAGCGGACTTCTTCACCTCGTCGCCAGTAGGGAAACCAGTTGGGAAGTCGAGAATACCAGAATTGACAAATCCCTTGATCTTGGTCTCGACACCGCTGACAAGACCTCCAACATAAGTCTCTACATCGTTGATAATGTCGCGCCGTTGAAGATCCAGAACTTCCGTAGGTTCAGCAGCTGGAACGGCGACTCGGCGATAGACGGTAGGGGCAGGACCGGGAACGGCGGCCGGGATGGCCATAACGGCCGGCACGAGGCCCAAGAATGCTGTTTTGAGCATCATGGCTACTGAATCTTGGCGCTGATCAAGAAGGGTAGGCTTAGGTGTACGCGTAGCATAAGAGACAAGATCCAAAAACGGAACATACAGGGAGAGAAACCCAATTTATGAGGGACAGGTAAGCAGACAAGCAGGGCAATCTTGTTTTGTTTAGAATTCCATCCTAGCTGTTCCTGCATTTAAGTGACATCACCAATAAACCGGTTACCCAGTCACCGGATATTTCCTATTGGCTCGTGTAACACAACCAGGATCGAAGCTTGCTTCCAAGGCTAGCTTCGAACGCACCCACACTTCCCAGCTCATCGTAGATCATTTGTTACAGGTGCATTAAGTTTTACGACGCGTGTTCGGCTGATTTGATTTGTTAACGGTGAAACGCGGCCGCTAAGAAATCTTGGAAAGTCATGACATCACTACAGTAACTATTCTCCGATCCGTCGGATCTGGGACGAGATCTGGATAAGACGGGATCTTTAACCCCACAATTGGCCTCACCATGTTGAGCTAATGGCAGATCTTGGGTTAGTCAGTCTACTACTACGTCGCACGTAGCATTGCATATCCATGAGTATGCGGGCACGATTCGGAGACACTCAATTCATTCCTTCATCCTGCTCAAATGTTAGCACTCATTCAAATTTTAGAAACGGGTAGACTTATCCCCTCTCCGCGGGGGGCTATCCTCTGCACCGTTTTCAAGCGAGAGGACAGCCAGGACTGCCACACCAACCAGGCCTGTCCTAGATCCAATAGTACAACCCAATCTCGCCAATGCGACACAACACCGTGGATTTCAACTCAGTGGCAGGGTCTATCACAGCACCGGACAAGCACGAAACTTTGACTCCAACTCGAGATGGGTCCCGGCGCTGCTTCCAACGTCAACCGCGAGAATCGTCGAGCGACACTGGCCATTGCAGAGGTGAGAACTGTTTCGTGAGCTGACAATCCCATAATGATTGAATACCTTCGTAGACACAGTTCCACCAGAAGTCGTCATAACAGAACGCGATATGGAAACCCACCAACCCCGACAAAAGAACTCCTTCCGTGTGATTCGCGCTGCCAACTTGGACTAGTTTTTGAATCCTCTCCAACACTCTCGCCAGCAAGAGGCATGGAGGGCTTTGACGGGTGGACAAAAGACATCCATAAAAACCACCCTTTCGTCTCAGGTCCAACTGTAAGGTTGATCCGAGGGACCTGTTGGGACCTATTGATCCTCGCAGGCGTGCTGGCGTCCATCAAGACCAAGGGATTTCGACCAATGGTTAGAGGTTAATGCGCTTGGTCAGACCAGACGCGAAGCGTCACACACTGGGAGCAATTGCTGTGGTGTGGTCCAGTGAGCGAAAAGAGCCAAGGGGTTGGGTGGATGAGAAGTAGTGCAGCAACACGCCATGCCATTAATAGCTTTGGAGGACCGGGGGCTATCAGATTGGCAAAAGGGTCAGTCGCCGAATTTCTGTGTGTTCCCGTGAGTTGCCCACTGCACCAGCTGGAGTTACCCTAACTGGTGGTTCCGACAGGCGATGACTCTGGAGTTGGATGAAATTCGTCGACTGACTGTTTGAGGCCATCCCGAAGCTCCACTCCTCAGCTGCTCAGGCGAAATGGGCAAGCTAGCAGTATGACCAAGTGGTCAGGCTAGTTCCATCTCCAAATGCCCAGGGCTAACCGCATCGACTGGACAGTCTACTCTTGACCGATGTGCTGGTTCCAGCGGAAAGGGCTGACGAGTGTCCTCAGACCAGAGGCTCTTACCAAACGACTCATGGCACCAATCCTCTCGCGCACTCAAAGGTGACTGGACTGCCCTCCTCGCCTGTCCGTCGGCACTAGCACCGCCAGTCGATCGTCCAACTTTTCAGCGGGCGCGTCACAACTATTGGCGCTCGGCCGGCTTAAAAGACGATTTGGACGACAAGAGCGCAAAACTGAATAACCAGATATCTTCTTAGGGTTAAGTTCCGAACCTCGTACGCCCATCCGTCTGGTACATCCTATACAGGACGCGCTACCCGCCATAATCCGGCTACGGCATTCACGAGGTCCTGTTACAGGCTCGAGAGCGGCACATGGTCGGGTAACCAAAAAAAAGACGGGCGGTCTGCAATAGACATCTCTTTCGAGAAACGAGGGCCGGAAGACTGTGGGGGAGGCGTCGCGCGTGTTGATGTTTCTACTAAGTGCAGAGAAGGAGTTCATATTGACGGCGTCGGGAGTTCCAAGAAGCTGATCAGTATGAAATCGTTACCTTCTGATGATTCTCGCGTCTCCAGTAAAGAACCCTAGAAACTAATCAGTATCTCGAAGTGGTTGTTGACTTGAAAGTCTAGTGGGGAACAAACGGGAGGACGCGATGAGTGATCCACTACAAACGCGCTGGCACGTGACTGTTACCAGCCTCCCACAGTGAGCACAGTGTTCAGTGCACATGAAGGCTAAAGCCTTTATGTGGATGACAAACACCCTATACCAAGTTTGATCTTTTCAACTTGATAACGTTGAAATGGCAAACTCATCTTCTTCTGCGGGTGCTCAGCCCAAAATAATTGAGGATATTGTGGAAGCTGGAAAGAAAGCCTACGACCCAAGTATTGACGCTGCTAGTCGAGAAGTTGGTCTTCAACAATACAACAAGTTTATTGAAAGGTAAGTCGCCGCAGAGCTTGAGCAGCACTCCATAGACACTTTAACAGATTACTGACAGGTTAAAGCACCCCGGTATGGAAATTGTTACCTGCTCTCAATACACTCATTAAACCATCAATTCTCCCGACATGGCTACGAGAACCGCTGCTCCAAACACTCACTCTTCTTCCCCTCCGTCCCACTGGTGTCAGAGGAACCATGGAATTCGTATTCTCAGTACATCCCAGCAATATTGGAAGAATTCCAGATGCCGGTTCCGGACCACAAAAGCAAGGTGCTAGCATTACACATGAGGGCGTAGCCATTGCTACGAAATTGCTTTCATCGGTCCCGACTAGTATGACACCCCAAGCTTGGTTCGACGGTATCTCGGGGCAGCTGTTTGAGCTCGTCGACGGAACTGCCGGACCTGAACTTGCAAAAACTGCGTCGCAAGTTGTTGGCTATGGTGTTTTAGGGAACAAGCAGTATGGTGCACCTGGTAAGTTACTAAACACGATGGTTCTGAAACCATAGCTAAACCGGTGCTTAGGATCACCTGGGTGGAACGCATTTATTCAGCCGCTAGTACAGGACATAAATCCAACACTGCGAACTAATTCCAGCCCTAATTCGACAGCCATTAAGCAAGAGGATGAGGAGATTGTTGATCTCAGCCGAGACCGTGTTTTAGTTAACGCCCATTCACTTAAGACCTCACTACAGCGCCTCAAGACCTTGGTGATATCAAACTCCTCACCTGGACTTTGCAGGCGTTTATTGAGACTTGTGTTGGTACAAGTATGGGCGCTTGCCTCTTGGTTGAACCCATTGCCAAGTACTGAAGAAGACTTTTGCAAACCAGCTCGCATTCTGCTACAGGCATACCTAAGGCTCTTTGGGAATGCGGAAAGTCTCAGGCCGTTCATAAGGAACCTTCTCTGCAAAGGCGCTACAGATGGAACAGAAAAGCCTTGGGAGTATAGGCTCAGAGGTAAAGGTGATATCGAGGTTGTAGAGCCTCGTGGGTCTGAGTCTAAAGCAGGCATCGAACTGAACTGGAATGAGCTCGAAGACAAAGCGACCAAGCTGGTTGAATATGTGACAACTTCGTGTTCCGTCACAGAAGTCTCGTCCACCTTCCTGAATCTCTTGAAACGCTGGATTGAAACATCAAATAAGCAAGGTGAGGACATCAAGATTGACTTGCGCCCTGAGGACGAGATTTCGGATTTACCTCTGCAAAACCTTTTCGAAGTCACCATCCTACAAAAGCTTATGGATAAGGCACCCGAGAAGCTCGTGAGCCAGTTCGATCAGCTACTGGAGCTGGTTTGCCAGGTTCTTACCGCAGACACACAGTCGAGGCTGGCAGATGATCTACTTGCAGTGGTACTGAGTTTACTCAACCTCGTGATCACAGCACCCACGTTTCAAAAATCCCACATAAAGACCGAGGAGCTCAAGATTGTCGAATCTGCATTGGAGAGATTGAGTAAGGAATATCGACCACAGGTGGCACCTACAGCAAGAAACTTGGCTATGCTTCTTAAATACCGCGACGAGGTGGAACAAGATGATGGGTCGGCCTCGGGCCCCAGTACTCGACAGATTGAAGATCAAAGAACATATAAGTTAGCGATGGAGTATGTCACAGGAGGAGACGACAACCCGGCGCCTATTGTGTCAGAAGGATTGAACCTGCTCTCTGGTCTCATATTGAGGGACAGTCCGATCCTCGACATCCCTGCTGTCGCTGTACTCTTATCGACTTTACTCGAGAACAATGATGACTACATAAACTTGAGAGTCATCAAGGTTTACACACAGCTGGCAAACAAACATCCCAAATCAGCAGTGCAGGAGCTCTTGGATCATTACTTAGATCCACAGGAGAAGTCCACGACGGATGTACGGTTACGATTTGGTGAGACCTTGCTTCAAGTGATCCAACGGCTAGGGGAGACTTTTGCAGGCGACGTTGCTCAACAAGTCAGCGAGACATTGCTGTCAATTGCTGGACGTCGTGGATACCGAGCAAAGACCATGGCTAAGCAGGCTCGTGATGAGAAATTGAAGAAAATGAAGAAGAAGAAAGAGGAGGAAGACGACGATGGTATGGATGTGGACGAAGAGGAAGTAACGGAAGAAGAAAAGGCCAGGAATGACATTTTGGCCCAAATCCTTCAAGGGTGGGAAAGCAAGAGAGGTGCTGAAGATGTTCGAATACGAACTTCTGCACTGTCTATCTTCGGCGCTGCCATGGAGACCAACATCGGTGGCATTGGACCAACACTTGTGTCTGGAAGCGTTGACCTTTGTATCAACATCCTGGCTATGGAACGTGAGATGGATACTGCTATTTTACGAAGAGCTGCAATCTTGAACGTGCTAAGCTTCGTGAGAGCACTCGACGCAGCCAAGGAATCAGGCCGGAAACTCGGCTTTGGTCTCACTGACGAGAGCCGAGAAGACATTGTCAGGTCACTTCATTATGTGGCTGAGACGGATAATGACGGTTTGGTACAACAGCATGCACAGGACGTGGTGGAAAGCCTGGAGAACTGGCAGATGGCAAGCATGCTGCCCACGCAAGATCAAACAAACATCGGTCCAGGACTGACAAAGCTGGCGGGCCTCCACGTCAACCCAAGCGGGACTTTGGTAGACTCTGCAGGGAAGCCTCGGCCAAGGATCGAGGAAGTGGAATGAGAGATGTGATGAGATCGGGGTGATACCCACGCGTTGGGTTAAGGAAACAATGGTGATTAGGAATAGAGACAACCATTCATTTCGCCTTTCCTTGCTCTGATGTTTGATAAGCTCATATGAGCTCCAATCGACATTGTGAATGAGGCTCAATCTCTGTGGCTTCTTTTTCACATAATATCAGTACTCTCTGTACGTAACTTGAAAAGGCGTAGTGATGACCTTGTGAGAAGTATAAGCCTCTCTCTGTACCTGAGCATAAGAATGCCCCTCACCTCACAACACCCAAATTTGGCAAATGATTGGCAATCTCGGAGTCTACGGAGTACTTGATCGGAAATCACGACAAGGCGCAGTGCAGCTGGGTCAGGATTATCAGACCATACTCTGTACGTGCAGGATTTTGAAGCTTCCGGGAGATGCAGCCAAGTCTAGCTGACAACGGGGCTTTGAATCTGGCAAGGTTTATGGGTCGAGGCACAAAGAGCCTCATGGGATTGATGTGGCTAGGTAACCGTGCTGATGAGATGGGATGAGATGAGATTCACAGCCGGTCCATCATGATCCTTTCACAGCACTTTGATAGGGAGCAGAACCGCCGCCAAGGCCAAATAACGCCTATGAGTGATTGCCGAGATGAGATGAGATGAGTAATTGCGCGGCTTTAATTGTTTATATTAGGTAGCTCGGCAGAATTAAGCATTCTCGTGAAAAAGGAGCGAGCATGTCATTTCTTGTGTGATTGAAAAGTTTAAACCCTTGCCTGGGACGTTTAAGATACAGTATGAAGTTGTCCTTTCAAGATCAGATCAAGGCCGCTGGAGCCGCGAAGGAGGAGAGGTAATTTGCAGGTGGAGAAGACAGTTGATAACTTGTTATTCTGCGACAAGCCACGGCAGGGTCTTGGGGGTTTTGCTGAAACGACAGGGATGACATGGTGCAGGCGTTTTTGAGGAGAAAGGTTGGGGATTGGGGATTGGGGATCGGGGGACGGACTGGCCGGGAGGCTTATAGATGAAACATATAATACGAGAAGATGACTTTTCATTATTATTGCTCGTAAAATATGTACATGTGCGAATATGTTGTTAGTAACCAAAGTCCTTTGGTGTTGAAGGCATCTCGGTATCAAGGACTTGTGCTGCTGGCCGATGGAAGAGGGATTAATCGTATGACTGACAACTTTGTGGATCGGTACCTGCATGAAAGATGCAAAATTTGCTCAATTCAGAACCAAGATCAACGCTGCCAGGTCCGAGAAACCCCAGCCTTTTCTCCTTGGTTACCCAATTGGGCAACCAAGACAGCTCGGTGAATAATCTGGCTGGTCGAGTGTCGTGCTAAAAAAGCCTAAAGGATCAGCGATGACATGGGCAATTTCCAGACAATCAATGATCCACCGTGCAACAGAGTGATCAGAGTGCGTCAGATCCCTTCTTTTACGGCTCGACCAATATCCGAACATGGAACTTCCAACTACCGCGTTTTAAACGTATGCCGATGAGGCTTAGCACTTGGTCTCAGATGGGGAGGGGAAAAGCCATGTTCCTTTGCTTCTAGGAGGGAAAAGTCAAGAGAGACTGTCATTGGGGAGTGTCTGAGTCATTCTAGATCCAGAGGGAAAGGCTTGGCAAGGGAAGAAGAAAGGATCTTTTTTGGGCGAAGCTTGCATGAGTAAGTGGGACTTTGACGCTGGCTCTGACTGTGAAATCGCGGTCAAAGATGCGAGGGAGTTCAAGTTTTCTTTACTTTTTTGCTCCCCGTCTTTCTCTTTCCAGAGCCAACGGGTACCACGTTACGGAACCGGGAACAGTCTGCTGCAGGGAGGCTCTTGACGTGTAAGAGAATGTCTGACTTGCGTGAGTTGTCTTGCTCTAGGCTGTTCTTAGTGGAAGCAGCGCATGTTCTTTTCTGAGCGCAGTCAGGCTAGGTAAGACAGCATGGGTAAGTAGCATGCTGTGCGATGCGATGCGATGATAATGCTCTACTCCGTGTTCCGTAGAATTAAGGAATCTCCATTATCCGTCCTAGACTCGAGTTCAAGTTGTCAGCGTCGCACTAATCCTCCGACCGAGGCGTGTCGATCCCGTCGGGCATTTCAATTGTGGTCTAGAAGACAGTGGACGCCATATTGCAGGTGCTGTGCCTTGTACGGTGTAGCGTAGGCGTCTACAACATACAAGGCTGAAATTACCAAAGAGTGTACTTAGATACCTGACTAGTAGTGATACTGACTGATGCGATAGGGGTAGAACGTGCATATAGAGCACACACCGAATACTGCGTGTAAGCTGCAGCGTTGAGAAGGAGTCACAGTAAGCAGCCTCGTGAGCATTACGCGCTCAGACTTTCTCTGCGATGAAGCAAGTCAAGATGCAGAACAACTCATGAATGAAATGCTGGCGCTCCTCAAAACACACCAAAACACACAATCACTCGTTGTTGATTCTGGCCTCTTTTTATTCGTAGCACAAAAACCAACCTAAAAGACCTAAAAGTGGCGGGCGCCAGAACAACAACAGTCTCGGGAGGGCGGTGGACGGTTTAATTGGCCCGCGTGGCGTCTCAGGTTCTGCACGGTCCGCACGGTACCTGCATTGAAAGTGACGGCGGTGGCGCTAGGGGGAGTTGAACACCTAAGATGAACAACTCAGAGACTGATTGAAACATAACTTTTATGTTTACATGGCAGGTTCGATAATATGGATCACATGTTTAATGATGCTTTTCCCCTATCGTCTGTAGATACCCATGATTCTTCTCAGATATAGCATGAACAATCATCAAAGCACAATCAAGGTTCTTCTCAACGTTGCGCTTCGCTAAATTGCAGGGTGCTCACTAGGGCTCTAATCCAAAAGTTGCTTGCTTAGCCCCGATCCCCCTGGTCCAACACCTTGAAGGTCCTGGCCTGCCCTGGCCCGAGAAGCCTGCCGCGCCCCTGAACCATGCCGTTTGTGGCAAGAGCCAGAACGCCCCACCGACATCTGAACCTCCTTCTTCTCCAACGGTTGGTCATTTTCACCATCTCCAATCAAATCACATCCATGTTCATCTCGACAACACCAACACCAACCCAACGCCGCAGCAACCGACGAGGCCGCCAAGCAAGATGAGCCTATCCGTAATCACCAGGAAATACAGGCTACAGCACAGCGCAAGCCTACCCTAGCTCAGGTCTTGGGCATGGTACTGGCTCATCGCCTAATCCGCCGTCGTGCAAATCCCCTTGCTTCACCTGTACGCGCTCTGGCGCTGTGGTACTCGCTTGCTTCCACTGACCCTCACGATAATAATCCCAACTCTTCTGCGACAGGATGCGGAGACCCCAAGATGGTCCCAACGGATACTGTTCCTCTTTCATCCTGACCAAGGACCAGGCTCGAGATGCCAGACCCTCAACCCTCCCAAATCCAAGGGGCTCACCAGTGGACCACATCACCACCCATGCTCGACGCATCTTGGCAGTCCGGCGTTTTGTGGTTGCTCACTCATGACCCCTGCTCAAAGTAGAGAACTAAAAAGAGGCGTTGTAGCCCAGATTGTACTACCCCGACTCCGGTTTCTCTTAATATCTAACGCTTCCTGCTTCATCTCAAGTCTTGCCTCTCAGTCTTGTCTATCTCAACCATCCACACTCTTTCAGTCTCTATTTGTGACTTTCCATTCATTTCCGGCTTCTGCCATTACGATCATTCCAGCATTACAGCAACCAGCGTTTCGCACCTACCAACTCTATACTTTCTTTTAGTGAAGCAATACTGTGTCTTGCTCTCTGCCCAACTGTGGAATTGACTTCTACGGCCATTATATCGCACAATTGTTGTCATAGACAAATCTGAAGCAACCGCAAAAAAACCATCTACCCCCAACCTTCAAAATGAAGTCCGTCGTCGCTAGCCTCGGCATGCTCGCCGCTGTCGCCAACGCTTACCAGTTCCCCCAACACGCCCACTACCGCCGAGACAACGGAACCGACACTCAGACCACTCTGACTGTCAAGACCACCGTCGTTGAGACCATCACCAGCTGCGCTCCTACCGTCACCAACTGCCCTGCTCGTGACCAGACTGCCATTGCTCAGCTCCCCGAGTCCGACAAGGTCACTTACACTGCTACTCACACCGTCGTTCTCACCGAGGTTGTCTGCCCCGTCTCTGACGCCAGCTCTATCTACACCTCCGTTCTCCACGATGCCGAGACCGGTGGTGTTACTGGCAAGACCATTCCTGCCACCGCTGCCGTCCCCATGACCACTGGCGTCGCCTACCCTCCCCCCACTGAGGGTGACAAGACCGTTGTCTCCGACTACACCACCGACCAGGTTGTCACCCTTACCCAGGGTGAGGAGACCATCACCACCACCATCCACAAGACCCTCCAGACCACCATCACCGTCCCCGCTGGCCCTGAGGTCACCGATGACGGTTCCAAGGGCAACGGAACCCCTGAGGATGATACTACTACCACTACCACCAAGACTACCACTGGTACCATCACCAAGACCATCCAGCGCGTTGATGAGACCAAGCCCGCTACTGGCGGTGACAACGGCTACAGCACCGGCAAGAGCGAGGGTGAGGACGATGGCTCCAAGGGTACTGGCAACGGTAACGGAAACGGAAACGGCTCCAACAACGGTGGCTCCGGCTCCGGCGAGTGTGTCCCTGAGACCGTCACCGTCACTGCCCCTGCATCCACCGTCTACGTTACCGTCGTCCCTGAGCCCACCAAGACCAACGGCGATGCCGCCACTGTTACCGGCAAGGCCACTGATGACTCTGAGGATGGCGATGACTCCGAGGATGATGAGGATGACGAGGATGAGATCTGCGACACCACCACCACCTTGGAGGCTACCGTCACCGTTGTCCCTTACCCTGTCAACGGTACCGCCACCGGTGGTTACGCTAAGCCCACTGGTTTCTCCCGCCGTCTCCGCTAAATGTATTGAGACAGCTTTCTTGTATATGAAGTCTCATATGTACATTTAATCACCACTTGGTCACTTCTTGGTTAGGCATCTAGTGGAGGAAGGAACCCCTTGGATAGGCTTACACTACTCTCCTGGATGTATGACAATCTTACTTTTTTGCTGCTTCTTTCAAAAACAATTCAATGAGAACCATGACCTTTTGTCTTGCCCGCTCAACAAGTACCCTCTGGGGATGCCTGGATCTCGTCCCCCTTTGACTGTAGCACGGACTGGGCTTCTAGTGGCTGAACTGTATAGGAATTTCTTTTGTAGATGGATAGACTTGGTTTATGCTTATAGTGAGTGTCGGTTCCATAGACCGCGCTCGACCTTCGAGTTCTTTATTGATACATACGTTTACTTTCCCATTGTATATAATTTGAAGGGTGATGAGTTTGGAGTATACTCTGTAGCGGTCTCATAACTGTGCCTCGTGAACGTGATGGTTCTTATAACATTGACTGTATAACTCTCACATTCTTCATGATGTATCCATTATAACCATACCCTTGCCGTTTAACCAAGGGCCATGCTTCAATGCAAACCTATTTGAACAGTATTCCCCAACGCCTTATTCATACAGCCATACCTCAAATATCCATTTCGTCACCCTACACTGTACAGAGCACTTATCCAAAGACAACCTGCTCATAAGACTCACTGTCTAGATATCGATGGAGCACATCCTGCAACGCAGCCTTCGTGCTGTTCAGTTGCGGTGTCACTCCTTCTGCTTGTTGTAGATTACCACGGATGCTCTCGACGTGGCCGGCAAGTTGGATGGCTAATGGCTCTAGAGGTGTATCGACGAGGTCCTATTGAGTGTAAGTGTTTGAGCTTGATGAGAGGTGAGAACAATAACTCACTTTGAGAGTTCCCTCGTCTTTGATACCAGGGACAAAAGCCGTGTCCTGGTCTTTACTCGTGGGCCGTGACGTTGGCGCTAGAACATGCGCCTTTCGGAATAGATCCTTTCGTTCTCTTGTCTGCGCCCTCGCATTAGCCTCCAGCCTCCTCAATTCCTCATAGTCTTTATCCAGCTCCTTCTCCATCCTATCCCTCTCAGCCTTCAACAGCTCCACCGCATGCCGCGCCGGCACAAGCTGTCTGTCCAACGCCGTCTTGCCATCCAGAACAGCCTCGAAGTCAAGCTCCATCGCGCGACCACCATCAGCATCCGCGCGACGCCGCGTAGTCGTCGTCGTGGAGGACGCAGGGGGGAAGGGCAGACCGCGGGCGAGTTTGCGCTCTATGCGCCGCGAGACGAGGTGCAGAGCTGAGGAGGCGTGGGTGCGCCGGTTCTGCGTGGTGGATGTGCGCGAGAGGATGGGCTGGTGGGCGAGCGTAAGGATTGATGTCGCGGCGGGCAGCGATGAGCCGGATAGGGGTGTCCATTTTGCGGCGATGGTGGATGAGCGGATGGTGCGTTTGAAGGGGGCGATGTGAAGGTATGCCTTTTCGGGAGAGGGGAGGGACTCATCCGAGTCGGACGGGGCATCGTTTTTACTGCGGCGCTTCTTTTTGGCATTCGTATCTTGTTCTTGTTCTTCGGGCTGTGGTTCGTCTACCTTCTCCGCAGATGGTCTTCCACCGTTCGGTCGACCGCATTTCTTGGTAGTTTCGTTTGGCTGTTGATCCTCGACATTTTCCCGTGATGTGCGATCCTTCTTCCTGGCTTTGTCTCCCTTGCGGCCCTTGTTATTGGCGTCTTTACCGAGATCGTTTAAAGAAGTTCGTGGACTTCGTCGTGGTTGCTCTTCCTCCTGTGGTTCTGGCTCTTCTTGGGCCTTGCGCTGTCGCTTTTTCCGGGGTGCTGGTTCTGCTTCTTCGGGTTCAGGTTCGGGCTCGGGCTGTTGAGCTGGCTTGCGGCCCTTTTTGCGCGGTCGAGGTTCTTCCTCTGGCTGCCCTTCTGGCTCATCTGGCTGTTCGATCTGCTTCTCTTTGGTCTTCTTCTTTCGCTTCCCTTTTCCCGACTCCTCAACTGGTTCCTTCTCGGGCTCTTTGTCATTTTGTTCCGTTTCAACGGCACGACGGCCTCGCTTTTTCTTCGGTTGAGCTGTATTTTCTGCTGTCTCTTGCTCATCTTCTGGCTCGTTCTGCTTCTCTAATGAAGGCCGGCCGCGTTTCTTCTTGGGCTTCGTTGTACCATCTATCGGTTCTTGCTCAGCCTCTTGTTCATTCTTATTCTTCTCAAGTGAAGGTCGACCGCGTTTTCTCTTCGGTTGCGCCGCCTCTTCTGCTGACTTTTCTGCATTTTTGTCTTCTAGCGATGGTCGACCACGTTTCCTTCGAGGTTTGTCCTCCTGCTCTACAGATTCCTCTGGCGCATCTTCTGTGACTTGTTTTTTTGGTCGTCCTCGTTGCTTCGGACGCGCGATTTCGTCAACGTCGGCTTCGTACTCGTCTGGTCGATCTTGCGACGCGCTGGCGACAGCAGGTTTGGACGCGTTCGCAGGCCGGCCACGCTTACGAGCTTGCGGTTTTGCATCTGAAGACTAAAGAGGACGTTAATATGTATTAGTTATGTCCGGTCTTAAGCTGTGTAGCTTATGGTGGCTTTACTTACCATTATAGGTGGTGTAAAGAAATGGTTTGTTTTGTTGACTTTACTTCAACTGCCTGCTGCTAATTGGCAGTTGATTTGAGTTTCAGCGGCTCCGGGCACTGGGACGGGGAAGCGGGGCAGCCCGTGTTTGTCTCCGCTCCGAGAAACGGCTTAATCTGGGATGGGGATGTCATTTTTCGCCTCAGCCGTGGATGACATGATCTAAATTTAAAGTTACAGCGGTACAGCTACAGTTGTGGAAGTGCGTAGTTACTGACGTTTGCCACTCTCTGTTGTAAACGATGCGCTTTGTCTTGCCTGGATATCCCAGGCACGTGCTTCATCTTGAGATGCGAGCATTCACAGCACTATCGAGGATGTGAATTGCTCAGCATTATTAATTTAGTTCTTCGCCGCTCCAAGAACGACTGTCATCCCGACTTGCAGACTCATCTACTACGCAATTTAGCTACGGCTGTCATCGCGATAAGCGAAAGTTTAGCTTCTTTGTGCGATACGCGCACCACCACCGATGATACAATACGCGATGATGCCGTCCGACGTGTGGTCTCGCGATAGGTACAGTAGGTGGTAGTACACTTGAATAGGCCCGTTTTGTCAAAGTGTGCAGGACTGGTGTGATCTACTACGTAGTGATCTCTCTCGCGGACTCGCAAAGACGGAACGCGCAAATGCGGGATGACGATGACGGGCCGTTGAGCAGCGTCTCGGTACCGGGCAATGGGTATCAATGACCCTTGAAATCCTTCAGAGGATGGTACTTGTGATTACATATCACAAGTTTCTCTTTTTCCATTTTTCAAAGTGTACTATTTGTGTGAGTACTTTGCGTGACCTGTACTCTACATCTATCTGCCTTTACTATATCTCAATGCAAGCTGAGCTCATCACGGAGTCTCCTATTCGTGTATATTTGCCAGCTCATCAGCAGCACGAGGCCAGACAAAGCTCCGAGTTTTTGTATCAGTCAATCATGATCGCACCGTCTCATTATCATTGCATTGTGTGTTGACGGTGCTGTCAAGGTCAGACTGTTACTTAAGCTGAGGTATGTTGCGCACACAACATTACAGTCCCCAGAATTAAGAGTCATACCAACGTGTCAAAAATGTAGTCAACTGTCAACAGTGGTTCCCATCAACTAACACAAAACAGTACCTTGTCAAAATTCTGGCAAGTGTCGGTTCTATGTGGATGAAGACAGAGAGACCGACCCTAACTTGAGCGGCTCTCTTGAGCATTGCTGCCCAAGTCATGCCATGTCGGTGATGCCCCCCGGTATGGACCTGTTAAATGGGTTGGTCCACGACGGCGCTTACAAGAGTTCTTTTCTTTTCTGTCCAAGGCCTGAGCGCGATGCTTTTAACCTTGAGTTATTTTGCTGTTTAAAGTGTTCAACGTGCGTGGGATCCAATTCTCGCACAAGGGTTTATGTGTTTCCACTTGGGTCAGGGATTTTCTTGAGTATCCAACTCCCAGTTCAAGGTTGTTTCTGTGTTGGCAAAGAGACCAAACCTGACCTGACCTGACGCTAGTGCAGGGCAGGGCTGGGCTGGGCTCGGTGAAGACAACCTCCCTGCTTTCACATGAGTCTTTGAGACGTGGACAGAGCGGGCCGTTCCATATGTCTGAGTGTGTCTGAGACCGAGAGTTTGTGTTGTAAGTTGCATAATAGATCAGTTGTTATAGTTTGTGTCTCTCAACTATTGTGTAGCTAAGGCCGACTAAAGCAAGCTGCCGTCAAGATATAAATGCATTGTCATACATACAGAAGCTGTTGATAGTCATGGGTACTGTAAGAGACTTATCTCTTGCAGTCGTTCTTGAAGAGTCGAATCTTTTCTGCTTGTTAATTTGATGTTGATGACTATAACTTACACACTAAACCATCAGACATTCATTGCCATGCAGTTTTGGCCCCCAATTGGATATACAGCAAAGTCCACTACATAATAGAAAAAAAGGCGACCGCATAAACCTGTATCCAAAGCACGCGTGATTCGAAAAACATCCAATCCAATTTATACATTTAGTACTTTTGTCTGTTTATCCGCCCTTAAACTCCCGAGCTGGACCCTCCCTCTGTCTGCTATCTCACCCGGAACCTCCTCGATCCAAACAGCGTGGCAGTTAAACATACCTACCTACCTACAGGCACATACAAATACGGAAAGGACAAAAAAGGCCCGATCCAAATCAAGAAAGTCCTCACGATCTCAATTGAACCTCTCACGTGTCACTTAGTGAGACATTCTTCATCAAATCTTTGGACAGCGGCCCAACCTCGTCCATTTTTACAAGACCCGATCCCAATCCCGAACCCGGCCCCGGCCCCGGCAGAGTCGCACATCAAATCCACTTTCCTCCTCCGCACAAAGAGGAAGGAAAAAAGATTGTTTCTTCAGAGGAAAAAGAACCTGGAAAACATCACATCACAGCGCTAGACTCGTCTAAGATCCAGACTAACTTAGAAGCGCGGCTGAGGCTCAGCTCAGTTCAGATGCAAGGACGTTCCTTGTTGTTGGGCTAGTTTGGTAGTTAGTTTACAGTGAACCAAGAGCAAACAGGGTCCTGTTCTTATCTAACGCGAGCTGTCTCTGCGGTTATTGCTAGCAGCAGCGTTGCTCGCCTCATTGACTGAATGGATGATCTGCCATCGTCATCGGTGATCAACCGTTACCGGCTCTTATAGCTGCAGTCAGTTGACTTAGTTGCACTGCAGAGTGCAGACTGACTTGATCATCGCTGTACTATCCCGTACCAGGCTGGTACCATCTGTGACATACATATCGTTTTTCTGTCTGTTGTGTTTTGCTGGTGCATTTGCGCAATCGCATTTGGGTAGTCTCGAGTTCGTTCAGTCGATCAGTTCAATCCAATTCAAGGCCGTGGAGCCTATCAAAGCCATTCCCCCCCCTCCGTTCATCACTCCGGTGCTTGAGCCTTGAGGTGCCTTCCCATCTCACTTGCATTGGACTGAACTGGACTGGGCTGGATTGGACTTGCCTGCATCTGCTCTTTACTTTTTTTTATCTCTCTCTTCCCCTCCTCTCACACTTTCTTATTTCTTCTTCTTATTTCCCTTCTTTTCTCTCTTTTTTTTGTCATCTTCACTTGAGACTCCTCCAAGTGAAAGACATCAATAGATATTTGGGGATTGATAATCAACTCGGCTTTTGTTAATCTCGACGACGAGATTCTCCCCACGTATTGCACTGCACTGCACTGCACTGCACCGCAGCCCGCATCGTCTGGGTTATCGCGCGCGGTAGGGCACTGATACTGAGAAATCAACGATCGATAAGCGGACCGAGAAAGATCTCTCCAGGATTTCTTTCTGTGGTTCCTGTCCCTCTTTAAGGACAACTCTTGTCGCCTTTTACAGCAAAGACTTATCATGACCCCAAACACAAGTCGCATATCATCCTCTCCGTGTTGGAGGTTTCTTCTCTGGGTCTTGACTCCCTGACTATCGCTACCATCATTGTTCATAATTGACGGCAGATCCAATATCACTTGAACTACAATTCCCCGTTTCCTACCAGTCGATCAAGCCAAATATCGGTATCGGTATCTGTATCAGCATCGACTGGCTTGAGGCCTTAAACTGATCCAAGCGAGAACCTGAACCTGACGGGGACCCCCCAGCGACAAGACCCGGTCTTGGCTTGTGCTTGTGCGTGCTGGCTGTCGCTGTCCCACGTCTGTCATCACCTCCGCTTCTTCCTTTTAGTTTCTCCAGACCTTCTATTTTTGTTTCCAATCCTCACCACCAATTGGCCTCGCCGAACTCAAGGTCAGTGCTGGTAATCTTCAGCGCATTGAGAATCCCTAAAGATCAAACCCTCAACCCGCCCTATCACGAATCGCCCACCGCATCGAACACAGAGTCACAGACAACACTACACTTGACTGGGCTGGGCTGGACTAGACCGGGGGCCCAATCGACTCCATCGACGTTCCCCTCTTACACCCGCCGTGTGGCCACTTGGGTGCATTACATTTTGCTACTGCTGCAGTGCTGCCACTGTTGCCGTTACCGCTACCTACCGTATGCTCTGTTGGCAGCCCCGCGTAGTATTGGATCCCTACCTCGACCTAGCGACCTGACCTAGCATTGAATTGCATAACCACGCCCACGTCGTCGCCGCCCACGCTCACCCTCACACCCACGTTCACGCCCTCCTCGCCTTGAACCAAGCAAGCACCACTCACTGAGCTGCATTGCATTTACTTGCCTTGCAGTAGCCAACGGTCGCAATTTTTTTTTTCTTCCTGCCGGTTTTTGTCTGGCCTTCCGTCTTTCTCATCCTTTTCCCCCTTCACTCCAAGGCATTGATTGTTCTCTGGCCTGGTACCTCACAATCATACCAACTCTACCGCCTCACTCAAAGTACTTCTGTCACTTTGACTACAAAGTATATCTTTGTCCCTTTTTTACTTCCGGATCGGCTCGTCCCCGTCCGTTTGTTTTACCCCACACCATAGTCAACCAAACCAACCATTCCTCACCTTGATCGATAATACTGTCAACTTGGTTTACCTTGCTGCTGACGGTCGAGGTCAAGACATTGAGACTTCTTATCCGTCTTTCTATCAATTTGTCAAGGATTAAATACCGTGGCTCAATTGGGATTTACTTCAGCCCATATCATATATACGTTTCTTACTAGACAACGCCAAAGTCTATTCATCTACACTTATACACCACATCAGCCATGCCGCCGAGAAAGACAAGCCTCCGGCGGCAGCCCGCGACGCCAAATCTCAACGTCGCTCAACTCCAAACCCAGGTCCAGGAACAGAATCAAACTCTCACCGCCGACCCAAACTCGCCGCCGGAGACCCCTACCACGTCGCCGCCATTCTTGCGCAAGATTAGTCTCAAACCTCGACGCCAACCTGACTTTCATGATTATTTTCAACCCCTGGATTCAGATCCCAACATCAAACCTGTTGGCGATGGTCACCAATTCAGCTATCGGCCTTCCCTGGGCCCCGAACAGCTGAGCCCTCGCTCGTCTTCCTCATCCGATATGCTTGACGAAGACAGCAGTGATGATGAAAGCACCAGCGAAGACGAGGACCAGTCAGCTAGTCCCAGCATACGCAGCATGGGAAACGTTACTGGCCCAGCGGTGTCCTCGCCAATTGATGATTCTGATGTTGACCTTGGCGACGACACCGATAGTTCTAGTGATTCAGATACTGCTTCTGAGTCCGATTCAGATTCAGAATCCGACAGATCAGGTGCTACTGACGAGGCCGAAACTTCTCACATCACTGTCACTTCTATGGCTACAGTTACTTGTAATTTTACCCTCGAAGATGTTGACCCTATGGATAGCGATTGCGATGGACTCGATGTCCTACAACCTACCGAGATCGAATCCAATCGCAGTCGCTCGAGGTCACGGCACAGGAAAGAACATAAGACCATGGTTAAGGATTTCCGGAATCTCCAATGCAGCAACGAGACATCAGACAACGAGCAAGGCGCTGATGCGGAAGGCGAAGTCGACGCGGAGATGCAATTTCTCAAACGGCGGGAACAAATCAAGAAACTCCGTCGAATGAGCATGGGCAGCAGCTTTGGCAAGCGAACACATAGCGAACTCAGCGATTCCGAAGACGACGGCGAAGGACTCGATGCCAACGAAGTCGGCTCTAGCGCACGTCGCATGCGGAGAAAGATGCACCGCACCAGCTTGTTGTTCCATGACCCGCCCCCTGCGCGGATCGAGGAACTTGAGGAACCTGACTCGAGTGAGGAGGATGACCTCATGGCGCACCAGCACGTTGCCAGAGAATTGCCTTATTGGGATATCGAAATTATGGAGATGGATTCAAGCTAGAGCTCAGGACCATGCAATCACGCAGTACATCAGCTGCGACAACTACCATGCTACCCCGGCCACCATGAGCATGAATATTAATGACATTACGAGGAGAAGAGGCGACCAGGGGTCCCTTTGACGACAATAACGACTCACCTTTTTACAATCTACGAGCATGACACCGCCTGCACCGATCAGCCAGCCCCTGAGCCTACCAGGGTTTGGAGAAAGGGGAGCCATTGATTGTGTTCGCCCTGCCCACAGCCTGTGGTTCGTTTATGCATCAGGCGGTTATAGAAAGATGAGGAAAAGATTTGATCATAGAAAATGATATTGGATGTTTTGCATAGAGTTAGCATCAAGGCCAAAGACAACGAGTCGAACACGAGATTTTCGCATTGGATTTCATTGGGATACCTTTAGACTGTTATTACATGTCGATCTGTTACTTGAAGAACATTGTGTTTGAGCGCGTACGGAAGATGACCATATATGGAGAAAATGGGTACGAGGTCTGACAGATAGCTCGAGAGCGCAGCTTTGGCATTTTATCGTCATTTGAAGCATTTCTAGACTGCGATAGATTCGGGATCCTTTCTCTCATCTTGTTTTGCGCCGTTATAAGCGGATCATTGATTGGGTTAATATAATCTGATTCCTTGCGAAGAGCTGCAGATACCGTTTCTCAAAACATGATCAAGGATTCACCTCGATAATGTCGCCCACCTTGAATTCTCTAGGATTGGACATTATCTGTTTTGTTCCTGCAGCTCTTGGCTGATAGTGAGGTCTTGGCTTGGCTAATCGGCAGGGATGGAAAGCTTGAACAAATATTTTCCACAAATCTAGCTACCTACAGCAAGTTAAACTGTATCTCTTGTTCCGTGGTAACACTGCATCTCGGCCATGAGCCGTTTGCCAAAGGATGTTGAGCTCCTCCCGGCTATGCCTACCTTCAATCAGGGGTTCTTTAGTAGGCAATTTCGTACTACAAGGTTCGCACAAATAGGTAACGTTAGTTAAAGATATGAGGTGGAAGCATTGAAGTCTGTGTACGAGAATCAACGATGAAGTAGTCTTTTCTACAATAAGTACTAGGTAGTCTCTACCTACGAGAGTGTTAGATCATCCAGATCATGCAGGCGTGTAAGTGATTAGCGGTGGGGGGTGCTTATCGATAAGAGCTGCCCGCGCTGGTTGTTTTGAAACTCCACCAACATGAGCTATCATCTCTTACCATTAAACCCCAATCTGAGATATGCTTCCTCATCCTTGATAATCTGCTGAATTCTGTTCATCTACTCCAAATTGTAAACCAAATCGTGCCGTCGGCATTCAGTGCTCGCCATGTCGCTCCTGTCTGCGCACCTCGAGCAAATTGGCTATTCATGCCAAGGCATCGACTCTCTCCCGTAGGTAACTAACGAGTTCTCCATGTACGACACAACTAACGGTTAGTTTCAGATTCCCTCGACCAAAGATCTTTACCAACGCCCTCCTCTCCAACCACGATATCACATCCCTCATCCGCGACACCGAACCCCACGAACGCGCTCTCTTCTCCGTGCCGCCGCCTCCTCCACCCTCAACAACCCTCAAACCCGCAGAGCCAGAGAAGAAAAAGTCGTCGGGTAGACGCCAGACCGTCTTTAATGTAGCTTCTGGAGAAGTCACCACAGGGCCCCCAGCACGCACAGGCACACATCCTCGCCGACAGACGGCTGTGGCAGCGGTGCTGGGCGGCCAGATGCACGACGAGCTTCGGCGTGGAGAGTCAGACCGCAAGGGCGACGTAGATGTCAATATCCTACTTCGCGGCGCAGAGAAGCTATGCGGCGTGTACGAATTGCCCGGTGCAAGGGAACGTATCGCTGCCCTGAGGAGTAAATATGCGCACGGGAAGAACACGGCGGCGTACTACGAGGCGCGAGTCGCAGAGCAGGCGGAGCAACTGGCGAGTCTGGATCATCGGGATTGGTATGAGGAGGACGAAGAGGAAGAAGACGAGGGTGATGTCTGGACGGAGGAGGACTTGAAAAGGGAGGAGGATGAGGCTAAGGAGATGGAGGTCAAGAAGAGGGAGTTGCAGGTCCGGTTAAGACAGATGGAGAAGGACTTGGGAGACTTGATGAGAATGTGAGATGCAGAGTGGATGATACCCTTATGAGAAACGACGACGGTCTATTAAACAGCATTGGCGATATATATAAGTCTATTTGTGATGGCCACGCATAGCTACAAGGCTACTGGTTCTTCAGCAGCCTCATCGCGCGCCAGAACAAGCTTTTCCAAAATGTCCCCGACATCTTCAGCACCATCCACAGTAAACTCTCCGTTGATTATATACCGCGGCACACCCTTTACGCCTATCCTCTGCATCTCCAAAACCTCAGCGTCAACCTCCTCACCACCATCATCCCCCTCCAACCACTCCCTCGCTATATTTCTATCAACACCCGCCCTTTCCGCCGCACCAGCCAAATCCTCCTTACTAGTGACATCTCCTCCCTCCAAGAAATACATCCTCATAATCTCCAGCGCAACCTCCATCTCACAGCCAACCTTCCTACCCAGCTTTTCCAAGCGATGCGCATCTCTCGTATTCCCAATCACCGAGTCAAAGTTGAACTCCAGCCCTTCCCTCCTGGCAATACCATTCAGCCGAGCTTTCACGGAGGGGACTTGATCAGCTCCCCATTGCGAGGCTATCTTAGAGACAAGGGGCTGCGTCGGGGTGTTGGGGTTGAGTTGGTAGGCGTGCCATTTTGTGGCGATGGTGTCGCTGGACGAGACAGTTTTGAGATAGAGGGTTATGGCGCGGGAGAGGCGGAGGGCACCGATGAAACACCAGGGACAGACGGGGTCTGATATGGCGGTTATAGATATCGTAGGCATTTTGGTATTTGTACAAAGTTGGGATGAGGGTGTATTGGTTACTTGGCTGGATATAGAAAGACTTGACTGAGAAAAATTGGGTGTACTGGAATCTAAAAAAGACAATGGCTTTGCAATAACACTCTTGTCTGACTTAAGTTAGTACCTATGGGTTAAGCTTCTTATATACTGTTGCAGAGCTCTAGTATCGTCTATATAACCTCGATGAAGGGGCGGAGTTCCGCCCGGTAAGGAGTAAATTGCAACCTCACCGTAGGCATACCAAACACGAGGGCAGCAACATCTATCAACAAGCAACTAGTAATCTGTAATTTAATATCATTATTCGTAAATTTGGAGATTGCTCTCCGGGTATCATATTCTATTCTATCCAATATCCATCTCTTTATGATGTCTCAATGACCCTTGTTTTGTCTTCTGTACGGATACGGTTCGTGTCTATGTACTTCTCTAGGTCTCTGTGACCGGCCCCCAGGGCGATAGAAGTCCCCTTCTGTTCTTGTTGGGTCCCAGTGGTTCAGACGGCCGGGCTTGGCTTGTTGCTGGTCTTGTCTTGAACCCGTGCTTGAGATGCCACCATGTTCAGATCCGGCCCTTGCACTCCCCGCCGTTGGCGTGTCGTACTGCACAGCCCTGTCCCAATCGGCTAATTTTGTATATGGACTTCTGAGCCAAGCTCTCAGCTCGTGAAGGAAAAGGCGAGTGTTATCTTTTCCTAAAAAGTCCGCAATCATTTCCTCTGCCTGGCCAGCGCTGCCCATGATGTCCACGGACTTTAAGACAGCAATGATGTACTCGAGAAGAAATTCAGCATTATTGGCCCTTCTTTGATGCATGTTGTTTCTTGAACTGCTGTCCGCTGGTCCTGAGGACTCTGCCGCATCGGCATCGGGGTTCAAAAATGAAAAGACCTGCAGCTCTCGTCGAATCCACATACGTGCGCGCGACACCAATTCATTGTCTGCACAGAATGCAGCTGGAGTCAATTCACGGTATCGTGATAGCCTATTCGAGCCGACGTGCTTTGAGTACCGGTTGTGGCGGTATACATCCCTCCGTCGTGCGATGTCATCTGAAGGGTTTAGGCTCGGTGTCTCATAGCGCGATCGGTGAGAATAGGGACGGCGTCGTGGAGGGATCTGAAGACGGATGGAAGATGGCGCATATGATCTCGTATCGGATTGCTGCGTTTGAGCTTTTGGTATGGACTTGGGAACGGTGTAGGTCTTTGCGACTGGTTCATCGAGGGCGTGGCGAACTTGAGAGATAACGGCCTTGCAGAGGGGGCATTTTGGAGATTGTTCGAGCCAACTGAGGAGGCAAAGATAGTCAAAGTTCCGGTGTTGACAAGGAACAGCCTCGCAAACTTCGGTGATGCTTTCGAGGCAGATGACGCAGCAGTCGGTGGCGTCCTCTTGCCTTGTAGCTATTTCGTCGAGGGTGTTTTGAAGAACTTGACGCTGTAGATCGTCTGCAGGCTGGTCCGATTCCATAACGAACGGGATATATAGAGGCAACGTGGCGCTAAGGCTAGTAATGGTAGCGTTTCCAAAAAGTTACAATACAAGAAAGTATGTTGAAGCTGTCGCGATTCAAGATGAAATGATGAATAAGATCCCATTGATGGAGGTGGGGTTCCGGCGGGTGGGCCCGTTAGTCCCGCACCCTCCCTGCAACTGTCATGACGTGGGACCCATCCTGCCATTCTTCGCGTTGAGTGGTTCGCGTCCTGCATTGACAATACCAACGCGTTTTGTCTTCAAGGTAGTCGCGACATTCAAATCCACTTTCCCTCATGGCCATCAATTTGCTGTGCATTTCCGTCCAAACACACAACTTCGCTCTTGAGACTTCGAATAAACAACTATCTGGCTATAAGAATGGACGACAATATAAGAACAGAATATGAAACCCAATCGCAGCAACTACGTATTGACCTGAAGGCATGGGAGACCAACTGGGCGGCGACACACGAGGGCAGGAAGCCAGGAAGAGGGGATATCAAAGCAAATGAGGAAATTGGTAAGCTTTTCGATCAGCAGTTGAATGATTTCGCATTCTAACCACCAACAGCTTTCAAATATAAACAATACAATAAAGTTCGGGATATACTCTCTGGCAAGATCCCTCCTCCCTCAAAAGAAGACTCAAATTCCATAAAGCGAAAGCCCGATACTTTACCAGCACAAACGCCCACCAAACATACCAAGCACCTCGAAACCCCTGCCAAGAACCGTACACAGGACCATGATGAGGATCTTATGAATACCCCAGCCATTTCGCGAAAGCTGTTCACTCCTACTTCAGTAACATCAGTTGGCCCGACACCACAAAGAGATGGCCGCGTCCTCGGACTCTTCGACTTATTGGTAGAAAAGGAGCTGGGAACACCAGAGAAAAAAAACTCTACAGCCAATTCAGGATCTGCACGAAAGGTGAATGCAACTCCGAGCAAAAGGTCAGCCACAATGGATGAGGAAGAGGAAGAGAAGCTTGGCCGAACGCCTATGTCGTCTAGCAAACGTCAAAGGTTGAATCACTTCATGACACCGTTGAAGAACAAGGATGGAAACAAAGACGCTGTAACGCCCTCTTCGGTCTCAAAACTCCAGTTTGACACACCGGCATTCTTGAAGCGCAACACCCTTCCGGTTTTGGACGAGAATGATGACTTCGATGCCCCAGCACCCTTGCGACTACCACGGAAACCTTTCACAAGAGGCCTCAGTGAAATTGTGGCAAGCCTACGGAAGGTTGAGGAAGACAATTTGGATGATGAATTGGACGCCCTGCGTGATGTTGAGAATGAGGAGATGGGTGAGCCCAAACCCAAGACGTTGTTCCCATCCAAACCGAAAGACGACATATTGGCTGAAGACAGCCAAACGCGACCATTACCGCTTGGTGGCTTTGACGATGAAGGGTTGTACGACAGTCCAGTGGAGGAAGACGGACACCCTACGCGAGTATACAAGAAGAAGGGCCAGAAGCGAACAACAAGAAGGGTCAAGATGCGCCCAACTTTGACCAAGAGACCCGAGAACATGACAGGGGATCCCCAAAGCGACGTTGAGAATGATGAGCCAGGGGTTGATGGTGGCGATGCTGGATCTGATTTTGAGGAAGTGGTCGAGAAGAAGCAGAAGCAGAAGCCTGCCAAAAAGGAGGGCACAGTCAAGAAAGCAGCACGAAAGGTCAATGAGCTGGCTCATGCAAACTTTCAACGACTCAAGCTTAGAAATCACGGAGCAAAGGGAGGACCAGGGTTTAACAGTAGATTCCGCCGACGAAAGTGATGAGTTCACGTCTGGTTTTGGCCATAGGCTAAAGGGTTATCATGAGATGCATTCTACGGCGTTCTGGTCAAGGGATATATTTATACCAATAGACGACGGTAGGGGACGATGTGTTTGTCCGGCTTTGTTAGCATAGTTGAGCCCTTTAGCTGAGATAAATCAACAAGATTCTGCAACCTTGTTTATTTTTGCTTTTTAAGAAATAAGTAAATGATATTTGTATTTAATCCCCCTTGATTTGACAGTAATGATGATTCAAAGTCCAAATTCGTTCTTACTCGAGGCAGGTTCCCGCTCTTGATTGAGGCATGAGGCCCTTTTCAGGTTTAGCGCATGTTTTATGCCTTGGAAGGAAGCAGCGCAGCACCACAACCACAACCACAACCACAACCACAACCACAACCACAGTGATTCACTGCCCTTTTCTTTCAAGATAACAAAGAAACACAGCCAAGCAAAATAAACCATTCAACTCAACCCTTTCACTCATTTTTTTTTCTTCAGAATATTTGGAGAGTATAGGCTTCCCGCTTCCAAACCGGAAGCTCTTTGTTTATAAGGACCTAAAAATCAGCATTGTTTAGGTCCGCGCGCATCTCACTCGTTATTTCTAAGCGCGCCAAAGGAATTCAACGATCTTTGTTTGCGCCTTGTCTTTTTGTACACCCGTTCTCGATCGCATTTACACAAGCAGATCTCCGAAAGAAATTATTCAAGAACCGCAGACTTTTGAGATTTTCTTTTTCCAGATGCGTGTATCTCCTACAGAGCAGAATTTCAGAGGTATACATCGCTTGTGTTGGTTGAAAGGTAACTGAGTTTTCCGTCCCCTTGCTTCTGTTCCGTTCTTTTTCTCGAGCACGACACAATATTCTACATATGCAGTAGCATGCGACTCATCCTCCAGCATGCCGGTAAGACTCTTTCTCAAAAGAACCATGACTTAAAAGGCTGACATTATCGTTAGCTCATTGGTTTTGACGAGGATGGTGGGACTGACCTCCCATCAGAGGTTCTGAACAACCCCAATATTGATTGGATTTCATTTCCAAATCACGATGAGGTCCTCAACGATGTGATCGAAGATGCATTTGCCCCCCAAGAGCCAACAACAACTCATGATTCACCTAAGATGTGGACCAGGTTTGGTGAGATGGAGGAAGAGGAGCGCATGACTCCTATGGAGCAGATCGACTTGTCGCCAAGTTCTCCTACGCAGAGCCCCCCAGAATACGGCTCCAGTCCAGAAGATCTTTTTCAAGGCCTCGATTATGAAATGATTGGCGCTTTTGAGCCAGAGGCCACAGTGCAGGATGATCTCAGTCTTGCTGTGGGCGAGGCAGCTGCTTCAGCTGAGCCTATCGAACAGGAAGATATCATGATCACCGAAGCCAACGTGCGGGAAGAGTCTTTGAGCAGCGTCGTCAGAGTGGAGCTTCCAGAAAGTCTTCTCCTCGTCCCCAGATCTTGCTACGAACCATTTGAGCCTGGTGTGCCTGTTGTCAGGGAGTCTGAAGCTGTTGCTCAGCTTCTCGAGGCGGCAAAGCAGGCAGGTCAAGACGTCGATGATTTTGTCGAGTTCAAGCTTGATGAATTTGCTATTTACTGCATCCGGCCCAAATACGGACAAGAGATGTGCTCTCTTCACCACCTACATACCAAAACAGGCTTCAGTAACTTTCTATTCGACGGGAGATTGAGTGTTGATGGCACATCTTTCTTTGTCCGTGAGGTACCCATAGACGCGCTTCCTATCGGCGATTATGGCACTTTGTCAAAACACACTGTTCGTGACAAAATATGGATTCGATCAAAGATTAATTCTAAGCAGAACATATACTACCGCTTAAATCAGCCAGCCAAGGAGTATCGCCGTTTTTTCGTCCCTTTCACCTGGGTTGCTGATTTAGCTAAGCATTTTGTCGAATATCTTATGGTCATGGGTGAAAGCAAGCATGATGTTAGCATCTTTCATTTTCGCTCGACTTTCAGCAACTGGCTGGCAAAGTCAAAGAAGCGGGACCCTGTGTTCATCTCATGGAGAGATGAACATCCATGTGATGACTTCAGAACTTCAATTGTTGCAAATTTAGCTTTCTTGTACAAAGAAGCCATTGGCGTGCTAGGAGAGAAGAAGGGGCGCAAATACTCCCTTTGGGCGGAGATATGGTATTTTCAACGGTACGAACGTTCCGGGCTTGTGAAGGCACCAACAGAATCTCGGAGTCGAAGCGTGTCGATTGCAAATGAAGCGAAGAGCGTTAAGGACGTTACACCTACTATTGTGACCCAATACACGTACGACTGTTTCCGTCACTTGCCCTTCGGGGACAGGCTCGAGGCTATGCAATTGAGCAACAGAGCCCAATCGCTGCAAAACGAATTAATTCGGAAGCGTCACTTGGAGCTCCCTTCGCCGGTACACAAGAATGCTAAGGACATATCGACGGCTGGGCGACAGCAGATTGAAAACATCCAGCCGGGTGACACAATCTCGACACCGCGAGATACTGAAGGGTCAGGTACGCAATGGAGGCGTGACATTCCACGCGGCTTCAACGACGTTGACCGCTGGTTCGGACTCGTCCAGCGCGTACATGTTAACAAACGTGGCCGACGATCTTTCGATGTGATCTGGTACTACCGACCTGTCGACACCTTATGTGCTTTGATGAAGTACCCCTGGAACAACGAGCTATTCCTTTCGGATCATTGCTCTTGCGGCGAAAGAAGCAAAATCTCCGAAGACGAGGTGTTAGGTGTTCACCTAGTTGAGTTTGGGGGGACATCGGCGACCGAAGCTGAGTTCTTTTGCCGGCAGACATACATCTGCACTGAGCGAAAATGGATAACGCTCGAGAGGGACCATCTCCACTGTACTCATATACGAAAGATACCCAAGCTACCAAAGTTCCGACCTGGCGAGACTCGGCTCATTATGATCGACAAGGCGAGCGGTCGTTCCGAACCCTGCGAGTTTGTCACTTTTTATGAAGAAGAAAGCACTGGCATATACAGGTTCCGGAGGCTGTTGAGAAGACACCAAGTTGATCCCTCGGCGTCAAAATCTCGTCCAAACGAGCTGGTGTACAGCGAGAACCTTGTTGAAGTGAAGGGAAAACGTGTTCTCGAGCCTTGCTATGTTCGATTTTTCAAAGCCGGGAAGAAGATACCCACACCATATGACCGTGATGGTGTGGGTGGATTCTTTTATATCACTCACGAAGAAATATTGGACGAAGAAACGGCAATCAAGTCATATGCGCCTCTTGAGACGCTCCCAGTCTCGCTGCAACAAGGTCACGATCCATCTGAATCTATACAACGGCTTCGCGGGCTAGATCTCTTTTGTGGTGGTGGCAACTTTGGACGTGGACTTGAAGATGGGGGTGGTATCGAGATGAAGTGGGCGAATGACTTTGACGAAAAGGCTATACATACATACATGGCCAATACCTCAGACCCCGGAGAGGTCTCGCCCTTTCTGGGCTCGATAGACGATTTACAGCGACTCGCCATCAACGGTGAGTTTGCCGACAACGTCCCTCCTATCGGAGATGTTGACTTCATTTCAGGTGGCAGTCCCTGTCCTGGGTTTTCAGTTCTGACAAACGATAAGACAACCAAGGCGCAACGGAAAAATCAGTCTCTCGTCGCTGCGTTTGGTTCTCTTATCGATCTCTACCGCCCCCGTTATGGACTCCTCGAGAATGTCCCCAGCATTGTCCAGCGCAAAGCCAATCGCGACCAGGACGTGTTTAGCCAACTAATATGCGCCATCGTGGGTCTTGGCTACCAAGCTCACTTTTTCCTACTTGACGCTTCTTCCTTTGGTTCACCCCAGCGACGTTCTCGTGTCTTCCTGGCTTTCGCCGCACCAGGCCATCGACTCCCTCGCCGACCCGACCCAACTCACGCGCATCCTGCAGGTACTACAAAAGATAGCCGTGGAAACCTCCCTACAGGAGACCCAATGGTGGAGCGGATTATGCCGGAGGCCACGCCCTTCGACTTTGTCTCAGCCCGTGCTGCGACCGCTGATCTTCCTGCTATCTATGACTCAAAACCAGATATATGTGTCCCGTACCCTGACCACCGTATCTCTATAGGTCTTACAGCTCGCTTACAGAACAGAATAAGGCCTATTCCGACTCAGCCTTGGGGTATGAACTTCGCCCAAGCATGGTACGGTCTTGACCGCAGCAAGGCAGGATCTGGTGTCCTTACACCTGCAGACCGCCTTGTCTTCCCCCCTGATTCAAATGCCTTACTGGATCGAACAAAACCCGCATCAAAAGCATTCGGTCGCCAACGCCCAGATCGCCTCATAGAGACCATTGTGACGGGTCAAAGTCCGGACGACGCCAAGGTTGGTAGGACATTGCACTGGCGAGAAGACCGTGTTCTGACTATCATGGAGACACGCCGAGCGCAAGGTTTCCGAGATGACGAAGTTCTGCTGGGCTCACCGGCTGATCAATTCAAGATTGTCGGGAACAGTGTTGCACGGGAGGTGGCTGTTAGCCTGGGTGCTGTGTTTCGAGAGGCTTGGACGCAGAGCCTTGCCGATGAGCGTCACCTTCAGGGCGGTGATGTTACTGCTACCTCTACAGTATACTCTGAGGCACCGGCTCGTATGGGGATCGAAGTATCCCCCTCTGTCAACATAGAAAGGCTCTCGTCTAGCGAAACATCCGCCAGCACAAGGGGAACTCCACGCTCGCAAAAGTCACGCAGTCATTCTCGCGCGAGTCAAACGCCATCGGCGACACCATCTCCAAGGAATCCTGCCAAACGCCGGTCCGCCAGCACAGGCTCTCGAGCATCCAAGTCACGCAAGTCGAATAAAGACGAAACTCCCAGCCGAGCAACCTCCACCACTTCGGGTCGCAGCAGGCAGAGTGGTTTGAGACACAACATCACGAATGAATAGTTTTGTACATATAACATTGGGCGGAAGAGGTCGTGGGAGAGTCTAGGTATGTAAGCAGCTTTGCTGTCTGTGATTCTATAGCTAGTCTGAAGACCGGAGGACTTTGTCATATAAGTAAGAACACTTGTAACTAGAGAACTTGAGATAATTCATTCACACAAGATACCCAAATATGGTTGTTGTTAATCAATTGAAGACTGTCATTAATGTCGTTAAAAAAAGGACTCGCTAGTTGCTGATAGGGCCTAACTGTCGAGGAAACCCAATGCCTCAAAACTCCAAATCAACTTTACGCTGATAATCTTTTTGCTCATAGATGCAACCTCTTGTCCCAAAGAAATCTGCGATGTAGTACAAGCACTCAAACCCAAACATTGCGTTGCTCACTCTTTTCCACCTCATCAGATGTCTCCATTTACTCTGATGTTTCTAAATCCTTGAGCGTCATCACCTTTGCGCCCATGGGAATCTGTCCACCTCTCATCTTAATACTGGCGTATGGGACGCCTGATGCCTGCCCAAGAATGGCAACCAGCTCACGTCCGGAAACCATGAGCTCTTTGCCTGTGTAGCCTTTCATGGCACATTCCTTAAAGATGTGCCCGATCAATCGCTCGCCGAGAGTTTCGATGCTGCGGCCACTGGCCCAGCCCTTATCGTTACTGAGGCGCTGTAGGAGAGAGAAGAGGGATGTGCGAGTATAAGTATCCATCTCGGGCGTGGGCTGGATGGTAATGCCCACCTTACCAACAACCTGTCGCAACTGCTCGATACATTGTTCAGTCCGCAGGGGACGGAAAGTAAACTCTGTCGCGAATCGGCTCTTGATTCCCTGATTACTACGTAGAAGGCGGTCCATGTCCTCTTCGTAGCCTGCCAGAACTACGATGAGCTTGCGTGCAAACTGTGGCTTCGTCACAGCATCCACTAGCTCACTGACTGCCTCTTCAGCGAATGATCCGCGGCTTCCAGCTAGTCTGTATGCTTCATCGATGAACAGCACTTTGCCAAGAGCCGATTCGAGCAGACGGCGTGTCTTGGGACCGGTTTGGCCACAATACTCGCCTATCAGCTGCGACGCAGAGACGTCCACCACATCTGCTGCAGCAAGTAGACCCATGTCGTAAAAGATCTGGCCCAGCTTCCGTGCGGTTGATGTCTTTCCCGTTCCGGGAGGGCCCTTGAAAACATATGTGAAAGGGACATAAGGCCTTGGGTCGACACTACGCAGTCGCATACCTTGTACCATGTACTGGTACGATTCGAACTTCGAAATGATTTCCTCGAAGCCAACAAATTCATCGAATAGGGCGCGGGTGTTTGCCACAGCATGTGATAGACGATCGTAATCAGCATCAAAGTCCTGAGGCTCCAAAGATACAGCGTCGATGTCCTCATCTTGGGGCTTCTTTTCTTTGGTGATGCGACGGAAACGGGCTGAAATTGCTTTGGATAGTAGGTTATCCACCTCGCCTCCATTGCCAAAGTTCGGTCGGACAGAAGCTCGCTTCAAGACCTCAAGAGCAACCTCGCGGGCTTTCTCGGTGGCAACCAACTTCTCCTTTGCCATCTTGAGGTCCAGCACCTTCCCCAAGGTTTCTTCACCAAAGTTCTCAAACACAAACGCTGTGTCCATGGGAAATCTTCGCGCCAAGCCCGGATTGGCATTGGCAAACATCTCCTTCATTTGCTCAGGGTAACCGCAGAGAATAACACAACGATCCTCCCCAGCCGCACCAGTAACTTCGGCGACGATGGTGTCAATTATACCACCTCTGAAATCACCATTCTTAGAACTACCAGCGCTTCCGTTGGTGCCTGGGTCGAGCATGTGGGCATCATCAATGATGAGAACATTGCCCTTTGCTTCCCGCAATGCCTCTTGAGTATTGTTTTCAGATCCTCCGATATACCGATCTAAAAGGTCAGCTGGGCTCTTTGTGATGACATCGCCCTTTGATAATAGGCCAAAGTCGGCTAGAATTCTGCCGTAAAGCTTTGCCACTGTTGTCTTGCCTGTCCCTGGAGGTCCCAGAAATACACGGTTTGGCGAAACGTGCAAGGGATCGTCTCCACGCATCTCCCGAATGAAGTTCTGGTTTACTTGGCTCACCACAGACAGAATCGCTTCCTTGACATCATCCAATCCGACAAGTTCTTGAAGCTCTTTCCAGGCAGGGCTCTTCTCGGGACCTAGCGATGGCTTATTGCCCAGCAGATCTTCTTTAGTCATGCTAAAATCCTCCAAATAGTTTCCGTTTTTTCGAGCTTGGACGAAACGATCGAGTTGTCGTCTACAGGCTTCGAGAAATGCCTTTTTGACGGGCCAGATGTTGCCGAAGGTTTTGTCGCTGGATCCTGAAATGATCCTGCGGATCAGAATCTTAACGTAGAGGCCATCGTAGCCACCCTCGACTTCCATCTTATTTTTGAACCACTTTCGCATCATACCATGGAACACCACTTGCAGTTCTTGCGCGGTGTAGTTAGGCAGCTTCAAGACGGGAAAGTGACTTGCAACTTCATGACTGTAGCTCATCAAATCTGACAGGCCCCATTCACCGTTGCCGGCCACGATGATAACGACTTTACCAGGCAGATCCTGAGAGCGAACATAGAGGCTCCAAAGGTTACAGTCATCGCCATTCATGAGATGGGCATGGTCAATAATAGCAATCTAGGCGAATTAGCGACACACAACTTTAGCAGCAGACAGGTAACTTACACAGCCACCACAGGCGTTGCAGGTGTTATGGATTGTGCCAAGAGTTGATGTTTTGGACATGTTATAGGCCGAGAATCTGTTGATCCCGGTGAAAACACCAGACTTCTTAACAACGCCAAGAGACACAAGATACTTGGCATAAAGACGGGACAGCATCGTTTTGCCTGTTCCTTCACCGCCCATGAAAACTGCGTCAAAGTTTTCTTTCTTGAGATCAGTCTCACGCCTTTCAGCTGCCTTGACCTTGGCTTTTGCCTGCAAGAAGAATGATTTCGCTTCTTCAAAGCCAGGTAAAGACATGATCCGGTCAAGGTATTTGTTTTCTGACTTTTCCACCTCCTTTTGTCGCAGCCACTCAATTCTCGAGGCAGATTCATCCTGGCAATCTTGGGGTTCGAGGCCGTCAATCGTTTCGGTATCAGAGTCGTCGTTATCTTCTTGTTGCGATTTTCTGGGTTGTGTCAGTAGACGTTTGTGGAGCATTTGGTAAGACTTACTCAATCTCGTCCAGAAACTCTTCCATCTCTTTGCAGAGCTCTAGGAACGCCGGCTCTGCCAGAACGGGCGGCTCGTCATCCACAACAGGTGTATCTTCGGATTCTGACTCGGAATCATCATCAGAATCGTAGGGAAGATCGCCATACAACTTCCCAAGACCAAATTCATCCATGTCCAGGTATTCTGCATCTTGATCTTCCTCCTCTGCAGATTCGGTGGATTGAACTACAGTCTTTGAACGTTGGCGTCTCCTTCTCAAGCGGCGACGGGGCCTGCGGCTGGGAACAAGGCCGAGAAGACGGCTCACAAGGAAACGGGGTTCATCTGTCAGATAGTCTCTTGCCCATTCTGGATACGTGGATTTGGGCTTGAGACCCAATAGCCAAGAGACGGAAAAGTTGATATCAGTAGATTCAAGCTCCATCATTGCATTGGAGCTGGTTTTTGGCTTTTGTTTGCTCTAAAGATAACAAAGCTACAACTCCCGAATCGGGGGTTTCAAGAGCTGGTCAACGTCAACCAGCAAGATAACGTAAAAAGAACCCGGCGACAACAATCAGCTAATGTACGGATGCGCGGAAACGGCAGCCGGAGCGGGGGTGGGGGGGTTGAGGAATGGATAAGGGAGATCGCGTGCGACGAGGTGAGGATACGAGACGATAAAGAGGGAGACGAGGCGAGGGGAATATCGAAATAAACAAATGTTGAGGTTGGAAGCTATCGAGAGAAGATGCGGGGAAGAAGAAGGAGGAGGAGGAGGAAGGGAAAGAGGAAACAAGAGGGACGAAAAGACACGAAAATAGAAAGAAAAAGAGGATGAAGCTCGAATTAAGGCTGAGGCATCGTCCCCGTAGCTGCCTGCTTAGTTCCAAGTTTGAAGCTGCTGCAGGCAGCCAGCAGCCAATGGCTCAAGATTCAGGGCATGTTACAGTAAGACGGGGGCTGACTGAGGTACCTTGACGGCTTCAGATATGGATCTACAGATGTACAACGTACACCAACAGTGACGGCTTTGGCTGTTGAATATTAAGATTAGTTGGTTATTATAGTTATTCAAGTTTTTCTACGGAGTATAAAGTATAAAATTACTATGAGTGCATGGCCAAACCTCCTCACGATAATAAGCCAAAACCTCCATGTTTTACTGTAACCCACGTGCTATTCTCAAGCCTGAGGCTAAAAAGCATTGACAAAAGAGTCACCCGGGCAGTTTGGAGCTAGGGCTCCAGGCTCTAGGCTCTAGGCTCTAGGCTCTAGGCTCTAGGCTCCCTGGGCGCATTCATCAACAACAAAAGCTCCAGACTATTCGTCTCCCCCTGCAAAACGTAGGTTGCCTCATGCACTGCCACGGGACATTGGCGCATTGGATGGCGGGTAGGGACAATATGACGAGTTCATTGGCTATTGCTGCCTAGCTGCTTGTGCAAGTTGCAAGTTGCAAGTTGCAAGAAACAGCTTGACATTGACAGTTGATGTTGGACAAGGGGTCTTTGGTATGTGGCTACTTGCTTTTCGGGGTCATTTGTGGTTGTTAGGACTCCACCATCATCCAGTGTTATCTAAACAGTAATATTCACGACTGCATATCTACTACGTAGTAGCTCATCGAAGCCCTCTAAACCACCACTCAAGAGAATATACACTCCAAATTAACAGTAGGTATCATATATATCTACACTAAAGCCCTCACTTGTCCTCTAAAGCGCCCTCTCCCAGGCGTCATCGCGTTATCAACTTGACAAGGCTGAATCCCAACACGACTCTAACACCAATCAAATCCACATCAAACATGCCAGCACAGACCCCCGACCCCGTCGCTGCCGAGCTGCGTCCCGCGGGGGGGCCTGCTATAGCCATACAGAGCTCTGCAAAGCCCGTTGAGAGTCCACCAGCTGTCTACTCCAGGATTTGGCGATTCGGTGGAGAACGGTTCGCCCTGTCGTAGTGAGCGGTGGGGCCCGGGCCTCAAAGGGAGATCGTACGGGCCGTGGTGACAGCGAGAGCACTGAGGAGGGTAGGACACGATGATTACTGAGGGGATGGCGAGGTAGATATGAGTTTGGTGAAATGTGAATATTTGGAGCCACACACACGAATCTTGGGTTTGTGTATCTTACCGCAGCACAGCCCTAGAGTACCTATTTGTTGTGACCGAAACAAGGGATCCCAGATTCGACAACTCAGCTGATAATAGGCCTGCAGCGAGAGAGCTCGGCTGACAAGAGTGAGGCGGGCCCAACAAAACAAATAAGAGTAAATACCTGGCTGAACACTGACTACTCTACCTTGCACCAACCTCGAATCTACGCGAAAGAAGTCAGCCTTGGGTCAATAATCATACTGATAGACGGAGTGATACCTCTACTCGAATATATGCTACCTATGCTGCTCCAATCTTCCCCACCGAATCTACGGCATTAGCCTCAACTACCGGACTCGGACTGTGTTGACCCGGATCAGCAGGGTCTTCTCCAGGCCAACCAGTCTTAGTCTTGTTTGCGATATCACGATATTCTACTCACTGTTGATCGTGAGGCTACGTCCTGGATAAGCACAATGACCTGAATCATGGTAAGATGAGAGAATCCTAAAGTTGATATCTCGTGATCACGCAGTGAAGTTTAAGTAATGGGAAAAAGTCTATCTCTTCTAACACTGGCTGTTGCACAAAGTTTAACCCACCTACCCTATTGCTTGACTTACCCTAAACATCGAACCAACGTCCGCACAGCACCCAACATCATCACAAACTTACCATTCCATTGACACATGATCACGTTCTTACATGATCCCTTGAGAGTTTTTTTTTAGCCAGAGCTAGAATCATGAACCGATATTGGACAGACCAAACACTTCCACCGGACGAGAACCCCCGGAGTTGCACTTCAAACTAACATGAGGTTGAAACTAGACAGTTAGCAATCAACAGAACATCTAACACCGACTCCGGACCAACGGACCATGTCAATGAACCAATCGCATCTACCTATACCAAAAGTCATTCGTGCCTGGCAGGGCTGATCTTTGCCTCTGATATCTAGGAGGTACTAGTCCGAGAAACTCGAGATACCAATAGGATGTCTTTACGGAGTAGGCGAGATCTGCTTCTTGACTCGCTAATCTAGCGGCGTCAAAGTATACCTCGTATTGGATACGAATTTGCCACCTAAATTCGACTCTATTCAACATGCTCTATCTACTACAGGGTGAACTCATGACAACTGTATGATGCCAGATCAAGGGTAGTAACAAAGCCACGATCGATTATTGACTCAGTGTTTAGGCATTGCAAGACTTGATTGCGAATTATTGTGAGCTCTCATAAATGATAGAAATGTCTGTATCAGCCTCATCATGCATGTAGACATATGGCAGACGACTTCACACTCCACAACCGCCTCATTCCGATAGTTTCACACTCCCATTGCAGCTCAGCAAACTTCATGAACCAATATGAGCAATATGTACGCAACAAATACTTTACCCTGCATGTTGAGCCTCATTACTATGCCAACGACCAAGACTGCCTCCCTGGAGACACCGGAGATTCGCCGGTGCAAGTCGAACTTCCATGTCTAACGGTCGTCACGCGACCCCAGGAATCCCTCCAGACTCACAGGAACCCGATCGAGGTTGCAGACGGATATAGGCGAGACGGAACATGTTGATTCACCCCAATGGGGTATTGGGAGTCAAGAGCAGGGCATATAAATGCGACACCAATGCCGTGCCTGCAGCTCTATCGTCATTTCTAAGACATCTAATCATGAGAGTGTCTGAGACATGTAGATATCATCGGTCATTCCCTAGCAGGAGATCATACCAAGTATCTGGCTGACAAGCGGGAGATCCACGATGGTCCCGGACTAACGGAACCAGATGCACAGATGATGGCCGAGAGGGAAGAGACGACAACGCGAACAAGCAACGCCGAAACAAGCCTTTGAGGAATGAGACATGAAGCAGCTCCCTTCGGAAAAGACAGGTTTCACTTGACTCTTGCCATGGCGATCGGCTATCCACCATACAGATGAAGAATTGACGATTCACCACACACTCCGTATCAGTAGCATTGCCCCACTAGGTTCAATGGCTCGTGGGGTCGAGATTGATCAGCTGAAGGGATAGCAACGGCATTATGCATCAACATGATCCATCACCATCAGCCCTCGGCACCGACCAAGAAACCGGCATAAAGATACGCGCACATGGCGATCCTTTAACGCACATGATGTGGGGGCGTGAAGAAGCAAAGTCTATGAATTGCTTTTTCCTTCCCAACTTCAGCATCATATCGGGCCCTCCCTTGTGAGCAACAGCCGGGATTCCCGAGACTCAAGATTCAGCTCTTTCTGTCCTGTGCCTGCCCGTCTTAGACAACTAATCTAGAAGGCTGATCATGGGCGTGCCTTGGGCTCATCAAGAATAATTAAGAGACATGGAGAAGAGGAAAGAGAGCAGAGGACGTGGAGCCCCAGGGCGGTCAAATGATCGACAGAGGCTAGTACCTAGACCACAGAAAGTCAGTCAGTAACGGGTGTTTTAGAACGTGCATATGTAGGAATTCTTGCAACCCAGTGTCCGTCTATCTCGCTGCAACGGCGTTCCACATTGTAGACAACGGGTGATGGAAGGGGGGCGTCACGATATTAGATGATCGCCAGAGGGAGAAGGGAACGCGCCGAGCCGAATCATGCCAAAATGGAATGAGGGTTAGACTTTAGAATAGCAGTAAATCAAGTTGCAGCATTCCGACATTTCTTACTGCGATTTTGGTAAAAAGACAGGTCAGATATCTGTCGGTCAATTGACAGCCAACTCAATTGCTTGCCTCTGATTCGCTGTCGGCATGTACAGTATGTACAGTATTCAAGTTGAAGATATCGGGACAGGGGCTGCAGGGCCAACATGTTTCGGTACGGAGCTTGGTTGGTCAGGCACAAGAAACGGTGCGTTAGAACCAGAGAGCTAAGAATAATTCTTCATTTGCAGGGCCAATATCCTGCGGGTGATGCTGCTGCACTGCAGTGTTTCGTTTACAGCATGTATGTGTATGCACATGTCAGGTATCAGACGATCAAGCACTGATCTACAGCGCGATGTTGCCGTTAAAGCGACTGCCAAGACTACCGGGTAAAGAGATTAACATCGGGCACTCCTATTGATTGATATACGATCTGGACTAACCAGAACTTAGACGCGCTGGTACAATATTTACGGATACACGTGGCAGGAAACCTTCGAAACGCATCGCATCGCATTACACTTGCACACGGGCCCTGGAGCTGCGCCTTTGCCGCGGTTGTCAAACTCATGTGTGAGCGCGTGGGTGCAGGGATGAAGATCGTGGGACCTACTTATTTGGGTGTTTTGACCTTGGACGTCCAGGGGGTTGTTCCGTGTGTCGTGGGCTCATCTCGACGT